ATCTATAATAATTTACGTTATCTCTTCTTGGGCAGTAAAATTTAGGTTGTGTTGGGTTAGAATTAAAAATCAGAAAATGAATCTCAGTTGTAACATAATATGTTAGACTTGTCAAAAAATGTTCTGAGGATAAAAAAGATGAATTCGGGAACTAGGAAATATGTTCAGAGAGATTATTTTTCCTTAACTATGAAGAAATACATTTAAGTATCTTGACCACATATAAGTATTTTCTAGTTTCTATGGATATGAGTCACATCTTTATATAATGTTACACTTGTGAATGATAAAAGACAGCCCTGGCCTTCAGATCCTTCACATTTTACCGTTATTAATTAATAGTTATTACTTAATTTATTTTCAGACTTATTTTTATTCCCCTTATTTCTTGATTTTAAAAGCATGAAAGCACCATTGTACATGAAAAGAGACTTCAGGGTAAAGAGAGAAGGTGATTCAACTATGAGGAGCAGATGATAAAAATGAAAACAAAATCTTCATGTTGATCTGCTCAAAAAACCCCTATTTTTACTTAATTAGTTTCATTTGATAAAAGAGTATTTTCCACTATTGGGGGAAAAAAAGGAAATTGAATATAACTTTGCGTATATTTCTAGAGAATTTGCTTAACTGTAAAAATAAACTTTGTCATATTTTTTCGTTTTATTTCATTGGCGTGAGTTTAATTTTCTGGTAAGGGCTATCACAAAGTAAAGGGAAAGAGTAAATTCCTAGTAGGGCTAAAAGATTTCCATATGCTAGATTCTGTATTTAAAATTTTGACTTTAGCAAAGTTATATTTATACACACTTAAAAATCACATAGTTTTGTCAAAAAGACATGCTATACTGTTTATTTATCTTGAAACTTCGAGGATCTCATTTAAAAATGCAAATTTGAATTTGGTTGTGGTAAAGTGAATAAATCTTTCAAATTCTAGCATGGTATGGATCAGAACTCTTTTTCATAAGTCTTGATCAAGAGTTTGAAAGAGAACTTGTAGTTATGGTGTCATTATTTTTTCAAATATGATGGAAAAGAAGTATTTTATTTTTGCAAAAACATGGAAAAACTTTTAGAGGTAGGAAAAGGTTGGATGAATTGGCTGTTAGTTTATGTTGAGCGGCAAGTATTTGGGGCATTAAAAGCTGCCTGGAATCTTGGAAAGGGAGAAAAATTTATAAAGGAGTTTGGGAAAAGGTAGAATTAAAAAATATGGAAAAATATCAAAAGAACAGATTTGTTAATTCAAAAAAAATTAGTTGGAGGCATGCCTTTTTGTCTTTTTCTTTTTGCCCTGTACAAGCCTTTCACCATAAACCCCGACTGGGTTATAGTTAATAATTAGGGCATTAAAAGTTCAAATCTGTGTTATGGGTGGAAAGTTATTGGGGTTGGGCTTATCTTAAAAGGACCTGACATTAATGCATTGTTTACATGCATTTAACAGAGAAAATTTTTCTGCCTTTCCAAGTGATTTTTAAAAGTAGATATTTGGAATACTAAACTGGTCTTTCATTGGCCTATAAATGATGAATGTGCTATTTCATAAAAAAAGAGTATAGTAAAGGAATTATTGCCTTTAGGAGCTAGCGTCTTTCCAAGTCATCAGCATTTGCTGGCTTGTCAAGTATCTAATTCTTAGTCTTCTCTGTGTTGCTCCTTTTCAATTTTCCTGGTATTCCATGGTGGCAGATATTATTTTAACAGTTGATTTTGTAAAGGAGATTAAGTAGAAACATTATGTGCATTATTAAGATAATTAATGTTGTCATTGATATGTTTTGTTCTGTTCTTAGTTCTCACTGATGAACTGGGTGGAACTTAGTAAAACTATTAACTTCGTCGGGGGAACTGCATTTCTTTTTTTAAATTGAAATAATAGCTGGCCTTCATCCTTACTTGTTGTTTTGGGAATAATTAATGAGGATAAAGTAGTTATCAGTTTGGAAAACATAGAAGCACAAGTAATAATTCACTTCTGAATATAATTATATGGGGAAAGATCTATGTAGAAAACTTAGTGTTGGAAGTTTTTTCTTTTCCTGGAAGTTTGATTAACATTACTGTATGGATGGAAGAGTTTGTTGTTTAAACTTTTTCTTTCTAGTTAAATGAGAAATTTATATTTTCTTGAGCAGTCAAAAATAGAATTTACATTGAAATTATGTGTCTTTTAAGATAAATTAAACTCTTTGAAGATTCTTGCGAAAACTTTATGGAGAACGGTTGTTGCGACTTAAGGGTTATTTATGTTGTTGTTCCTGGAAGCAAAAGTTGTTTGTTAGTTACTTATTGACTCAACGTGAAAAATAATTTTACCTGTGTTATATTTTAATATATTTTGTAAAGTCGGAGATGAATTTATAAACTAATATTTAATAGTATTTACACAAATAAATACATTAATTTTACGATATTTATATAATAATTTATTTTATTTTAAAGAATACATTTAACATTAATTATTTTTTTCTTCATGGTAATTATTTTGCAACGGAAGAACAATGTGGAGTTGAATGCATTTTAAATTACTGATGAGAACGAAATTGGACAATTAGGTTTTGAAAAACAATACACTATGTGGTTTAAATCTTTACAGGATTCAAGTTGGGGAAATTTTCCCCCCATTTGTTGTTTTCTGAGTTTGAGTGGAATTACTTCTTCTTCAAAATGGTGTCTTAAAACTTAGGCACTTTTCTCTGGAAAATTATAGCATTTTAGTGAGGTGTTTATGTGTGATGTTTCAAAAGTCTTTAGTTATTGATTTTTTTTCAGTTAAAAAGAACAAGTATAATGTTAAGAAAGTTAATGTTTCAGGTGAAAAAATTCTTTATTTTCTATCATGATATAAGTTATGTTGTTTTTTAGTGTTTGCTTTTTGTTCTTGATTTTAAAGTTAAATGTAATGTTAGATTGTATAATAGATAACCACTGATCGATGTCTTCTTCATTAACTGTTACAATTTTTATATGTTTCACAAAGTTTTCAGGTAATAAGTAGATTTGGAAAGGCTGTATGTATTTTGTTGTTGGGCTACTACTTCATTTTGCTTTCCTTATAGTGAATACTATAAGATAAACTTCTTCTTTAAGGAGTCTGGTTCTTAGTCTTTTGTTATGATTTCCTTAGGATAAACATTATCAGAATAGATTACTAAATAAAAAAAGTGTGTATAATTTGTTATTCCGAAATATTCTGGAAAGAAGTCTTTTTTATTCCAAACTACATGACACCAGTGATTTGAAATATTAGATTTATTCTTTTTTTGTAAGTTTACTTTCAAATTTCACACTCAGGCGTGATAACTGGCATTTCTGGTGTATTTTCCAACCTTCCTCTGCTCCTCCCTCTTAAACTTTTTTACTTCAGGCATTCCCTTTTTCCCTTTTTCTATCTTCTTTCTCTCCATATTTTTTTCCTCCCTTTTTTTCTTTTTTGATACAAATTTTTATTAAGTTAAAATGCAACTTTTATGTTTTTATTTTTGTAAAACTAATTCAAGATGATAGGCGTTTTTTTGGATTAACAAATGATTTTATGATTAATTACAACATTTACATTATTTATAAATTGAGGCTTGAACTTCCATTTGTTTTATTTACTAATTTCATTTCTTTTTGTTGTGGATTAAAACTAATATTTTTAGGTATTAAAAATATGATGCTGAAAAAGAAGAAAATTCCTTGGCAGGATTATGTAAAAACAGAGAGAAGTATCTAGATTGAAAGAAAAGCCCTTCAAAAAAAGCATGTCAGAAAGAGGTACAGTAAGTTTTATGTTTTAAGTTAAAATTAAATAACTATTTTTTAGTTATTTTAATGCCTTAAAGAGGTATGGATTTAATAAAGCCTTTATTAAAGTGTTGGCCAAAAGAAAATCTTTTTTTAAAAAAAAATTCTCAAAAATATTTGATGAAATATTTTAATGATCAACTTGTAGGATAAAGTAATTGCCTTTTTTCTTGGTGACTGTTTTAATTTTCACTTGGCCAATTTTTGATTGTCCATTTTTTCTTTAACCTCTTTTTCTGTTACTTTTAGGAGGAACTTTTTCAAAATTTTATGAAGTTTACAGGGCTGTTGTTTTGGCCAAATTTAGTAGTTTTTTTGTTTGCTTTTAACTTGTGTTTCTGTAATAATGAGGTTTAAGCATATACTTATAGTTGAAATTTGGATGTTTAGAGGAAGGTGCTGCTTAATTCTAAGTCCCTCGGGATCTTCTTTCTTAATGCATATAGGATTTTTTAACACTTGATTTTTCAGGTTTCAACATTGGTAACCCTTTGCTTAAGTTTTTAATTTTGGTTTTTTTATCTCAAAATAATCCTGATGACTGTTTTGCTTTGTATATAGAGCAAATAAGGATAAGTGTAAAAGAATGATGTAGTAGGAGTGATGAAGTTTGGGTGAGGGACTCTTCAAACATTCAACTTTTTTGTCTCTTTTTAAGTCAAATTCATGCCCCAATTGTATAGGCATTATTAGCTTTTTATTTTTGTGTCATTTAGTGATGTGTGTCATATTTTTACGATAAGGTGGAATATGTTCTTCTTAAATGATAAGCAAGTATTCGGGTGGAAATTACTTTGATACAAAAGATTCTTTTCATTTTAGGTATGACATGTTGATTAGAAATCAATTGAGAAATTGTCTTTAGAATATTTTGGTCATTAAAGTTTCATAGTGATTTGATCATTCCCCAGAGTTTTGTTTTGTTTTTTCTTTTAGGACAGTCTTCCCTGTTGCCAGGGCTGGGGTGGTGCAGTGGGCAATTCATAGCTCACTGCAACCTCAAATCCTGGCTCAAGCATCATCCGTGCCTCAAGTAATAAAAATTTTTTTTTTTGGCCATAAAATGTGTTCTCTATGAGTTACTCAAATATAGAAAATTTGCTTTTTGTTTTTTCTTAGAGATGAGTATATTTAAATGATTATACAAAAGTGATTGGGGGGAGCTTAATTTAAGATGTCCTTTAAATTTTTTCTTCCCTCTGAAGTGCGAATTGGATGTTCCTTTTAAAGTCAAGGCTGGCCAAATTGGTAAGTACTTCAGTTTTCATTTGAATTATTCTTAGTCTTTTTAGTTTTTTTTATTTTGCTTATGTTATTTAATCTAAAATATTTTTTAGTTTGACCAAAAGTGTGAGAGATTTTTGAATCATATTAATTAGAGCTTACAGAATTCTGAGCCTAACATATATTATATATATAATACATACATACTTCAATTTTTTTGAGGAAAGAGCAGAAAATTACTCTCTAAAATGGAAGGATATTTGAGCTGCAATTATGCTCTTTAGGCTTTGGTTCTACCACACAAAAATATCTTCATTTTCAAAATGGATATCCAAATTTTGTGCTTTTTCTTTATGCGTGAAAGTAGTGTAATTTGCAAACTCTAGTAAATAAATTTTAAATGTGGCTTATTTCCGTCATATTTTTGTTCAACTGTTTTCACTTGATATATTATGCAGCAGTGTGTAGAGGATATGTTTTGGTAAGTACAAAGTCTCTTTCTTTGCCACTAAACTCTTACACTGAGACTATGTATAAGTAAGCATATATCTTTGTTGAAGAATTTTTTCAATAGGAAATTTAATTTACAAAGTCTTCCCAATTAGACCATGTTACCTGATTTTTACTTTTTTAAAAAAAAATATAAATTAAAATCCTACACGGCTTACTTTTATTTTAGAATTTCCACCTATGCCACATCCTCCCATCTCCATCACCCTGCTATTACAGCACCTCGTTTTTTGTCTTCAGTCGGTATTCTGTGATCTAGGAAGGCTTGTCTTTCATTACTCTAGCATCTCTTAGCAATATCTTGACTACTTCTGTTGGGTTCATTTTATATCATATATATGTGTCCTTAAAAGGACATTTTCATGTTTTTATCTTTTGAAACAGGAGCTATTCCCTTAGACTGAAAAAATCTGTAGGGCATGCACCATCAGTTTTATTAATATTTGTTGAATAATGCTGAGCGTGGTGGTGATGTTTAGCAGGGCTCTAGAAGTATAGCTGTGGCCCTACATGCTTGATTGAAATCCTGGAGTATAGAAGTTGTAGTGATTCATTTATTTTTTTACCTTTGAAATATTTATGTACACATGCTTTGTACAGGACTATCCAAGTAGCTGTGGGAGAGGCAAAGGTTGAATATGGCATCTTTGTCTTAAGAAGTTACAGAGATCTAAAATTAGGACATAGATTGAAATTGCATTTGTAGCGTTTTTAATGAGTTATAGTTGACTAAAGAAATTTTGCATCATTTATTATGTTCTTATAAATAGATTTTTGTTTTGGAGGAGGTTTTCTAATGATTCAGAATTTGTTCTTTTTGCTTTTAGTGTATCATAAGGATTTAATGACTTCCTTTAGGGTTATCCCTTGAGTTACAAGAGACCTTTTACATTTAAGGATACAAAGCATGTTTTTAAATATTTATCCATTTTTTTGCCTTATGGAGCATTTATATTAGTTACTAAATTTCTGCTTACGTTAAAATATTATACCCAGCGGTGTACATTTGCAGTCCTAGCTATTTAGGAGACTGAGGTAGAAGGATTGGTTGAGCCCAAGTGTTCAAGTCTGATCTGCGCAACAGAGTGAGACTGCCATCTCTACAACAAAACAGAACACATAAAAAATATCATACCTAACCTGTAGAGTCAGTGTGGCTAAATAAGCTAAAGCTAAAACATGATTTGGTTTTTTAAGAGATAGATATATTCGTGGGTACCCCTGGGTTATCCTTTACATAAAATTTTTAAAAATTTCCTGATCTCTAAAAAGAAACAGTAATATAACTGAATTCTCAGGACCTTTTTGAGAGATGGAGGGAATAATGAGTTAGGATAAAGGGAGAGAAGGAAAAGTTTAAGGAACAAATAATACCTTTTTGGTATGTTAGTTAAATAGGCATTTTCTACTTTTTCAGTCTCCTGTGCACCAAGAAGGCAATCAAATAAATTTTGTTAGGCGATTATGAGATAATTACACATATAAAAGTGTCCATCTAAATATAGGTGGTACTCACTGTAAAATCACCAGACTTAGAAATGACCCACAAGTATAACTGGTATTACCTCTAGACTTCCCTGACACGGGAACCATTTAAGAAACTCAGCAGGTTTATAAACTGAAGAGGAATGAATATGTAAATGGAGAAATACTTTATTTTAACCCCGGGAATAGATTCCTTGGTAAAACTGGCTTGCCTGTGTAGCCATCTAGGTGACCCAGAATATCCTCCATTACATTGCATTATTTTACTTCCTCTTCAGTGTGTTATACTGTTTATCTATTCCTTGAACTTCGAGCATCTTCATTTAAAAATGCCAATGATCTGGTTGTGTAAGTGACTTAATCATTCAAATTCTAGCATGGCTTAATTGAATCAGACTCTTTTCTCCTAAGTCTTGATCAGCAGTTTCTGAGAGAACTGTAGTTTTTATGGTGTCATTATTTTTTCAAATTATGATGAAAGAAGATATTTTATTTTGCAACATGGAAAACTTTAGAGGTAGGAAAGGTTTGGATAGAATTGCTGTAGTACTGTTGAGGGCAGATTGGGGCATTAGCTGCCTGGAAATCTGGAAAGAGAAATTACTAAAGATTGGGAAAGGATAAGAAAATAAATATGGAAACATATCAAAGACAGATTTTGTCAATTTCAAAACTTAGTTGAGAGCATGCCTTTTTGTCTTTTTCTTTTGCCCTGTACAGCCTTTTCCCCATAAAACCCCGAACTTGGGATAGTAATATTAGGGCTATAGTTCATCTGTGTTATGTGTGAAAGTTATTGTGGGCTTATCTCTAAAGGACCTGACATTAATGCCATTGTTTAATGGCATTAAAACAGAGAAAAGTTTTCTGCCTTCCAAGTGATTTTTAAGTAGATATTTGGAATATAACTGGTCTCAGTTGCCTATAACTGATAATGATGCTATTCATAAAAGAGTATAGTAAAGAATAAAATTGCCTTTAGAGCTAGCGTCTTCCAGTCATAGCAATTTGGCATGCTGTCAAAGTTCTATTCCTTAGGGGCTCTTCTCTGTGTTGCTCCTTCAATTCCTGGTATCATGTGCAGATATTATTTTACAGTTGATTTGTAGAGAATTAGATAGAACATTATGTGCAATATTAAGATAATTAACTGTTGTCATACATCTGTCTGCGTCTAGTTCTAGCATTCTCACCGATGACCTGGGTGGACTTAAGTAACTAATTTAACCTCTCTGGGACTGAGTTTTCTTTTTTTCAAAATTGAAATAATAGCTGCCTCATCCATCTTGTAGTTTTGGAATATTAAATGAGATAATAGTTATCCAAAAGTTTGGAAAACATAGAGCACAAGGTGAATATTCACTTCTAATAGTAATATTATATGGGAAAGATCTTTGTAAACTTTAGTGTTGGAGTTTTTTTCTTTATCCTGAGTGATACATGTACTGTATGGATGAAGAGTTTTGTTATACTTTTTCTCTTACTAGTAAGTGAGAAATTTATATCTTCTTGAGCAGTCAAATAAGAATTTACAATTGAAATTATGTGTCTTTAGATAAATTAACTCTGAAGATTCCTTGGAAAAACCTTTATGGAGAAGCGGTTGTTGCGACCTTAGAGGGATTATACCTGCTTGTTGTTCCTGGAGCAAGTATGTTGTTTTAGGTTATAACCATTTATTGACATCACAGTGAAACTAAATTGTTACCTGTGTTAAGTATTTTAATATATTTTGTAAGTCAGAAGATAATTTAAGTAAACAACTATATACATATATACACATAAATACATACATTTTACCATATTTGCATATAAGATACTTTTATGTTATTGTTGAAAAGAATACATTTAACCATTTAAAAATTTATTTTTTTCTTCATGAGTAATTATTTTGCAACGAAGACCTCATGTTGAGTTGAGATGCATTAGGCACATTTACTGATGAGGAACGAAATGAAATATGTTTTGAAAACATACTGATGTGTTAATCTACAGATTTCAAAGTTGGACATTTTCCCCCCAATTTTGTTGCTTCTGAGTTTGAGTGAATACTCTCTCAAAAATGTGTCTAAACTAGGCAATTTTTTCTCTGGGAATTATAGCATTTTAGTGAGTGTTTTAATGTAGTGATGTTCAAAGTCTTTAGTTATTGATTTTTTTTCAGTTAAAGAACAATATAATGTTAAGAAAAGTTTAATGTTTCAGGGAAAAATTACTTATCATTTCTCAATCATGATATAAGTATAGTTTTTATGTTTGCATTTTGCTTTCCAGTTTTTACCATATACATACTTGATTTTAAGTAACAATTATCATATTATATAGATAACACTGATCTGTCTTCTTCAGTTAATATATACATTTTTATATGTTTCACAGTTTTCATGGTAATAGTAGATTTTGAAAGGCTGTATGATATTCTGTTGTGGGCTACCTACTCATTTTTGCTCTTATAGTGAATACTATAAATACTTCCTTCTTAGAGATCTGTTCTATTCTTTTGTATGATTTCCTTAGGATACATTATCAGAAATGAGATTACTAAATAAAAAGTGTGTATATATTTTATATTCCTGAATTACTTTCTGAAAGTCTTTTTATCAACCTACATTGACACCAAGTGGTATTAATATTAGATATTAATTTTTTTTGTAGTTACTCAAAATTTCACCACTCAGGTGATAACTGGCAATATTCTGGTGTATTTTCCACCTCCCTCTGCTCCTCCCTCTTACCTTTCTACTCAGCATTTCCCCCTCTTTCCCTTTTTCCTATCTTCCTTTCTCTCCATAATTTCTTACCCTCCCTTCTTTCTTTTTGATACAAATTTTATAAGTAAATAGCAATCATTTATGTTTAAACTTTTTGTAAAACTAATCCAAAGAATGCAATAGCATTTTTGCATTACAAAAAAATGACTTATGACTTAACATTACACACATACACTATTATAATGAGGCTGAACTTTTCCCATTTGTTTATTTACTAATTTCATTTCTTTTGTGTGGATTAACTAAATATTTTTAGGTATTAAATATGATGCTGAAAAAGAAGAAAAATCCTTGCAGGATATTAAACAGAAAGAGCTATCTAGAATTGAAGAAGCCCTTCAAAAAGCAGCAGAAAGAGGTACAGTAAGTTTATGTTTTAGATAAAACTTAGATAACTATGTTTTAGTTATATTTAATGTCCCTTAAAGAGTATGATTTAATAAGCCTTTATAAGCTGTTGGCCAAAAGAATCTTTTTTAAAAAAAATCTCAAAATATTGACTGTAAATATTTTAATGACTCACATGTAGGAATAAGTAATTGCCTTTTTTCTGTGACTGTTTTATTTCACTGCCAATTTGATTGTCCCATTTTTTCCTTAACCAGTCATTTTTTCTGTGCTACTTTAGGAGACTTTTCAAATTTTATGAGTTTTTACAGGGCTGTTTGTTTTGGCCAAATGTTAGTAGTTTCTTTGTTTGCATTTTTACTTGTGTTCTTGTAAAAATAATGAGGTTAAGCATATTACTATAGTGAAATGATGTTTAGAGGAAATGCTGCTGTAATTCTAGTCCTAGGGATCTCTCTTCTTATCATATAGGATATTTTTAAACACTTGATTTTTCAGGTTTCAACATTGTAACCTCTTGCCTTAAGTTTTAATTTTTGTTTTTATCTAAAAATAAATCTGATGACTGTTTTGATTTGTATATAGAGCAAGAATAAGGATAAAGTGTAAAAGAATATTCTATAGAGTGATGAGTTGAGGGACTCTTCCAAACATTCAACTTGTTTGTCTCTTTTAAGTCAAATCATGCCCCAATTGTATAGGCATTATTAGCATTTTATATTTTTGTGTCATTTAGTGGCATGTGTGTATATTTTTACGATGAAGGTGAATATGTTCTTTCTTAAATGATAAAGCAAGTATTGGGTTGGAAATTATCTTTAGATACAAAAAGATTTCTTTTCATAGTTTAGGCTACTGACATTTGATAGAATCAATGAGAAATTTGTCTTAAAAATATTTTGGTCATTAAAGTTTTTCATTAGTGATTTAAATTCATTCCCCAAGTTTTTTGTTTTGTTTTTTTCTTTTAAGAGACAGGGTCTTGCCCTGTTGCCCAGGCTAGAGTGCAGTGGCATCATCATAGCTCACTGCAACCTCAAACTCCTGGGCTCAAGCCATCATCCTGCCTCGGCTTCCTAAGTAGCTGGAACTGCAGGCATTAGCCACTGTGCCTGGCCTAAGCATTTTTTTCTTATGCAGAAATATTAATTCTTTTACAAAAAATTACTAAACTACTTAAAATAGAAGTTACCATAATGGAAGAATTTTTTTTAAGCCTATACTTTTTCCCCTTTTTCTTCATAATTAATCCTTTGCACTCGGATGTCAAGTGTGGATAATGTCGAGTGGATAATGAGAAAAAAGCAAGTGAGTGCAAAGGGTTAAGCATATTTTGTCTTTCTGCTGAAGCATAAGTATTTGTGTTTTTAGGAAATCAGTTTTCTTTGTTTTCATTAGTTTTGTGTGCCAAATAAAGCAAGGTGAGAATGGTGTTATGACAATTCTAAGTGTGGGTTTTTTTTCTTTATATTCTGTTTTGGTTAATTCGTATTTGTAGAAATAGTATTATAAAAATGAAGAGAAAGTTGGAGAGCACTAGAATTTCATTTCTTTCATGAAACCGTTCAGATTTAATATACTTTATTAACATAATATGTAATAAATTCATCAATAGATATATTGACATATGAGTTGTTTTTATAAATAAACCCCAAACTTCTTCTTTTTTCCTTTTATTTTAGATGGAAATAACTTGGATTTGTTAAAAAATATTTCAGTATTTTCAGTCGTGTGGGAAAAGTTATGGTATAAGCCTCCTCATCTGTTTTAATAATTGACAATTTAATGGGCAAAGTGACAACCTGTTATACATACATTTTGTACTGAGTGCCTATGAAATTTTGTCTCCTGGGTCTTCAGTGCTTCAGAAACTGATATGTTTGGGTTGGGTAGAGAGGCTATTCTGGATGATTTGATTGATCTATGGAGGATATATATCTATAGCATTAATTTTGTGTAAATTGAACCATTAGGTTTATGTAATCTATAATAATTTACGTTATCTCTTCTTGGGCAGTAAAATTTAGGTTGTGTTGGGTTAGAATTAAAAATCAGAAAATGAATCTCAGTTGTAACATAATATGTTAGACTTGTCAAAAAATGTTCTGAGGATAAAAAAGATGAATTCGGGAACTAGGAAATATGTTCAGAGAGATTATTTTTCCTTAACTATGAAGAAATACATTTAAGTATCTTGACCACATATAAGTATTTTCTAGTTTCTATGGATATGAGTCACATCTTTATATAATGTTACACTTGTGAATGATAAAAGACAGCCCTGGCCTTCAGATCCTTCACATTTTACCGTTATTAATTAATAGTTATTACTTAATTTATTTTCAGACTTATTTTTATTCCCCTTATTTCTTGATTTTAAAAGCATGAAAGCACCATTGTACATGAAAAGAGACTTCAGGGTAAAGAGAGAAGGTGATTCAACTATGAGGAGCAGATGATAAAAATGAAAACAAAATCTTCATGTTGATCTGCTCAAAAAACCCCTATTTTTACTTAATTAGTTTCATTTGATAAAAGAGTATTTTCCACTATTGGGGGAAAAAAAGGAAATTGAATATAACTTTGCGTATATTTCTAGAGAATTTGCTTAACTGTAAAAATAAACTTTGTCATATTTTTTCGTTTTATTTCATTGGCGTGAGTTTAATTTTCTGGTAAGGGCTATCACAAAGTAAAGGGAAAGAGTAAATTCCTAGTAGGGCTAAAAGATTTCCATATGCTAGATTCTGTATTTAAAATTTTGACTTTAGCAAAGTTATATTTATACACACTTAAAAATCACATAGTTTTGTCAAAAAGACATGAGAAATGGCAGTCTCCTGTTCCACCCTTTGCTACTCTTCAGACCCACTCCTTAGAGGGAACCATATTTTTGTCAATATTAATATTGACAAATTTGTCATTATATAGTTTATTAACATAAGGCATTATCTAGAACTTCCTGTTATGGTAGTCATGGAGTTTACCTCTCTTACTATCACTTTTTACCCTAAATCCTCCTCCCCATCTTCTCATAATATGGATATATATAATACTAATTTTGGCCAGTTGTCAATATTTACATGACTATGGCAATATAATTATTGTTCACTGCATAGGTCAAATGATGTACTATGATTACATTTCCTTTCTTAAACAAACTTTTGTTTTTCTTGAATTTGTAAATGCCTCTTTTCTTATTTGTCTTAGTCTTCTATGTAAACTTACCTTTAATTCTTTTCACATGCCACATGAAATCTGTCTGTTATGTAAGTATTGATATTATTTTCCAATTGCCTAAACCTACCTATTGATATCTTTACCTATTCCATTTTCTTTTTGATTTCTCCCTTTGAACTGGATATTTTTTAGGCCTGCTACACGATTGCCATCTTGGGAGTGGCCTTCATTGCTCTTCTATGTTTAATTCACTGTTTTCGTGGGTCCCTTGCTTGTTTTTTGTTTTTTTCCTTAGTTTACTCCTTTGTTTTGCTGTAGCACATCCAGTAGCTTTTTAAGAAAGGATGCACTGGATATAATTTTCAAAATTCTTTAAAAGCTGAATGTCTTTGTATTTTACTTCTACACCTGTTTGGTTTATTTGAGAATAGAATGTTAGATTGAAAATTAGAATTTCAAAGACATTGTCCTCTGGCTTCTAGGTATTTTTGAAAAGTCTGATCCTAGTCTGTTCTATGTATTGTTGGAAATCCAAAAATTAGGAAAATCCCTGGACTGTACTGTCAAAAACCTTACATTTTAATTGGACAAATGAGATATTTACATAATTGTGAGCAAGAGAAAGTGTTGAGTGCCATCAAAGGGGTACAGATAGAGTGTTATGAGAGTTCAGAATGAATGTGTCATGTTCAGCCAAAGAGATCAGGGAAGAAGACATTTTGAGGGTGTATTTTTGAGCTCGGTCTAAAGGATGAATATGCAGAAAGGAGAGGGGGCATTCTAGATAGAGGGGATGGTAAAGGACAGATAGAGGGGAAAGTAAAAGGAAAAGTATAGAGCATCTATGGGGAATAGCTAATAATTTGGGAGTTTGATGGAGTGTAGTTGATTGTAAGGTTGGAATGCTAAGTTTAGGTCAATTTTAAGAGATTTGAATGCCCTAATGATGTTGATAATAGTGACAATGATAGCAGCTGATGTTTATTGAGCATTTACTATTTGCCAGTCACTCTTCAAAATGCTTTATATGAATTAACTCATTTGATAGTCACTACCATATGAGATATAGATGCTATGTCATCTTATATTCTTAACCTTGTGCAATAGTGAACATTAATCTGTAGTCAGTAGGGGAGTCAGTTAGTTTTCTCTTTCTTTCTTTAAAAATCCCAAGGAGTGACATGGCATAGCTGTGATTTAGGGAGGTTAAACTTGTGGTGTTGTCTAGGATAGGCTGGATTTGAGGGGAAAAATGGAAGTTGGTGCCATCTAGCTGTCATTAACAAGAGTGGATATAAAGGATTTGGACAGTGTATCTGAAGGGAACAGATTACACTTAAGCAAGCTGAGGTCATTTCAGCTGACTCTAAAGTTAGTGTCTGGCTGGGCATGGTGGCTCACACCTATATTCCTAGCACTTTGGGAGTCCAAGGTGGAAGGACTGCTTGAGGCCAGAAGTTCGAAACCAGCCTGAGCAATGTAGTAAGTCTCTGTCTCTGCAAAAAAGAAAAAATTTAGCCAGGCCTGGTGGCTTGTGCTTGCTGTTGCAGTTAATAGGGAGGCTGAGGCAGGAGGATAGCTTGAGCCCAGGAATTTGAAGTTGTAGTCGGCTGTGATGATACCACTGCACTCTAGCCTCGGCAACAGAGTGAGACCCTGTCTCAGTCAATCAATAAAATAAAAATAAAATTAGTGTCAGATATCACAATAATATTTAATTCTAGAAATGGGCAAAATGGTATGCAAAAAGAGAATTAGAATAGCAGATTTTTGCTCTGTTTGAAAATTTGTCAAAGATTTCAGTGAAATATTAGCCATAATTGATATTTGCCTGCCTCATTTAATTTGAAATGATTATTAACATTTTAATCTAGAATTTTTGTTTTAATATTATGAGATTTAAGTATATATGTTGAAAGAATGAAAATGATATCTATTTTCAAAATGTGACCATTTTCTTAGAAATAAATGGTTTGATGTCACCAAATAAATTTCAATGGTGCTGTTACATGATTTCTAATTCTTTGAAATGAAGTTTAGGCATATTTTACATGTGAAATTAAAGGTGTCTTTTAAATGCTTTGCATTTTGGTTATTGCTGCCATGCGGATGCAGGCGCACATTCAGGGGAGTTCATATATGGCTTGGAAAACTTTGTTTACAAGGACATCAAGCCTGGTGGGTATGCATGGTTAATTATATTTAACTACATAAAAATTATATTTTTTATACATACTTGTGCTTTTAGTGGAGTCCATTTGATGATATGCTATCCTTTTAGAAAATATGGAAATGTAATTTGTGTTTTTCCCTATTACCATCATTTCCTTTTCCCCATTTCTGTACTCATTTATTCATTTATTAAATATTTGAGGGTCTTCTTGTGGCAAGCACTGTGCTGGATGTTGGTGTTCATGGAGTAGACAAACACAATTCACTCTGCCCTTATAGCTTAGAATTTGATCTACTGATAAGTTTCAAATTCGAACTGCCTTTTTGACTTTAGTTCTGTAGTACAGTAGATTCTTAGTTAAGCAATCTCTCCTATGGCAGTGTCTTCAAATTTATAAAAGCAATAAAATGGAACCATTTTTTTTTTTTAGTGAGAATTTATTTAGAACCTTGCTGGGAGGTGCTCCTCTGAGCTTTTCACATCCTCCTTGATTTGTTTCACTTTGACAGTGGCTCTGGAAGCACCTTCAGACCACTGTCCTTAACAGCATATTGAAATTTGAAGCTTCACAAAAGGCAAATTGAAGGCTGTTAACTTGAGGATTTACAATAGGATTCTTTTACATATTAGGAAATCTACCAATGTGTTAAAATAATAATTTTTAATATTTTAAATAATTTGATTTATTAAACTTTATATTTTATATAGCACTTCAGGAATAAGGTCAATCACACTTATAATTTGCTTTGATTAAATTATAAGTCTACCTCAAAATATAAACAGTACGCCTCATGTAAGAATTACCTTTGCAGCTAGAAACTTCTTTAATATGTTGGTTTTTTGATGACAAATAGAAGAATTTGCATGGCAGCTTTTACAGCATTAAGTGAAATTACCCTGAAAGTGGTTTCCCTTCTATCAAATCCATTCCTTTAGTAAGTGTGGGCGACTAACTGTGTTAATTTTTCTTACAGTTACTTTGTTTAATGTAAAAGATAGCATGAAGATATTCATGTTTCACTGTCCAAGTTTGTAGGGTATAATTGAACCAGCTTTCTGTAGTCTGGGGAACATTGTTAAGAAATAGCAAACTGTAATAGTCATGATAAGGAAATCTTAATTGATTCAGGTTTCTTTTTTTTTTTTAAGTGCATTAGCCTGGATAAAAAATGAGGTCTAGAATATTGGTGCTTCTGAAAGGAGAATAGTTAATTTTGTTGATGACATCTTCATTCATTTGGCTAAGACTTCATGTATGCATCGTGATTATTTCCTCTTTTCAGTTTCTGAGTGTATATTCGTTCCTCATTTGATGTTAGTTTCTTTTTTATTCTAGAGCAGTGATTGTCAAAAAGTCAAAACTATTTTCATAATCATACTAAGGCGTTATTGATTTTTCACTATGTTGACATTTGCATTGCTGGTGTAAAAGCATTGATGTGTAAAATTGCTTTGCTGACTTCCTTAGCATGATTCAAGTTAGTGATACCACACTGTGCTAGTAGTCATTGTATTCTTCACTACCATGCATTTACAGTAAAAAAAAAAAAGTGCCAGTTTTACACAAGAATTTCCTTGATGAAGTAGGAAATTCTTAATTTTAATAAACTTCAACTTTTGAGCACATGCCTCTTTAATATTTTGTGCAACAAAAGAGGATGTATGCATAAAGCATTTGTGCTTACTGAAGTAGAGTGACTATCTAAAGGAAAAGTACTCATGCAGTTGTTTGAGTTGTGAGCTGAACTAATTGCCTTTTTTGTGGAATACCATTTTTACTTTGAAGAATGACTGACAGACTATCATTATTCAAATTTGAATGTTTGGTAGACATTTCAACAAAACAAACGACAATTTACTTCAAGTTAAAGCAACCTGCAATATTTGTTGCCAATGATAAAATTTGAGCTTCTGAACAAAAATTAGAATTTTGGAAAACTTGTACTTTCACCTTGAGCTTCCCTGCTTCTCAGTAGTACTTTAAGACTTTTCTGATGAGATTGGTTGTGGTATTAATAAATGTGACTACTGATACTAAATAATGAAAAGAGTCAACATTTGGAAGATTTTTGTAATTCAATAAAGTAGTATTTCCATATTATCAATGCATGCATTTGTAAAAGGTCCATTTAAAGTACAAGGTGTATCATTGATTTTAATTTGGATGAAAAATTTAGTGATAGGGTTTCAGAGTCCATAGCAGTTACCTTTAAGAAGAAACTTCCACTTGTTGAGTTTGAGTGTAGTATCCATAATTACATGAAAAGACCATGAAAATGCACCTCCTTTTTCCAATATCTATAGTGAGATCATATTTTTATCATATACTTCAATCAAAACAGACTATCTCAACAGATTGAAGGCAGAAGCAGATACACTAATCCAACTCTCTTTTTACCAATTCAGATGTTAAAGAGATTTGTAATGATGTAAAACATGCTGCTCTTCTCACTATAATGTTTTGTTTGGAAAATATAGTTATTTTTCATGACTATGTTATCTATGTTATGTAATGGTTTATTATTATTTTTAAATGACTTAATGCTTTAAAATTTTTTCAGTTTTGATTTTCAGTATGGTAAATATTAAATAGTTATGAACTACACAAATAAAAAGGTGTTTAGACCTCAAGTTTTAAGTGTGTTAAAAGGGTCCTGAGTCCAAAATGTTTGAGAACCACTTTTTAGAGTGTAATTGAGAATCATGAATTTATTATTCATTGAATTAATTATAATCTTTCTCTAAAGAACTATGCAGCACTCAGATTAGAGTTGAAACTGTTTAGAGAGGTTTAAACATGGTGCATCTAACATTGAGATCAAAGACAGAACATGGGGCTAGAACAAATGTGAAACCAGAAAGATAATTGGTTAGGTTAGAAGAGAATCTAAACCCAGACAGCTGAACCTCTGTCTCTGAAAGCTGTTTTCTCTGAGTGGAATGGTTTTTAGGCTTAGTCTGGCTTTCTTACTTGTTTCAAATGGTATTTCTTTGAGGATTTATTCTTTTTCTGTATGTTTAATTTATGAACAAACAGTCAGGGACCATCATTGTGGCAAGAAATACTGGTAATAGCACTACCTACATTCTGCTGTATGTTTATTAAATATTTTCTTCTTGAAACTCAGGGTTTTATTCTTGTAATCCAGGATTTGGTTCTTAATTTTTTTAGTGGCAGGACAATTTGCGTTAAACTATCACGGAAGAACAAATTAAAAATTTCAAGCTAACTTTCACATATATTCTCTCATATATTACATTGAGTTTATAGATTGTGCTATAATGTTCAAATGTGGATTTTTTGAATTATTTGAACAGATAAGTTCTGTGTGCTTTGCATCCAGATATTAGGATAAAGTTTGCCTCCTGCCTGATGGCAAGATAATTAGGCAAACACTTCAAAAACAGGATAGTCATTGTTAAATGGAATTCTATGTAAAATATAGGCCCTGGAGTTACTTAGGGGCCTTCCTATTAAAGGAAGGCTTCATACTGGAAGTAGTGCTGGACCTGAGACTTAGAAGCCCCTAGGAGTTTGCCTGATGAACTTCAGGGAAGGCAGCCCAAATTCAGGGAATGACATGTGTCAGAAGCATTAGGCATTAGAAGGTATGGTTTATTTTTGAAAGTATAAATAGTATTTCTGTAGTATCCAGTGCAAGGATGAGTGGCAGGAGATAGGACAGGGAGATAGGGGTCAGATCATAAAGGGACCTTCTGTATCAGGCGTCCTCAAACTACGGCCCGCGGGCCACATACGGCCGCCGGCCCTCCTGGTGTTTTGCCGCCACTGCCTGTCCTGCTTAGCGGCTGACTCTTCAGGGGCCCACAGCGCATTCTTCAACGGTCTGAGGGACAGTGAACTGGCCCCCTGTTTAAAAAGTTTGAGGACTCCCGTTCTATATCATGCAAACTCATTTTGGTTTTAACTGGCAGGCTGCAGGGAATCTTTGAATAATTTTGAGCAGCAGATTAACAGGCTGTGATTAGAATTTTAGAAGACATCAGTCTGGTAGCAGTGTAGAAGGACCTGTAGCAGGAGGTAAGGATGGAGACTTCAGGGCCGTTAGACCACCTCAGGAGTTCAGACTAGAGGCGATGTCTCATAGACAGTTGATTGTGAAGATTTGTAAGTTGCATAGGGCAGGTATTAGACCAAAATGTGGTAAGGCAGTGTCAAATAAAAGAGGATGAAGTTTTAAAGAAATTACTAAGCTAACACAGTGTATAGTTCCATGTACGTGGTACACTCGTTTCTTATATCCTTCAGTTATTAAATAGTTTGCTTGTGAGGCGTATCATCCAAAGGAAGTCATCTGTTGGCCACCTACCCTTTCATTTCATTTGTGTTCCTGTGTTCCTACCACACATTTATCAAGACCTTTCTCTGAAAGTTTTATAATCTGTCATTGTTACATCTCCAATATTTTGGTAGCATTGAAATTAAAGTGAATCTTTGTATTGTAAAGTCATTAATATTACAAAGGGCATTGAGAAATGGATATTTTTCCAATTGTAGTATAATTGTGCCTGCCAAGTTATTTTCTAGATTAAAGAAGGTTATTCTTTACTAAAGAAGGTTTGTGAATTTGTGTTTGTATTGAAATAACAGGTCTGTTTAGAATAAGGTAATGTGAGTTGTATCAGAATTTTCTGTCAGGAAGAATTCTCTTATTTTCTTTTCTGTCCTCTTGTCTGCTAACTTGAATTTTATCCTTTTCTCACTAAAATGCTTCCACTGAGAAGGACGTAAACGTAAAAAGCACAAAAAACATTTTAAGAAACCTTTTAAAGGTCTTGATCGCTCAAAAGGTAGGTAAAAGTAGTTTTTATGCCATGTGTTGTTTATACACATTGCCACTTGATTTCTGTCTTGGAAGGTAAAATGAATGTTAGATTACAGTATGTCTTCAAAAATAAGTTTTAAGTTGGAATTGCATATTAAAATCTAAACTAAATCTGAAATAAAACAAAGACACTAGAATAGGCTGTAATTTCTATTGAGTAGTACCTTAGATATCCTTTCGTAATTATGAGATGTGAGAATTTCAACTCTTGAGTTTATATTTTTCAATTTTTTTATAGATAAACCAAAAGAAGCCAAAAAGGATACATTTTTGGAAAAATTGGCAACGCAAGTAATAAAAAATGTACAAGTAAAAATCACAGATATTCACATTAAATATGAAGATGATGTAAGTAACTTTTGTTTACTTGGTTTAAATTAGTAATTAAATATGTATTTTATAATATCCTTGATTTATCTATATATGGATTATCTGTATTCATATTTAAATCCAAGATTGATTTTTTTTCCTGAGGAGTACACTACCATATTTTCTTTCTTGTGTTAGGCTATTTTTATTGGGCATTTAAATATTAATATATAAATCTACCATTAAAACTCCATGTGCACCTTTCTAAAGCTGATATAAGAGATTTTTGGATTGTTCTCTATTTTTTTTGAATTTTGTTTCATATGTTAATACTCATAAGGGACTAATTTTTGCTTTTTACCAAGAAAAGCATTAGTTCCAAAAGGTGATGAAATGACTGATGGTAATAATAGCCAAAGGGAACTAAAACCCTGGTCACTTAACTGTAGTCCCATTCTCTTTGCATTTCACTGAGTTGGATTCACCACCCACAGCTGCTCACACACGTGTGCAGCAATATATTTAGAAACCAGATTTCACTCACGACTAATAGTTTAAATTTAACTGATTAATCTTTTTTTTTTTTTTTTGAAGGAGCAGAATCTCGGTGTATGCCCAGGCTACAGTGAGTGCCGTGGCGTCAGGCTAGCTCACAGCAACCTCAAACTCCTGGGCTCAAGCAATCCTGCTGCCTCAGCCTCCTGAGTAGCTGGGACTACAGGCATGCGCCACCATGCCTGGCTAATTTTTCTTATATATATTAGTTGGCCAATTAATTTCTTTCTATTTATAGTAGAGACGGGGTCTCGCTCTTGCTCAGGCTGGTTTCGAACTCCTGACCTTGAGCAATCCGCCTGCCTCAGCCTCCCAGAGTGCTAGGATTATAGGCGTGAGCCACCTCGCCGGGCCTAACTGATTAGTCTTAATTAAAATGTAAAAAATACGTTGACGTTAATACACATTGCTTTCTTTAAAAGTTTGAAACATGTAAGAAACCTTAAATTTTTTAATTTACTTAGGAAATTGGAAGTGTTATTCCATCTCTTCTAAAATTGAATTTATGTTCTTTTTGTTTTTTATTTGCCTTAAGTTTGAATTGAATTAAAGCAATACTGACATTTATAGAATTTATTTTCCTTTCTTGGTAAGTTTTTTGTGTAACTTGATAATTCAGTAAGATGCTTGTAGCTTTTCAAAAAATACTATCATCTATATCTTATACCTACTTTATCTCTTAGCTTTATGGAGTCATTAAAATTAAATTTGTTAGCAAATAAATATCTTACAAAACCTAACTCATAAATGTCCCTGTTTATAACAAACTTAAGAAAATAAAATGTATTCAATACATCATGAAAGTGAAAGAATTATTGTTAAAATTATGTAGAGAAAAGGGAACCCCTATATACTGTTAATGGGAATGTAAATTACTACAGCCATTTTGGAGTTTCCTCGAAAAACTAAAAATATAATTACCATATGATCCACCAATATCATTTCTAGGCATAGTAGTTAGTCATCCCTTATCTTTAGTTTTGCTTTCTGTGGTTAGCAAGTTAGTTACCCACGGTCAACCTCAGCCTGAAAATATTAAATGGAAGATTCCAGAAATATTGATAAATAACACATAAGTTTTAAATTATAAGTTATTCTGAGTAGCATGATGAAATCTGCCATCCTGCTCTGTCCCACGTAGGGCATGAGTCACCCCCTTGTCCATTGTATCCACATTGTGTATGCCATTAGTCAATTTAGTAGCCTTAGTAGCCATCTGAGTAGCCATTTTAGATCAGGTATCAGATGGACTATTGTGGTATCGCAGTGCTTGTGGTCAAGTCATCCTTATTTTACTTAATAATGACCACAAAGTGCAAGAGTAGTGATGCTGGCATATTGTTATAATTGTTCTATTTTGTTAGTTAGAAATCAGTATGCTGAAGAGATTATCTGCACTCTCATGTTCATTGCTGTGTTATTCACAATAGCCAAGATACGGAAACAGCTTAAGTGCCCATCAGTGGATAAATGGATAAAGAAAATATGGGATGTACACACAATGGAATACTATTCAATCATAAAAAAGAATGCAATTCTGTCATTTACGAAAATATGGATGAAACTAGAGGACATTATGTGGAGTGAAATAAGCCAGGCACAGAAAGACAAATACTGAATGATCTCATTTATGTAGAACCTAAGAAGTTGAACTCATAGAAGTAGAAAGTAGAATGGTAGTTACCAGGGGTGGAATGAAGGGGGGGAAGATTGTGGCCAAAGGATACAAAGTTTCACTTCGTGGTCAGGAGGAATAAGTTCTGGTGATCTATTTCGCATCATGGTACCTATGGTTAATAATGATATATTGTATATTTCAAAATTGCTAGAAGAGTGGATTTGAAATTTCTTACCACAAAGAAATGATGAGGGATATATTAATTAGCCTGATTTGATCATTCCACAGTGTATGTATGTATCGAAACATACATTATATTCCATAAATATATACAATTGTTGTTTTTCAATTAAAAATAAAAATTTAAAAAACAATAACAAAAAAGTAATGGCATATTATTGACTGAAAACCTCAGTTTGAACTTAAACTAAGTTTTTAACTGAGCAAATACAATTAGAAAGGTACATTTTTTCTTTCCCTTTGATAAAAACAAATACATAGGTACACAGGAGAGGGATAAATAACATCAGTCACATTTAAATTGGTGTCAGAGACAAAAGATATTAAAATTATTTAAAAAAAAATTTAAAAGTACGAAGGATTTTTGAATTATGACTTACAATATAATTAGCTTAATTATTATCTATATATTAATAGGAGGATAATGGGAAATACAGTGTAAGAAATGAGTGTAGGGAAAATATATTTTGTCATAAACATGCTCATTGGTTAATAGCAGTAGTTTATAGGAAGTGAGTTAGCAACTGAGAAGTTGTGTTTAAACTAGTGAAAGTTTCTTCTGCAATAAGTATAAGTTATTTTGAGTTAGTTGTGTATAGATATAAAAAGATGATCATGGAAACAAAGGAAAATGTTTTGCCACAACTCATTATTTACCTGATATTAATTAAAACAAGGCTCATAAAGCTAGTTGTGCTTTTCAGCTATAGCAGAGCCTGCATTTTTCACTATTTGAGAAGGGTCCATGTGACTAAACTCTGTCCCAATTGGAGGATCCAGAATGTTATACTTTTCCTGTCTCCCTAGTTTCTGTCATGACCAAACAATTCTGTATGACTTCTGAACATCTTTAAGATGTCTGAAACAATGACACTGGGCACATTGTGATATAGTTTAAGCACTGTGTATAACTTAGGTATTGAAGATCAGAAATAGAACAATAATATTAATATAACATTAGCAGATTTAAGGTAAAGACACTGTGGAAATTCAGTTTTTCCCAACATAGTATTTTTAAGGTGTCAAGAAAATTAAAGACTTACACAGATAGTTCACATTTCCAAGTATGAAAACCTTAAATGTTTTAAAAATGATTTAGTGATAGTGTTGTCTGTAATACCTTTTTAAATTTGTCTATGAAGAACATCCTTAATGATACACATAAAAAGACACTGTCCCTTTTTTAACTATCTAGAGACAAGTCCATTTGGTCATAGTGAGTTGTCTTCTAATAAGAAAAGAATTCCACTGGGAAAGTATCATGTAAGTGTCATAGAAGTGTCATGGCTCCAAAAAGTAGATAATCCCAGCCGTCCTCCCCTTTCTTTTCCACAAATCCAATTGGGTTGTGTGACTTACTTGTAAGTACCTTTCTCTCTGCTGTGTATTGTAAAGGGTAGAGTTGGATCCACCTCACCATCAGGATATTTTAACATCACCTTTTCTTCTTTGATAGGTCACTGATCCAAATCGACCTCTGTCATTTGGCCTCACATTGGGAGAACTGAGTTTATTGGTAATCTTAGCCTAATTTAAAATTTCTGTGGAACCTGTAAAGTATTCTGAAATCACTTTAGAATTGATTTTAGGTGACTTGCCTAAAATCAACTATCACTATTATAGTATTATCTTGCTACAGCTTTTACGTATTATCTTGCTACAGCTTTTCTAGAAGTTTAACATTTTTAGTGATGCTATTATTACATTTTCTAATTATTTTGATTTGTCCTTTCCATGTAACAAATACCACAATATTATTATCAAACAATTTAAAAGAAATAAAAGTGATATCTTAGAATTAGGGAAAAAAGGGGAAGATAAATTTCTGTAGAGTCATATAATCATCCTTGGTACAGGTAGATGGATTTTCTAAATAGCTTATACATGAGTACGTGTGTGTGTGTGTGTGTGTTTGTGTGTGTTACATTGGGATGTATGTAGAGTAATTCATTTTGATTATTTTATAATACAGTTTGTTTTCCTCTTTAAGGGTAGAAAGTTGCGTACATACAGGCTGGACATTTTTTTTCCTATTATGGAGAACTCAGTAGTAGGAAACCTGTTTGGGGGCATACAAGTGAAGATAAATAGGTAAATTAGGTTTTTCTATAGAGAAAAAGATGTGGTTCACATAAACTTTGAAAGTTAAGGATAGTGAACCATAAGTCATACCAGTACAGGCTTGCCTTATGATTAGTTATATAGAGAAGGCCTCAGTAGAGAAAGAAGAGGAAGAAAAAGGGAAGGGAGGTAGACTGGCAGAGAAAGAGCAAGAAGGACATGGTTGTGTGGAAGGGCTAAGAATGACATGGGAATATAGAGAAGTAGAGGTATACATCAAGTTGAAGAACAGAGCAGAAACAAAGAGTCAAGGGAGCTAGTGTTTAATATACTGTTTATTCTCTACCTGTTTCCAAAATGAATTTCACGTAGCTTTCAGTAAAAAAGTGTACAGTAATATCTTTAAAGAGATTAGAATCTGTTCTGAAGGGCAGAGAGAAGTGTTCCAGAAAAACTTAGACTAACAATTGTCATCATAAGAGAATGCAGTATATATAACTTTGAGCTTCTAGTAGACAAAATAGAAAATGCAAAATAGTCATGTACCTCCTATTGTCTGATAACAAGCATGCTAGTATATAAAAATATGTAGCTTTTTTGGTGTTTGCTCTTGTTTGATCCTTTGCTCAGACTCTTTGTACTGTTTTATTTGCCTGTATTACTGGTCCTTTGGTGTGATTCTACTCAGGTTTTAGTACTTACGTGATTTATTACCTTGTCTTTCTCATTTTTTAAAATTTCTCTCTTAGAATTTACCTGTTTTATGTTTTCCATTATATTTTATCAAATACCTGTAATATGTTATTATACTGGTTACCATGTTAATCTCCTATCTAAACTGAGTTCATTCACTGATATAATAGTATTATACTTACCTTTTAGTGGTTTTATAATGATTAAATAAGATACTTTGTGTAAAACACTTGGCATATTGTCTGGCTCAGTTATTTCCTGATTCAACTACTGTGGCTATCATAGCAACAGTAATGGTAAATCTATGTCTTTTCTTTCCATACCATTCCTTTCTTCCATTTTTCCAATTAAAAATCTCACTTAAATCTAATCTTCCCACCTCTGATCTGGATCTCATCTTACTCGTCTTACTGGCTCCTTACCTGTTGTACTGTGACTTGACTCACTGCACTGAAACTGCTCTTAACAAGTTCATCAGTAGTGCCCTTGCTGCTGAGTAATGTGTGACATTGCTGAACTCTCTGTCCTTTTAAAAACAATGGTCTTTGCAGTGATTTCCATTCTCTCCTGGTTTTCTTCCTATTTTATGATAATTTTATTTTATTTTTTAATAAAATGGACCCTCTTCAGTAGCGTAGGCTGGCTCTTTGTTTTCATTCATACCCAATTCTTTCCATAGCACATGCATATAGTAAGTAGCCCAATGATTATTCTCTGAATGAATGAACTCAGTTAAATTAGGACCTCCTGAATTCTATTTTCATTGTTCCTTTGATTTTGCTATTTCATATATGAAGAAACAGCTGACATTAGCTAACATTAGCTAGCTGTATTTTCTTCCTAAGTTATTTTGTTATAGTTTATAAACATTACAGCACTATTGTATGACATCAATACCACATTTCAGGTATTTTCTTTTCTCTTTTAGACTGCAAACAAACACTGGACTCCATGCATATTAAATGAAGCAGAAAAAATTATATACAAGGTATTATTAGAATAAAAATTTCTTGTTAGTTTCCTAGATATAAATACTTAATGTATTGGAGGAACCTTGATGGAGCACAATGTGCCATTAGAATGTGAGTTAAAAGTCTAAGGTCTAGTTTTGGCTTTGCTATTTTTTAATGCTATGTGACCTTCTATAATCGCTTACCTGTTCTGAGGTTTAGGCTCTTCATCTGTCAAATGAAGAAACTGGATAAAATTATTTCCCAAATGATATTTTATGAAGCATTAGGTAATTGAGATATTTTTAAATGCTGTAGAAGAAATATCCTTTGGTCAAGTAAGATTACTGATTAAAGTACTAAGCTACACATAATTAAACATATATGTTTCATTTTGTTTTAAACTACAGGACTTCAGAGTACTTTAAATATGCTAATAAACACTGTGTATCTCCAAGAGGGATGTTTAGCATGTGGCTTCCCCCACCTTGTTGATTGTAGACTCTTCTCCTGTCATTCTCTTCTTGAGACAGTCTTTCATATCTGCTAGAGGGATCATGTCTTTCTTATTCAGCAAAGCATTTATAGGGTCTGTTAAAATATTCTCAGTACATATTTGATAATTGAATAAATCTCTTGGAAATAGTGTTCTCAAAAGCACGATTTAGCAAATGCTAGACTTAATAAAATCTATGAATAACATGAATATATTTTCCCACCATTTTTGTATGATATTATGTTTTTTTAGAAGTTCAAAATTGCAGTTGGGTAATTTTAGAATAATTAATATGAGAATAATATTTTAATATTGATTCATAACTGCAATGTGTTTGTTTTTTGACCTCTTTCATTTTTCTTTTATAGCTCATGCAACTTGATAGTCTTAGTGCCTACTGGAATGTAAACTGCAGCATGTCTTACCAGGGATCAAGGGAACAGATTTTGGTAATTTTAATTTATACCTGTAAGAGCTATCTACACTCCCTAAATTTGTTGAATATAAGAGATCCTTAAGACATGTATCAGTCATTTGTTTAACTTCTGTGTTACTAAATCAAAAGTGTGAAAACCATTCTTTGGAATCTACTCTGTGTCTTCCAAAAAGCAGTTTTGTTTTTGAAGATCTTTGTGTAATCACTCACTAGATAGTGACATGAAAACCTATACTATTAAATTAAAACTGCTTTTATGGTTTTTTACACTCTCATTTTGATGGCAATTTTGTTACATTGTGATATTTCATACGTGAATGATTAAGAGTATTATAAAGAAAGATTATAACTTTCCAGTATAAAGTATATATCCTTGCCAAATGTTTTAAGCATTGTGGTGATGATTTCTTGAATAGTGGAATATTCATTCAAAACTTTTATATGCTAAACTAATCTTAGTCATATAATTTACTTAGGAGAGAAAAGAAGAACAATCGAATATTCTGAAGGGGGTTAATTTCAAAGTTCTACTTATTTCTCAGCAAGATACTGTAACAAATAATTTACCTTTGAGAATGTGTTTGAGATTCCAATTCATGGATGTACATATATAAACATGTTTTTTTCAAAGTCAGAGGTAAACACAGTATTACAATATTGTTTCCAGATATTTAGAATTTTTAAAAAATATCTGCTTCTGTATCTTTTTACTAAAAAAATATATTTGTAAATAACAGTGTATTTTTCTTATGGACTACTAGTTACAAAAATAGAGGAATAAAAATACTAATGTAAGAACCAAGTTTTTTTTTCTGTATTCATGGATGAATATGTATGTATTTTCTTTTTCATTCTCATTCATATTTTTTGTTTAGGATCAGCTGAAAAATGAAATTCTTACAAGTAGAAAGATACTCCCAAATTACCAATGCAGTAAGTAATAGTAAAAGTTTATTTCATGTTATAGGAAAAAAAGTGGAATTAAATATTTTAACAGACTTTTTCTGGTAAAGTTACTTTGACAAACAGAACATAATTAATTTTGTACCTTAGTGATATAATACAGCATATTTGGGTTATAAATAATTATTTAGGAATGGATCATAAAACCTACACCCCTGGAGAATAAGAGTTCACTCCCTACAGCCAGCCTCCTTTGGCCTCCATGTATTCTTCTTACCTTGTTGTTGTAGTCTTTGTTTTAGGATTTAGGTTTCTTTGTTTGTTTAAAAAATTACTAAATCTCTGAGATCTGGGTATTTAGGTCACCCCTAGCATGTTACTATTGTAGTGTTAAGATAAACCAACCATTATAAGATTTTTTTAAGTGAGCTGTTCTATTTCTTGGCAGCCTCACCTTTATTTTAAAACTAGACAAAGCTACCTGCTTATTTATTTATTTTTTCCATCTGTTTTCTTCATTTCAGTTTCATTATAAAGAAGTTATTGGTTTGTTTTTATTTAGTATAACCCTTTATGATCTCAGCTTTTATACCCATGCTGTTTTCTATGACTCTGGTTCGCTGTTGTTTTCTTGATGTTCTTTTATAGCTCATTGTTACTGGATGATAGTTAGCACTTTATCTTATGTTCACAGACCCCTGTATTTAATGATGACAAAATTTTCAAGTGCTGCTATTTTGTGAAAGCATTTAGTTTCATTGATGATAGAAGTAGTTCAGAAAAATCTACAACTTAATTCTTGGGCATTTTCCATTTATAAATAACCTACAAATCAATTATAATTTTTGTATAATCTTATATTAATACAAATTGTAATTGCCCATAAGGTATCATAATTTTTATAGTTTTAACACTATTTTCACAGTTAAAATTTATCACCTTTTACCTGTCATTTTCCCTAATACACCATTCTTCCTAACCTGAAGAATGTTTTCTTTAGTTGATTCTGAGATTATGTATATGATGATCATTTCCAAAGTCATAAAGTAGTGACTGATTTTTTTTTTTTGGAATGAATTTTATTCATGATTATGTTCCTAAATTCTGTCAGTGATTACATGAGATAGAAGTTATTGAGATTTCATTTCCTTCCTTGTGTTAGTATTTTTAATGACTAATAAAATCATTAAATGTCTGATAGCAAGGAAGAGAAGCCTGATTTTATATAGACTGTGAACAACTAAGAGTAGATTGCCTGTTTTATACATTTCTTAACCTAGAAGCATAGGACTCCATTTCCTTTTTGGAGATTCCACTTTACCCACTGGAGCTTATTATTTTGCAGACAAGTAGATGCTTAAATATTTTTGGTAGTGATTTTGTTACACATATTTTTGATTACTTTTCTTTACTTTAAGAGTAACAGTATTCTCATAATTATTTACAATTGTTCACATGTAAGAGCATATAAACATATCTTATGTCTTCCCATGTGATGTAAGTTTTTCAGCCAATATCAGCCTCTGCAAAACTCTACATGAATCCTTATGCGCAGGTTGGCTGGCTCGTCGCAGTACAAATATTGCCATTGAACTGACCAAGCCTCAGGTACAATTTATTTGGACATATCTAGCTTTGTTTAGCCTTGAATTTTCACTGTTTTTATCCTTTTAATTATTGCTTCTCTTATGGTCTGGTAGTTCTTTTGGCTTGTTATAATGAGATTTGACTCTTAAAAAATCTTTTTTTTAATAAGAGAAAACAAATTTCAAGTTTAAAAAGAGTTTAGAAAATAATTTCCTTTATTTTGCCTGATCTTTTCCTAAATGGTGGAGAATCATATTAGGCTATAGTGAATGACATTATTTCTATTTAATTTACAATTGTTGGTGGAGGATTTTAATATGTTTTTCCCTCCTCAGTTTTTAATAACAGACACTCTTACATTAAATATTGTTTCTTTAATTTTTAGAACAGCTATATTAGCAGCTTTTCCTCCATTTGTTTTCCAAGCATTGTTTCTGGGGTTATCTGCCCAGAGTGTTTGGGTAACAGACCTGGAGAACTGGGAGTGAAAGGAAGACAGGCAATAGCTAATTGAGCTTTTAGCCCAGTACTGTCCAATTAAAATGTAATGCGGGCAGGGCGTGGTACTCACGCCTGTAATGCTAGCACTCTGGGAGGCTGAGGCAGGAGGATGCCTTGAGCTCAGGAGTTTGAGACTAGCCCCAGCAAGAGCAAGATCCTGTCCATCTCTACTAAAAATAGAAAAATTAGTCCCAGCTACTTGGGAGGCTAAGGCAGGAGGATCCCTTGATCCCAGGAGTTTGAGCTTGCAATGAGCTATGATGACACCACTGCACTCTACCCAGGGTAATAGAGTGATACTCTGTCTCAAAACAAAAACAAAAACAAAAAACATGTAGTACAAGTTATTTTTGTAATTTTAGTTATTCTAGTAGCTAATTACGAAAGTAAAAAGAAAGGTGAAATTAACTTTAATAACATTTTGTTTTATTTAACCTAACATTTCTAAAATATTATAATTTTAACATATCATCAATATAAAAATTTTAACAAAATATTTTAATATCTTGCCCCCTCCTCCTCTAAGTCTTTGAAATCTTATAGACTTACAGTACATTCAGGTTTAGACTAGATGTATTTCAAGTGCTGAATAGCCTCATGGTAATCCTTAGTTAAGAATTGCATTAAGAAAAATTAGAGAGGAGGAAGGTAGATTTGCCTCTTTCTCTATCTTGCCTGAAGTCTTGTTACCTCTGAGTGTGTGTTTTTTTTTCTTCCATTTGAGCTGTTTATCTGATCCACACAGAGTTGCTGTGTTGGCAGTAAGATAAATGGGTGCTTAGATAGTTTTATCTTGCTTTAGTTATGCCATAATTTTCTGGAGCAGTTTAAAATAAGCTGATAGCTACTGCTGAAATGACGGTCCAGAGGAATAATATGTAGTTTTAGAAACAGGCATGTTTTATGTTAGCAGTTACAGATACCATATTTCATTTTTTCTAAGGCATAGATTTATTTCACATTTTAATATATCTGAAAATAGGATATATATTATTGATCGTATAACAGTTTAATTGGCAGCAGTTTTCTTTTGTAGTGGAATCTAAAAATTATGTTATAACTTATAATTGATAGTGTATTAAGTTTGATAAAATGCAGTATATAATTGAGTTACTGGGCAACATTGTTCAGAAAATTTCGAGTCTCACTAGACTGAAAAGTATAATAAAATTTGGTCTTTATTCATATGTGCAATATGATAAATATAATTTTATTTTTGTTTTAATAGTACTTAAGTATGATTGACCTTTTGGAGTCAGTGGATTATATGATTAGAAATGCCCCTTACAGGAAATATAAGCCTTATTTACCAATTCATACCAATTGTCGACAATGGTAAGTTATGCTTTGTTTTCTATATTATAAGAACGTATGTAGTTAGGGACTCTCAGAGTTAAAAATTCTTTAAATCCATGTAATTCAGCCACTTTCTTTTAAAAATGGACAAGAGTGTGATATCTTTTAAATGTCCGTGTTATCTTTTTCATAAGCGTATCCACCGTACTCCTGCTCCTAGATTCCCAAATTCTTAACTTAGCATTTAAGACTTTCAACATTAAAAAAAAATCTTATTTCTCAGTCACCTACATGGATTCAAAGTTATAACTATACTGGAATACTATTAATGTCCCATAACATGTCATTTTGTGCCTTTATGATTTTTTTTTCGTACCCCCATCCTGGAAATTTTTTATAATATCTCAATCTATTTAAGTCAGAGAATTCTACTGGGGAATTGAAATATTATTGTTGAGCTCTTATAGGAAGACACTTAAGGACAACAAAAATTTATAAGATCTGAAATTAGACCTTTATATTCTATATTCAAGTGCGCATTAACAAAATTTTATTTTCAGGTGGAAATATGCAATTGATTCTGTTCTTGAAGTTCATATAAGAAGATGTACACAGATGTGGTCATGGAGTAACATAAAAAAGCACAGGCAGTTACTCAAGAGTTATAAAACTGCCTACCAAAACAAGTTAACCCAGACTAAAGTCTCAGAAGAAATACAGAAACAAATTCAGGTATATCCTGCATATATTAGTGAGAGCTATTATTTGTCTAATCATCCTTTAATGTTAATTCTTCTGCATTTAATTTGAATCAATGTATAATTTTAGAACAGAACTCATCTCTTTTTGAGAGACAATTTTATGGGAAAATGCAGAGTATTTTTTTCCCAGTTTTTTCTTTAAAAAAAAAACAACTCTTTTCCCCCATCTACTATAAGATAAAATAAGGTTACTATAAACTGGGGAAATGTGTCTGGTTTATAAAAATGTGGGTTTTTTTTTTGTTTTTGTGTGTGTCTGGTTTTTAAAATGTGTCTGGTTTTAAAAATAATGTTTAGAGAATCAATATCTTAGCTATTTAAATATGTATTTATTAGCTAGCTATATCTTGTTTTGTTAGTAAAAGCCCTGTATTTATATGGTAGTGGCTTTTTAAAATATTTCAATATTTTATTTATAAAAGATAGCTTTTACTCCTTGAGAAAGGAGAGGAATCTTATCTATCCCCTTTTAAAAGATAGAAAAGACACACTGAATCCATAATTTGCTTAATATCATCTGATCTAAGTTATAAAACTACTTCTGCCAGTGATTCATAGTGTGAAGAATGAATTGAATTTCTATTATTCTGAAATATGTCTGACAATCACCAGCATCTTATGTTAGAAATAGCATAAGTATTGGAGTCAGATGGATTTGGGTTCAGGTGCCAACTTGGATATTTACCAAGTGTTCTTCTGACCATGGGCACAAGTTTCTCAACCTTTTTGGGTCTAATGTTCTTGTATATAATATGGAAACAATATCTGTCTTCCAGAGTTGTCTTCTAAAAATACATGAAATGATATATAAAGCACCTACCAGAGGTCGTCCAGTTAATGTTAGAGTCCCACTACACATTTTATATAAATCCTTCAAATCAGTTTCTACTTTAGCCTACTTATTAACTTACAGAATTTTACATTCTTAAATTTTGTGTGTTTTATAATGGTGCAGTGGTATAGTGGTTGTAATATAATATAGAATGGGGAGAGTAAGAAGTAAGAACCATAAGGATGATACCTTAAACAAATCTCCTTAAATATTCTTATTTTCATGTGCATATCTGGATGTCTATGAATTATAATGGTCTTACAGAAAACTTGTTATTTTCATACTATGTTTAATGAGGATTTACTTGGAGTACTTATTTCCTCTTACTGTAAACATTTTAGAGATGTGGCATGGTGTGGTGGTTCACTCATGTAATCCTAGCACTTTGTGGGGGCTGAGGTGGGAGGATTACCTGAGGCCAGGAGTTTGAGACCAGCCTGGGCAACATAGGAGACCTTGTCTTTATTTAAAAAAAAAAAAATTTAGTTGGCATGGTGATACGTACCTGTAGTCTCAGCAACTCTGGAGGCTGAGGCCCAGGAATTCAAGACTGCGGTGAGCTATGATGATGCTACTGCACTCCAGCCTGGGAAATATAGTGGGATGCTGTCTCTACAAAAAACAAACAAACACACACACACACACCACTAAAAAATTCCAAACCTAATATACATTCAAATTTATACTTTCATTAGATCACAAATACTGGTAATGAACTAGGTAAGCCTAGAACTCATAGAAGAAAAATTTTTTTCATCTAATGGTCATTTTTCTTGTTGAAAAGTATCTCTTTGTTTTATAGGACTTGGAGAAGACTCTAGATGTTTTTAACATAATTTTAGCACGGCAACAAGCACAAGTTGAGGTAATCGTTTTTATCAGCTAATTTTATGTTTTAAATATGTGAATACCAGTCCTTTAAACCTAGGAGCATGGTTGAGTTTTTATTGCTTAATTTAGTATCAGGAGAAAACAAAATGGAATACTGGAAAAAAGCCACTAATATGAAAGGGAAAAATTTTATAAACTTTTATAAATAATTTGAAAAACTCCTAAAAGAATGTGAATAAAAGTTATCCATAATCCTAACAACTTAGAAAGCTACTGTTAACATGCTGGCATATAGGCTTCCAGTTTTTCTCCCGTGCTTACATACCTACTTATTTATGCTTTTTGTCCCCCGTTTCTTTTACTTTTTCTTTCCTTGTTTCCTCTTTGCTCCCTTCCTTCTTTCTCTCCCTCTCTTCTTTCTTGTCTCCTTCCCTTCCTGCCTCTCTCCTTCTCTTTCTTTTCATCTTCTTTTCTTTCTTTCCAAAATTAGAATCAATTTGCTTATAATGGTTTATAACTGTTTCTTTATTGAGGCCTTGTGTATATTGTTCAGTGTCGTTTCTAAGAGTCAGTAACATGACTTTTTGGTAATTAAAAAAATAAATTACAAATGCAATACAGTGCATTATAGAAAAATTAGAAAATGTAGATGAACAAAAGAAGAAAATAGAAACACTCTTCTTACATACTAAAGGTAACTACTGTTAATACCGTTCTGTGTATCCTCTTAGTCCATTTTATGATTATAGATCTCAATATATACTTATACTTTTAAGTGAGATTAAAGCATACACAATCGACCCTTGAACAATTGTGAGCGTGAGGTGTGCCGACCCCCCTGTGCAGTTGGAAAATTTGATATAACTTTTGACTGCCCCAGAACTTAACTGCTAATAGCCTACTGTTGACTGAAGCCCTTACTGTTAACATAAACAGTTGATTAACACATATTTTGAATGTTATATGTATTACATATCATATTCTAACAATAAAATAAGCTAGAGAAAAGAAAATGCTATTAAAATCATAAAGAAGAGAAAATTATATTTACTATTCATTAAATGGAAGAAGATATTCATAAATGTTCTCATTGTTTCTTCTCACTGAGTAGGCTGAGGAGGAGGAGGAAGAAGAGCAGTTGGCCTTGCTAGCTCAGCAGTGGCAGGGGTGGACACAAATGTGTGTATAAGGGGACTGGTACATTTCAGACCCATGTTGTTCAAGTGTCAGCTTTACATTTGTCATTTATTTGGCAAATACTCATTGAGTGCCTATTGTGTGCTAGCATTATGGGTAAGACTTGGGAGTAAGATGGTCTAGATTTTGATACCAGTTTTGCCATCTACTACTTGTATGATTCTGGTTTATTTAACCTCTGTGTGCCTTGGTTTCCTGATTTAGAAGATGAGATTAATTAATAGTACCTGTATCATGGGTGATACTGTGAGGAGTTCATGATAATTCATGTAAAGCACTTAAACTGTTAGGTGCCTGGCATGTAGTAATTGCTAAATAAGTAATACTTTTTCTTGGTCGTCATTAATCATTTGCATTAGCATCACGAAATCGACACACATTTACCATGTATATTTCTACAATGTCAAACCCTAATTTCATTCTCTTTTTCGTTAGAAAAGGCCGTTAATAAACATCAATAATAAAGCGGAACGAATATGGATAGTGCTCAGAGCTAGGCAGTGGTGATGATTGGCTGTTTTAAACAGGTAGTCAGGGAAAAGCCGTCACTAAGAAGAAAAAAAAAAAAATTGAGCCTTGAAGAATGACTTGTAGAAATGAGTAGTCAAGCCAGAAAAGCTTTCCAAGGGAAAGTATTAACCAGGCAGAAAGAATAAGGGGTTCAACAGATTTTGGGGTGGGGTCCATAATCTGGCTCATTCAGGGAACTTCAACTAGAATCGTGAGAAAGGGAAAGAGTGGTTAAATGGAGGTCAGAGAAGTAAGGTTACAAAGAGGATAATGTGCTACGTGTGCTGTTTGTGGAGATGCCAGATTGCATAGCATTTTATAAAGCCACTGTGTAGATTTTGGCTTTTGCATATATTATCATTATAATATACAATATGTTGTATATAATACCTATATAAGTCATAGAAATTTTGCTTCCACCTATACCCATTCGCGTCTTTATCCTTACTATAAGTGATAAACACATGAATAGCTTCTCCTGTAAATGTTCTCAAATTGTCTCTATTCTCTAAAGTACAAATTCTCTAGGTACGCGTTATTGGGTCAAAGAATATGAAGATTTTAAAAGGTATTTGGCATCCTAACTAACTGTGAAATAGAGGAATGAATACTGGCAGAAACATATTGTTTTACTCCTCCCTAACTTAAGTTGCTTTAGTGTAATTATATCTTCTTAATACCAGTGATAGTTGCTTAAAAATTGAAGAAAGAATTAATTGTTGGATACAGTAGACAAAGAAGGATGGCTATGGAAGAAAAGGCAATTAGATTTATCCAAGATTGGTGGTTTTTCATTGTAGTGGAAAGTGCATAGGGCCAGAGAGTTTGAAATATAGGCTGTGGATTGGCTGCAGTTATTTATCCTGGGCTCTTAGCTGGACAGCAAAAGGAGTGAAGGCAGCAGATGGCTATTTGGGAAAAAGTGAAAAGGTTCTGCATTCATCTTCATAGTCATATATATATTTTCATTTATTTTAGGTCTGTCATATATTTTATTTTGAAATAATTATAGGTTTACAATACATTGCAAAGATAGTTCACAGAGGTCCTGTGTACTCCCAGTTTCCCCCATGGTTACATGTTACATAATTATAGCACAATATAAAAACCAAGACTTTGACATTGATATGATGTGTATATTTAGTTCTGTGACAGCTCTTATATTTTTTAAATGTTAATGCTTGTATTTTTAAATGACAATTGTCAACATATAAGAAAGCTTTTCTTCATTGTTCTTTATTCTGTTACTTTTTCTTTATAGCCTTTATCATTGTTTGAAATTTGTGTTTTTATTTGCTGCTTTCATATTCATTTCTGCTTTTACTCTTAAGTCGAAGATTTTCAGTTCATTTTGAAATTCCTTCAAACTTACAACATGTTGGTCACACATTAAACCAAGATTTCAATGGTAATAATGGCTGTATCTTTTCTTTTTAAATGTTTTTAGAAATTTAGGTAGAGATTTGAGAAAGGGAGAGTTGAATGTTGGGATTTGCCACCACGTTATCTTGATGTCTCTTATCAAGATATTATTTTTTAAATCCCTTCATAGTTGATTTCAATTAATTCATTTTTCCAAAATAAAAATATTTTTTCCTCAACATAAAAAAAATTATTATAGAGTAAAATCTTTATGGGGGCTAAAAATATGGTAACAGTTAAAAAACAGTTTAGTGCCTGCCCTTTTAAAACTATAAGTTTACTTAAAAAGATTTTAATAAAATATTCAGATGCTTTACAACTCTTTCTGTATTTGGAGTTATAAAGAACTGTTATAAATCCATCTATTTATTAAATCCAAGTATCAAGGAGAGGTTTGAACTTGCAGTCTCTGGTTGCATTTTCCCTAAAAGAATTGGTAGTAGATTCTTTAATGCTTGAAAGCACAGATGATACACATTTAATAGCATGTCATTTCCAAAATAGCTCAGTTTCATCTACTTGGAAAACTGCTGAGACAGTTGAACTCCCTGCTTGATGATCTCTGCTTTTGTTGAAGGAAACTTATTTGTTGTCATCTCTGTGGTTCAGAACCCCGGTTGCACATTAGAATCACCAGGGGATTAAAAAAAATACTGATGCCTGGAACCCACTCCCTCAAGATTTGATTTAATTGTTGTGTAGTGGGACTTTGGCACTGTAATATATTTTTTTTTAAGCTTCTGGATGATTCCTATGTGTAGCAAGAATTGAATACCACTGAGCTGTGTATCCACAATAGCTGACCTGTCATTCACTTTCCATTTGCAAATCCAAACAGGACTTCAATGTATGCACTCAGCCATGGCTTGTGACAAAAGTTTAACATTTTCCCCATGCTCAGTCTTTACATTCACTAATCAAACCTATTCTGTTTACTATAGAATTCAATTCTTTTCATTTAATTTCTGTTTTGGATTATTTCACATTTTATTATACACAGGTGCTTACAATATTAATTGCTAATAAATAAGTAATACTTTTTCTTGGTTGTCATTATCATTTTGCATTAGCATACAGAAATGAACAAAACACACATTTACCATGTATATTTACAATGTAAATCCCTAATTTATATTTTTATATTAATTTTATATATTATTTATATATTTTTATATATATAATTTATATATTATTAAATATAAATTTATAAGCATATATTTATATATTAATAATTATATACAATTATATATAATTTATATATATTATATATAATTATATAAATATAAATTATATAGATATAAATATAAATATTATATTATATAAATATAAATTTTATATATATATATTTATATATTAAAATATATGTATTATATATAATTATAATTATTTTTATATATACATTTTTATATAATTTATATATTAATACAATATGTTATCAATTCACCCCTAATTTAAAAACTCTATATTCTAAGTGGAAAAATCATTAAAGTGTACTTCCTCAGAGGATGAGAACATAGAATATGAATTACTTATCCCTTTATTCTCTTTATTCCTCTGTTTTCTGCTTTTTGTTTATTCGTCTATATTTCAGTGAAAAGTGGATAAAGAGAAGGAGAATATGATGTTAAAGTTTTTGAGCAAAGAGGATGCAGGAATTTGAGGACTATTTTTATTTACATTCCTTCTTTCCCTGCCCTGTTCACAGTTAGAAAGCCAGCAATGTATTAATATATGAACTCTGAAATATGATGGTTTTAAACTAACACGTTTTTGGGTGTGGTCACTTTCAGAGGACTTTCCGTCTTATAACCTGCAGGTCTAGTGGCTCCTTAGCTTAAAAATTTGAAAATCATATTGCTTCGCAAGATTTTACTTGAAACGTTAACTATATATTGCTGAAAAAATGCAGCCTCATCAAAATGCTATCAGTTGGTGTGGCAAGTCAGTTAACAGGGGGGAGTACATTAACCAAACCATGTTGTAAGCATCATTTAAGATCAAACCAGCATTCTTGACTGGTTGCATCTAATGTGGTGTTAAAACACAATGTTTACAAAATTAACCATTGTTCTTACCTGGATACACCTGCAAATGAAGAGGGCATTATTCTTCAATTAAATTTTTTAATTTTAATTTTTTAGGTGATTCGGTCTGGGCAGAAATTAAGGAAAAAGTCTGCTGACAAAGGCGAGAAACGTGGAGGCTGGTTTAGTGGGTTTTGGGGTAAAAAGGAATCTAAGAAAAAAGATGAAGAATCATTGATTCCTGAAAGTAAGTTCCAAGTCAGATAATGTATTGTACACTGATAAGAAACAACTATGTAAATTATATCTTGCCTGTTAGTTGAATTTTGTTTTAAATTACATTTAAAACAAACTTAACTCAGTTATAGTAAACATATAAGCAAATATGTCATGCTGGAACATTCCTGTGTTTATCTAACTAAAATAAAATTTTGATTTTTGGGAGAAAAATTATGTCAAATTTAAAGTTACATGGATATTTAATTCCCAGTTTTACGTGGATCTTTAATTCTAAGTTTTACTTAAGTTTTAAAATACTTAAGAAATTCTGAAATCCTCATAAAAGAACTGAATTTCCTTTAATGGTATCTCTTTAATTTTTCTTGCCCTAAACCAGGCATGTTTGTTTAACTAGTCAAAGCAGTAGTATATTTGAGATTACTAGGCTAAATTTGCTTTAGTATTTGTTTCTGTTGATTTTAAGATTCTTGTTACTGTGTTTCCCCGAAAATAAGACAGAGTCTTATATTTATTTTTCCTCAAAAAGACACCCTAGGGCTTATTTTCAGGGGATGTGTTATTTTCCCCTCAAAGCCTCAGCTTCCAGCACGCACAGGATGGCCGGGACCTGACAGGGTGAGCCGACCTTGTTGGCGGGGCTGCCCACACCTTTCCAGTCACCTCTGGGATAGTAGCTGTCCCATGGGACAGATGAGAAGGGCTGCTCATCTTCTTTACTACTCCCCAAGAGGAAACGCATGGGTTGTGCGGATAAGCTGTGTAGCCACACCCATCTTATTTTCGGGGGTAGGGTTTATATAGCACAAATGCTCAGAAATCCTGCTAGGGCTTATTTTATGGGTAGGTCTTATTTTTGGGGAAACATGGTAGTTTGGTTTGACTTTTCAATTGTATTGGTAAAATGGAAGCAATTAATTTCTTAAAATGTTGTCTTTTCTTTGTAGCTATTGATGACCTTATGACTCCAGAGGAAAAAGATAAGCTCTTCACTGCTATTGGTTATAGTGAGACTACCCACAACCTAACTTTACCCAAGCAGGTAATTATTGAGTGGTTTAACAGGTATTTCTGTCTCATTTTACTTTGTTAGATTGAATTGGGTTAAAGTTATTGATTTTTAAAGTAACTAATAAGAATATGTTATTAGTTTCTACTTTACTATTTAATTGTTGAATACTTCTAGTCAGGCCTGATTAAAGTTCTCGCTCTAACTTTAGATTGAGTTGCTGTAGTGAATGTAAGAATAACCTGATAAAAAGTACTTATTATAGCGTTAAATTGAATCTTAAATTTTATCTTAAGAAAAAATTTTTAAATTGTGATATTAGTATAACTCATATGTAAAAGCATGAGCAAACTAAAATGCACTGCTCATTGATCAAAAAGGGAACAGGTATGTAGCAATTATTAAGGTCAAGATTTAGAATATTGCGGAACTCCACTGTAGAAGCCCCTGAATGCCCCAGAATTGCTTCTGCAAAGGTAACCATTATTCTGATTTTTGTGGGAATCATGTCTTTGATTTCATTTTGTTTTTTGCTGTAAACACTATGATCTTGTTTTGCATATTTTTTATCTTTCTACGAATGGACTCATAAAATATGTATTTTTTTGTGTTTAGCTTTGTTGTTGTGAGATTCAAACCTGTCATTGCAGTAGACGTATTTTGCTCATTTTCATTTCTGTATAGGATTCAATTATTTGAAAATACTACATCTTATTTATTTGTACTTTTGTTGATGAACATTTGGGTGGTTTCTAGTTTTTGATTGTTATGAATAATGCTGCTCTGAAGTTCTAAGTGTCTTTATATGTGTATATGTAAGATTTTTTGTTCATCTACTTAGGAGTAGAATTGCTGGGTCATAGGATATGAGCATGTTTAATATTAGATTCTACTAAACAGTTTTCCAAGTTGGAGAACATTTCCAGTAGCAGTATATGAGGATTCTTGTTGCTGCACGTCTTCACCGACAATAGGGATTATCAGTCCTTTAAATTTTAGCTATTCTAAATGGGGATATATAGTAGTGTTTCATTATGGTTTTAATTTTCATTTCCAGGATGACTAAAGAGGTTTTACACTTAATATATTTACTAGCCTTTAGATAACCTCCTTTGTGAAGTGGCTTTTGAGTCTTTTCTCCATTGTTAGGTTGTCTGTCTTTTTCTTATTGGTTATAGGAATTCTTTATGTATTCTGGATATGACAGGCTTTGCTAGTTAGATGTATTGTTAGAATATTCCCCCACACTATGGCTTGGTTTTTCATTTTTAATTGTGTTGCAAATATCTTGTCCCACAATGTAAAGTGCATTTTTTATTCTCTTAATAGTGTCTTTTGATGGCTATTTTTCTTATTTTTAATGTTTATTTATTTATCTTTTTCTTTATGGCTTGTGCTTTTTTGTGTCCTGTTTAAAAAGTCTTTTCTCACCGTAAGATCATGGAACTATTCTTCCAGAAGCTTTATATTATTTTACTTTATATATTGAGATTTATGGTTCATCTAGAATTGATTTTTGTGCATGGTGTGAAGTTGAGGTTAAAATTTGGTTTTTGTCTACATGGCTGTCTGTTTGACACAACACCCATTATGGAAATGACCATGCATTCCTACTACTCTCCCTTTACCCCTTAATCATCAGTCAAGTCTGCATATACTTGTGGAATCCATTCCATTACATTGGCCATTTGTCTGTGTTTGTAATATGCTGTCTTAGTTACTATAACTTTATAATCAGCCCTGCAACCTGGCTGTGTAAATCCTTCAACTCTGGTCTTCTTTAAGATTGCCTTATCTCTTCTTGGCCCTTTAAATTTCCATATAAATTTTAGAATCTGCTGGTAAGTTTTTACAAAAAACTGAGATTTTGGTTTTATTGAATCTATAAATTAATTCTGGGAAAATTGATATCTTTACAGTATTGAATTTTCTAATCTGTTAATGTAGCATATACCTCTATCTCTTTTTTCATTTCTTTCAATAATGTTTTGTAATTTTCTCTGTAGAAACTGAACATCTTTTGTTGGTTCTCTGTCCTACTTCCAGTCTTCACCCAGCGAATTTTGGGCCAGGATTTTTTTTTTTCTGGTGTCTTATTAACACTGTATAACTATCAAGCAGATGTTCTGTATGGCTTTTCTTTTCCTCAGCCAGAGGATTGGTCCCAAATACTTAATTTGCATTAGTGAAAGCTGCTGAATTGAATCTTTATGCCCAATAATGTTTTATCATTGTTTCATTGTTACAACCTTTAAAACTAAGAGAAATGAATTTTTGAATCTTTTGTAAATATTCTATTGGACCAGGCAATTTTATATTGAATGTTTAAGTGTTTTTTTGTTTACAGTGAGCATATGAATGCCAGAATGTACCATGCTCTATTTGTTATACAACTTTATTATTCAATAAATTTAAATAAGAAATTATCAAAGAAAGTAATTATTTAAACTTTAAAACTTTTCATTCTTTCTTTCTGTTTAGTATGTTGCTCATATAATGACCCTGAAGTTAGTTAGCACCTCTATTACAATCAGAGAAGACAGAAATATTCCAGAAATACTAAAAATTCAGATAATTGGCCTGGGCACTCAAGTATCTCAGCGACCAGGAGCACAAGCACTTAAGTAAGTTTTTAAAAGCTTCTTATTTCAATTTTTATTTCTAGTTATCATTTTAGGACAAAAAGTTGTTTGTTATTCAGGATTAAAAAAACTCATTAGTAGTAGCTCTTCTTTAATTTCTTTTCCTTGTATGTGCCAAGATAGTCTTTTTATCTTTGTTTTTGTTGTGTTATAGAGGAGCTATTTAGGTACTTCATCATTTGTCCCACCCTCCCTCCTCTCCTTTACAAATATTTGCTGGATACTGTTTTATTTTATAGGCTCGATTCTGTGAAAGTTTTGAATAGATACAGTAAATTTCTGTTTTCAAGAAGTTTATGCTATTGTTGATTAGAGAGGATATACAAAAAGTTAATAATTGAAGAACAATATAATGTATTAGTTCAAAGATGAGAAGGCATTGTAAAATTAAATACATCATAGTTACTGCTACATGAGCTCAGTTGTGGAAGAGAATAATTGAGCTAGGAGAAGGCTTATGCTAGCTAAATGGAAAGGACTAGGAGGAACAGGGATGAAGGAGGGTGTTGAAAGTGGAATGGAAATAAGGAGAGAATTCATCCGTGTCGCATGAGCTTTTATTCATACAACAGTGATCAAAACTTTTGCAGTGTTCTTGAGTTAAGTAAAATGGTTTTTTTATCGGGATAAAGAGGAGTTAATAAAAACAACAGCAACAAGACTGTGTGGGTAATAGAATGCCAGGCTAAGGAGATTGAACTTCAGCTCTGGGTAATGCGCATGATCCTGGTCCTCAGAGATTTTTAAAAGAAAATGTATATTTTAACCTATTACATTACAAAGGATATTGTTTATATCATTTCCTTTTTCTTCATTGGATTATAGGGTAGAAGCAAAATTAGAACACTGGTATATAACAGGTCTGAGGCAGCAAGATACTGTACCATCACTTGTGGCTTCAATTGGTGATACTGCATCATCCTTACTTAAAATAGAGTTTGAAACCAATCCAGAGAATAGTCCTGCTGACCAGACTCTGATTTTTGAATCTCAGCCTGTGGAGGTCATCTATGATGCTGTAAGTACAAGAAGAAAGTGATTCTTTCTAAAAACCATCTTATGTTTTTGACATGTGTTTTTCTTATTTCTCCTCTCTCATATTTAACATTTATTTACTTAACGGGTGCATTTCATAACACTTTTTTCTTGTTTCAAAAGCAGTGCATGCTTAGCTATTAATTTTGATTTTTTTTTTTTTTTGAGACAGAGTCTCGCTTTGTTGCCCAGGCTAGAGTAAGCGCCATGGCATTGGCCTAGCTCACAGCAGCCTCAAACTCCTGGGCTCAAGCAATCCTCCTGCCTCAGCCTCCCGAGTGGCTGGGACACCATGCCCGGCTAATTTTTTCTATATATATTAGTTGGCCAATTAATTTCTTTCTATTTATAGTAGAGATGGGGTCTCACTCTTGCTCAGGCTGGTTTCGAACTCCTGACCTCGAGCAATCCTCCCGCCTCGGCCTCCCAGAGTGCTAGGATTATAGGCGTGAGCCACTGCGCCCGGCCTAATTTTGTTTTTTTTACATGTTACAGATTTTTTTTACCATAATGTATGCACTTATGTTAAATTTTTTAAAATCTAGTATACTTTAAAAAATCATGTTTATTGTACCAGCTACTACTCCCAATTAGTTATACACTGACTTCCTGCTTCAACTCCTTATTGTGTATTGTCTCTTTGCCGTGAATATTTAGAACCAATTCAAAGAACTTTAGGAGTGATGAAAAGAGATTTTAGTATTGTTCACATGAGAAAAAAGTATCAGCATTTATATGTTATCGAAAATGTTGACTCCTCAAGTTCTGTATCTGTGGCTTCACCTTTCATTCAGCCTGTCTTATCCATCATCTCAGGTTATTCAGTAAGATGGGCATGGTTCACTACTTGTCTCATTGCTTGGAGATTGGCCCCGCCCTCTCATTGAGATCTTTGACTTAATTTTACTTTGCAGTTTAGAGCTGTATTCATGATGTGTGTGGAAGGCAGTATATAAAGATTCCAGAGCTCATTTATTCTACAATTTTAAAAATTGTAGTGTTAAGTACATTCATATTGTTGTACAACCAATCTCCGGAACTCTTTTCATCTGGGAAAAATCTCTGATTTTTTTTTAAGTTCGAGTTTTGCATATAGGCAAGGGATGAGCAGCTTTTTTGCTATTTCTTCTCTAAACTTCAAAGTGCAAGGAAATCCAGTAATAGTGTAGAGAAGTGGAATTTCACCTTCTGACTAATTGGAGGCTAAAACTAGAAGTAATGTCTGTTGCTGCATCCACATGACACTGGCGAACATGTACTCGGCACCTTAATGATATACACATATTTGTTGTCTCTCCAATAAGCTCACTTAGGCTATTTCTTTCTCCAAGTTCTCTTTCATTCCTTAGGGAGATGTATAATAGTAGGACAGAATATCTTTAGAGTTCCTTTGTTCAAAGCCACAGCTGTTTAGAATTGAGGTGAAACCTTAAAATTTATAATACAGAAAGTACTATATGTAACTTGGTTATGTTTTAAAATTCTTTTATAGAAAACCATCAATGCAGTGGTTGATTTCTTTCAATCAAATAACGGATTGGATCTTGAGCAGATAACATCAGCTACATTGACGAAGCTGGAAGAAATTAAAGAGAGAACAGCTACAGGTAAAAAATTTAGTGTTTACATAAGCATCAACTAAACTTTAAAAATTTTGTCTGTTCTAATGTAAACATATTTAAAATAGTGTACATTGCTTTTTTTCTTTATTTTAACACATTGACTGCTACACTAGATAAAAGAATTTTTTCCTTGGGGCCACAGTGTTTTATTATGAAGATAGAATAAAGACTTTGAAAACAAAACAGTCCTTTCTCATTTAATGAAAAATTTGTTATTTTTAATTGTTTTCTGTGGGTGAGTTACATGCAACTTGAAAAATAGTTCACGTGGCTCCCTGGGTGAAGAGACATGAGTTACATATGCTTCACGAGGCCCTGGGCTCAAAGCTAGCATGAGTTAAATACAACTTACAGGACAGTTAATGTGTTAAACTCAGGCTGTATTATAGTACAGAGTGGACATGGCTTACTTGAAGTTATATATACCTGCCAGACTTGGTGAGAAAGAGAATAAGATGAAGTCCAGATGATTATGTCTGCTATTACTTTCAAGAACCTGTGCTCAGATGAGCTTGAGATTGAAAACATCCCTCCATCTCACTTCTTAAGAAACTGTTCATCACACTGTGTGTGGATCTAGTTTTAAAAATACATACTTTTGTATAACATGGCCTCTAAACCCACGTCCCATTTTATCTGGTTCCTTTACCAAGGAAATAATGAATTTTTCTATCCCTGGATAAAATACTAACTATGCTAGGTTTATTATACTATGCTATGATATGATTGTTTCCTACTGACTTACACAATTTTCACCTTACATGCTGAATTGAGAATCTAATTTGTGAGGAAAACTGACATTCCTTTATAATGCTTTTCAGGTAAAATTCTTATACTACTTGTTAATAGTACGATTACATATTTCAAATTGACCATTCATTATTTCTTTGCCTTCTTTAGGACTTACACATATTATTGAAACTCGAAAAGTTCTTGATTTAAGGATAAACCTGAAGCCTTCTTATCTAGTAGTTCCACAGACAGGTTTCCATCATGAAAAGTCAAACCTTCTGATCTTAGATTTTGGTACATTTCGGGTAGGTATATGTGAATTTTTCCCCCTCAAAGTTCACTTAAAGTAAACCTAGACTTACTTTATCTTAGCTTTTTTCTAAGCCTAGCTGAGAGTATTTTATATATATTTTATGGCTATTAAACCAACCCCCCCCCCCCCCCCCCCGCCAAAGTTTCTATAGTGGTAGGTGATTTGACATTGAGGACTGGATTACTTCTATCTTCTCCTAATTAGAGAGAAGCATTCCTAGTTTTCATGGTTTCCGGAGTTTAATTATACAGTATTATCTGTTGCTTATATATTTTGATCATAGGAAATTGTACACATATGAATGTATATTTGTTAAAGCACTGTCAATAACTAAGTAGAGCAAGAGAACTTCTAGATTTTCATAGATTTTCTAGATTTTCACCTGTTAAACGGTGAAAATTTCAAAATATATGAGGAGGCTTCAAAAAGTTTGTGGAAAAATGGAATTAAAAGATAAAAATTTAAAATGTAAACTTTATTTTTCAACATAAGCTCCATCAAGTTCAAGACACTTTTATAAGTGATGACACCAGGCATTTAGTCCATCCCTAAAGAACTGAGGGTCCTGGAAATCTAAGCATTCCAACACAGTCTTCTTTTTAATACTATTAACTGAAGAAAATTGGGTGCCCTTTAAAGATTTTTTTTAAGATCAGGAAACAAAAAGGAGTCAGGAGTCAAATCAGGACTATTAGGCTAATCAGACTTTAAGGGTGCCTAGTGATTACCCATCAACACGCTCACAGAATTGCCCTTGTTTGATGAGAGGAATAAGGAGGGTGGTCGTGGTGGAGGAGGACTCTGGTCAAGCTTTCCCAGGCATTTTTCTGCCAAACCTTTGGCTGATTTTCTCAAAACACTCTTATCGGTCTTTGGCCCTTCAGAAAGTCAGTAAACAAAATACCTTGACCATTCCAAAAACCTGTTGCCATGACCTTTGTTCTTGATGGGTCCACTTTTGCTTTGACTGGGCCACTTAAGTCCTTGGGAGCCACTGCTTTGCTTGTGCTTTGTCTTCAGGATTATACTGGAAAAGCCATGTTTCATCTCCTTACAATTTTCCAAAGAAAAGCTTCAGGATCTTGATCCCTCCCACTTGTTCAGAATTACCACTGAGAGCTCTGCTCTGGTCTGCAGCTGATCTGGGCACAGTGGTTTTGGCACTCAGTGAAAAGTTCGCTCAATTTTAATTTTTCAGTTGGAATTGTGCAAGCTGAACCTGTTGAGATGTCTGTGGTGTTGGCTATTTTTTCTGCTGTTAATTTTGGGGCCTGTTTAATTAGGGCCCAGGATTTATTTTTTTTCCTTGTAAATTGATGGTCTGGTGCTGGAAGTTTCATCTTCAACATCATCCGGTCCCTTGGTAAAAAGAGTTATTCATTTGTAAACTGCTGATTTCTTTAGGTCATTGTCCCCATAAACTTTTTTGTAAAGCATCAATGATTTCACCCTTCCCCCATCATAATTTCAGTGTTTGTTCTTGTTTCAATTTTAGCAAAATTTGTGTTGCTCTTGATAGGGACTCATTTCAAGCTCATGTCTTCTTATTGCCTCAAAGTAGGTCCTGTTGAGACATGTTGTAACAGGATAGTATGAGTTTATTTTAGTGCAAAATAATTTATAAATTCGTGCATGGTTTTTTGTAATACACATTTTCCATGAACTTTTTGAAGACCACTTGTATAGTCCTGAATTGATCCTTGCCACCACTGAAAAGGGGGAAAGGAAGTAGAGATTGGAGCTGAATTCTAATGGCATAATTATGCATGTGGTATAGTGGTGAGAAGAAACAACCTTGCTATTTTGTGGTGAAGGGTGTAGGGTGGTTAGTCGTGGAGCTGAGTCATAAGTGACAATTACTACTGAGAGCCAAGAAGGAGGAGTTGCATGTCAGGCAGGTTATTTGAGGCAGACAGCTGTGTAAATGATCTAATTAATGAAAATGTGCTGAGCACCTATTTCTCATCTATAATGGAGATGTATGCTGAAATATATTCCTAATGAAGTATTTGTAAATAATTATCAGAAAATTCATTAAAATGTGAATTCATTAAGGGCAATCATTTATTTTAGTTAGGTTTATCAGAAGCCTAACTGAAGTATGTTATATATATACTTTGCTGTTTGGGAAACAAAAATTCAAGTTTTTCCTTCATTTTAGCTCAACAGTAAAGATCAAGGTTTACAGAAGACTACTAATTCATCTCTGGAAGAAATAATGGACAAGGCATATGACAAGTTTGATATTGAAATAAAAAGTGTGCAACTACTCTTTGCAAGAGCAGGTAAACAATTATTCAACTTTTAGAATCTTGAAACTAAAGTTGAGTAGCTTCAGTAATGTATGTGTATGTACATGCGTGTGTGTATATCACCTCTGACAACCATTTTGCACACATATACTATTGGTCACTTAAGAGAACCAGATAGGAGCCTATCAGCATTAATCATTGCCACAACATTGTAGATACAGCCTTAAAACCTTAAAGGTAATTGATTATTTCCCAAAAGCTTTGGTGTTTTCTACTACTTCAGTAAAGATTTTTGGTTTTTTAGACTTGTTTACTTTTTAGGAACAATAAGTATTTGTTAATTATCCTTGAATATATCACTTTGGGGTAGGTCATTGGAGAAAAGGACAGACATAATTTCTGTATGCAGAGTTAATACTCTATTAGGAGGGATGAAATTTATTAAAATATAAATATATAATGCTCTACTTAATTTTTATATCCTAGGAACCCAGTAATTCCTTGAAGGGAAGTACTTACACAGACCATTAAAATGGGGTTTTCTTTTGTATGTACTTAAGTATAATTGTTTGAATTATAAGTGATAAAAATTGTTAAATCATTGCCATCAGTAAAGATCTTCATAGGACTCCATTAGCCATTGGAAAATCTGTCTTTGAGACCTTATTTGAAGAAAAGTGATTATTACACTTTTTTGTCATAAAATCTTACTTGATAAAACTCATTTTTACTTTGGAATTATGTGCTAAGCTAGTGTAAATATTGCACTTAGGAACCCCATAAATCTCATTTTTTCCTTTTTTTTTTCTATTTTTTTCCCCTCTTCACTGTAACTGTCCACCATCACTAATTCTGGAATCAAGGTAATAAATTCCTGAGGCTTTTTTTTCTTGGTTATTTTGACATGCAAGATGTTATCATATGAATGTTATGCAAATACTTAGAATTAAGTTTGTATCACAGTTTTTGTTACCTATTTGTATTATAAAAATAGGTTATTTAACTTGTATGCTGAAAGAAGTAAAAGTTGGTAATCATTGACTCTGTTTTAACCTAGAGTGGTTTTCCACAGAATACCTGATAATTTAAAAAAACAGTCATTTAATATTTTAAATTATTTTTTAAAGAGGAAAACTGGAAAAAGTGCCGATTTCAGCATCCATCAACTATGCATATATTGCAACCAATGGATATTCATGTTGAGTTGGCCAAGGCAATGGTAGAAAAAGACATTAGAATGGCCAGGTAATGTATGAGTTTCTTTTGTATTAGAAAATCAACAAGGTGAAGTATATCTGCATCAGTTACTGGCTTTTAAGGAAGGAAAGATAGATTTCTATAGGAGACAGAAAAAAATAATGATGATTCTATTTTGTAGCAGAAACACATTTGTAAGAAAATGTATATTTGAATTATATATCACCTCTCTTATTTCAGAAGTATTTGGACTTTTATAATATATTCTGTAAAAGTTGGGTAATCCATGTTTTTGAATGGATGCAGTTGAAAGTTCAGTATCAATGAAATCTTCAAAAAAATTAGAGATTCTTTTGATCATGAAATCATGTAGAATCCTGAAAAAACTAAGAGAATAAAAAATAGAAACTGATTTTTGAATTTAAGTAGACAGTTATAAAATATTTATGCTGCCTTTTTAAGAACAGCTTTATAGAATTGACATTCAATAAACTGTATCTACTTAAAAGTTACAATTTGATAAGTTTTGACCTCTTCTGTATATCTGTGGAAGTGTCATCAAAATAATGATGATGATAATGAACACATTCATCACCTTCAAAAATTTCTTTGTTCCCTTTGTACCGCTTCCTTTCCTTTCTTTCCCTACCTAAATCCTCTTCCCCAACTTCCTGCCGAACATCAGCCTGCTTTCTAACATAGATTTGTTGGAATTTTCTATAAATGGAATCATAGCATTTTAATTGTTTTGTTTGACTTCTTCCATTCAACATAATTAGTTTGAGATTCATTTATGTTGTCTTATGTAGCAGTAGCTCATTGATACTCTTTATCACATGGATGTTAAGCCAGCCTTGCGTTGCTGGATAAACCTCACTTGATAATGACATAGAGGTTGAACACCCTTAATCTGAAAACCCCAAATTTAAAATGATCCAAAATTCAAAACTTTTTGAGTGCCAATCTGACACCACAAATGGATAGTTCCATACATAAGTACTTAACACAAACTTTGTTTCATGCACAAAATTATTAAAAATAATATATAAAATTACCTTTGGGCTATGTGTATACAGTGTATATGAAACATAAATGAATTTTGTGTTTAGACGCGGGTCCCATTTCCCAGGTTATCTCATTATGCGTATGCAAATATTCCCAAATCCCAAAATTACAAAGTCTAAGGCATTTATTTTCCTAAGCATTTTGGATAAAGGATACTCACCCTTGTGTTATTTTTTAAAAAACATTACTGGATGTGGTTTGCTAAAATTTTGTTATGAAGTTTTATATCTTTGTTTATGAGGGATATTGGTCTGTGCTTTGCTTTTCTTGTTTTGGTAAGAGTGTAATAGTGGCTTTGTGGAATGAGTTTTCTGGAAGATGTAGTGTAGAATTGTTAGGTAGAATTTATTGGTACCTACCTTAAATGTTAGGTAGAATTTATTGGTAAAGCTGTCTGGGCTTAGAGTTTTCTTTTTGAGAGGGTTTATAACTATAAATTCAACTTCTTTAACAGATAAAAAAGGCTATTCAGGTTATCTATTCTTTTGAGTGATCTTTTATATGTTTCAGGTTATTTATTTATTTATTTTTCATTTTTTTTAGATACAAGATTTTACTCTTTTGCCCAGGGTGGAATATAATGGCATGATCATACCTCACTGTAATCTCGAACTCCTGGGCTCAAGTGACCTTCCCATCTTAGTCTCTTGAGTAGCTAGGACCACAGGCATGCACTACTATGCCCAGCTAAATTTTTAAAATTTTTTGTCAAGATGAGTTCTTGGCTGTGTTGCCTAGGCTGGTCTCAAACTCCTGGACTCCAGTGATCCTCCTGCCTTGGCCTCCCAGAGTGCTGGGATTACAGATGTGAGCCACTGTGCCTGGCTTGAAGTGTTTTAAATGAGGGTTTGAGTTATTGTTTGTGTGACTCAAGGAATTTGTCCATCTTAGATGTTAAGTTTATTGGTATAAAGTTACCTTTATAATACATGAAGAATCTGTATTGATGTTACCTCTCTCACAACTGATATTAGTAATTTGTGCCTTTTCTCTTATTTTCTTCATTCTGCCTAGAGGTTTATCAATTTTGTTGATCATCTTCTGAAAGATCCTGATTTTGGTTTCAATTATTTTCTCTATTGTGTTTTTATGAATATTTTTTATTTTGCTGATTTCCACTTTCATATTTATTATTGCTTTCTTCTGCTTACTTTGGGCTTCATTGGCTTTTCATTCCTAGTTTCTAAAGGTGAAAGTTGAGGTCATTGATTTTATATCTTTATTTTTTTCCAATATTGGCATTTTAGTGCTATAAATTTCCCTTTAAATACTGCTTTACTGATTCCCGGTAATGCATCTAGCAGTTAGTCATCTGTCAACTGGAGCTGTTCACAGTGTGGTCAGGAAGCCAAAGTTAAACAACAACCTGAAAGAGCTTTATGAGCAGCAAGTATCGGCCACAAAACTATTGGGACAGACGAACCTGAGGCAGTTCCATTGAGTGGGGAAGCAGAATAGGAACAGCTGGCAACAAGTGAGCAACTGATGAAAGGATGATGGTGATTCACCAGTCAGTAAAACACATGCCCCCATGTAGCTTACGTTTTAATCAGAGGAGACATAAAATAAACAAGTGTATGGCAATATATGATATGTCAGGTGCTGCCAAGTGCTCTGTGTAAAAAGAAAGCAAGACAAGGGGATAGAGAGTAGTAATGGGATAGATACTCTTTGGTGTTTATGATGAGAAATCTGTGATGCCAGGTGTTTTTAGTTTTATAGAACTAAAGAATAGCATTTGAAAAGATTTTCATAAAAATTAGTTGACTTAAAAAGGTTTGACTGCTTATGAAGGATTATGAAGGATATGTTTAAATTATCTGGAAATGTGGCTTACCATAGAAGTTCCCATTTCTTGACAGTGTCTAAAGGATGCAGTGGTGTGATTAGATTGAAACAGGTCCAAAGGAACTTTGACTCTGCAATGTAGTCTCTTCTTCCATCCCCTCTCCCCTCTATAATATAGAGAAGCTGACCTTAAAACCTTACAACTGAATTGTGTTTTTAGATTTAAAGTAACAGGAGGACTTCCTTTGATGCATGTGAGAATTTCTGACCAGAAGATGAAAGATGTGCTATGTTTGCTTAATAGTATACCCTTGCCACAGAAATCATCAGCACAGTCTCCAGAGAGACAGGTAAATGGATATAATACAAATGCTAGATCTCTTATTTTCACCACTGTTTTAGAGTAGTACTAAAAGTCAATTTTAGGGCAAAGGTTATAAGTGAAAGGACCAAAAATATAGAAATGAAAGGAAAATATCTTTCAAATTTATAAGATCTGTTTTAAATGGGAATAGAAATTTTCTTTAAAATTATGCAGATAAAACACTTGGTGTAAAATTTCATCATGTTGGACTTAAAAGTTCTAGGTCATTTTAATTGGAATTGATCTTTACAACATAAAAAACATGTTGGATTTCCATTTACTTTGAAATGAAGTTTGAGAGAGCCTACTGATGGTGATACCATTTCCCAGGGACCTGTAGTAAAAATGTACTTTAATATTATTATAATAGACAGCATGTAAATTATACACAATGGCAAACAGACTAACCTAGACTCACACATAGTTTTGTCCTTGTAAATGGAGGTCGTGGTCTTAATAATTTGTAAATTCTAGCCAATCATTAGTTAGTTGATTGCATAGTATTTTTTGTTAGAAGATTTGTATATTAAGTATATACGTCTTTCCATCTCTCTCTGTCTCTATTACTTTTTAGTCTTTCTCTCATTTATATACATTTAATCCTACTGAATGAGTATTTTTAAGAAAACTTTTTGAATTCTTTGTTAGGTGTCCTCAACTCCTGTTATTTCGGGTGGGACAAAAGGTCTACTTAGTACTTCACTATTGCTAGATGGAGTGGACTCAGGTAAGGAAAGTATTAATAAAACATTCTTTATTAAAGCAGGCTTATAACTTGTTATGTAGAGGTAACATTTTCACAAAATAAGGAAATTCTGAAAGTGCTATAGTCATTTACTGGTTCTAGTTCCAGTTGTGCTAATAATAGTATGACTTTGAGTCATTTATCTTCTTTAAGCCCAGTTTTCCTCATTGGATAAACGAAGAGATTTTTGTGGTTGACAGTGCTTACTTAAGATTTTAAGTAAGCTACTTTTTTGCCCCAGTCTCTATGTGATCCTTTTCTCTATCTCTGTCCTAATTTATCTGTTTTAATTTTGAACTAGAATGTAAGCATCATGAGGACAGGACCATGAATATCCCGGTCATTCTGGTGTCCTTAGTGGCTAGCGTAATCTGATACGTGGTAATTGATGCCCAGTAAATACTTAGTTGTGTACTGAATGAAGGAACTAAAGTGAAAAACAGAATTATCAAAGACAAGATTTGCTATTTGATTTTAAATATGATTACCACATGCCAGATTGAGTCATTTTGTGGAACTTTGGAAAAAAAACGATTTTGATGTTGGATATGAAGATTATATCTAACAAGTGAAATTTCCTTTTGGGAGATTTAGATTTGAGTGTTTATACAGTTATCAATGGACATTGTCTCAGATCATATGAATGTTTTTTTCTTTAGAGTCTGATGATGAGTATTTTGATGCTGAAGATGGAGACTCACAGACTAGTAAAAGTATGAAAGGATCAGAACTAAAAAAAGTTGCAGAGGTCCCAAATGAGGAGCTCATTAATCTTCTACTCAAGTTTGAAATTAAAGAGGTATATGTATTTTTTTGTCCATAAATAAATATATTCTTACTGTCACTATCTTGTAAACTATCTCAAGCTAAATGCTATAACATTTAGTCAATACTAAATGTTAAGTATATTAAAAATGTGGTACTCTATCTTCCCTACTGCCCAGCACACCTGTGCACACACACATACATACATACCCAATACACAAAGTTTCAGAAAAATGTTATTTTCTAAAAAACTAATGTAAGATTATTCATGATGTATCTGCTTTATTCTGGAAGAGCTTAAAACTCTTAATTAGGGTTTGCTTTCCCACAGAAAATTTTTATGATATTTAATTTCTTTTAAATTTTTCACTTTTAAGCTAAATAATATTGTTCATTTTCATGTTTATAATTTTTAGAAAACTACACACAACTTAAATTTCCAGCATGTTCTTTACAGCCTTTAAAAGTCATGTAGTGGCTGGGCGCGGTGGCTCACGCCTGTAATCCTAGCTCTCTGGGAGGCCCAGGCGGGCGGATTGCTTGAGGTCAGGAGTTCACAACCAGCCTGACCATGAGTGAGACCCTGTCTGTACTAAAAATAGAAATAAATTAATTGGCAAACTAATATATATATATAGAAAAAATTAGCCAGGCATGGTGATACATGCCTGTAGTCCCAGCTACTTGGGAGGCTGAGGCAGCAGGATTGCTTGAGCCCAGGAGTTTGAGGTTGCTGTGAGCTAGGCTGATGCCACGGCACTCACTCTAGCCTGGGCAACAAAGCGAGACTCTGTCTCAAAAAAAAAAAAACAAAAAAAACCCCAAAAAGTCATGTAGTAAAAGTAAACATGGGAAGATATTTGCAATATATTATCATCTGGGAAAAACATTACAATACCAAGGACATTATTATTCCATTTAAAATTATATGTATATATTTTCTTTCATAAATTACAGACAGTGTTCATCTCTGGGTGGTAGGATTACAGTTTTTCATATTTGCCTGTTTGCTTTTCCATATGTTCTACGGTTTCTATAATCAATTTATATTGCTTTGATAATAAAACACAAAAGATGTAAAGTGGAGAACCTCGGACTGAGTAATTTATAAAGGAAAAAGGTTTATTTCTTACAGTTCTTAGGCTGGGAAGTCCAAGGGCATGGTGCCTGCATATGGTGAGGGTCTTTGGGCTGCATCATTCCATTGAGGAAAGGTGGAAGAGCAAGTGAGCTTGTATGCAAGAGCAAAGCACAAGGAGCCAGTCTCACTTTATAACAGTCAGCTCTTTTGATAATGAACCCGCTCTCAGAACAACAACATTAATCTATTCATGAAGGTGGATCCCTCATGACTTAAACAACTTCTATTAGGCCACACCTCCCAACACTGTTACATTGAGGATTAAGTTTCAACATGAGTTTTGGAAGGGACATTCAAACCATAGCAAGGAGCATTTCTGTTCTGGTCATTCTGATATCCTTAGTTGTGGCATAGCCTGTTACATGGTAGATGATATCTAGTACATATATATTGAATATTGAATGAATGAACTAATGTGAAAAACAATCAGAACCTTTGAAAAAAACAGTAGTGCTATTTGAAATATTTTTCTCAGTGTGACTTTTTTTGTTCTGTAGTTTCACATATTTCTGTAGTGAAATTTATTGCATATTTCCTTTATGTCCCAGTTTTAGTGTATGTTTAGAAAATTCTGTTACAAAAATATTTACTCATGATTCTATATATTATTATACTTTATTATTTCATTGCTTTCATATATCATTTATTTATATGAAACTTTTTTTAATATCAGTTTTGTACTTAATACCTTATAGTACTGTTATTATCTTATTGTTTTTCAGTTGATAATCCTGGTTATTCTTAAGTATATAATTATATCATCTGCTAATAGTCATTTTTGCCCTTTTTTCAGCATTTATATTGTTCTGTTGTTCTAGTTACTGTTGCTGCCTATCAAGTTTCCCTAAAACTTACTAGCTTAAAACAGCTATTTCAATTTGGTCACAATTTTGTGGTTTAAGAATTCTGGTTGGGCCCACTTGGGTAATTTTGTGTATAATCTTCCATTTGGTTGCAGTCCAATCTTGTCTGGGGCTGCAGTCATCTGAAGCCTCAAGCTAGACTCCATGTGGCTCACTCATGAGGCTGCCAATTGATACTGGATGTTGGCTGACAGCTCAGCTGGCATTGTTGACCAAAACACCTACTCATAGCCTCCCAGCATGGCACTAACTTTTTACATGGCACCTGGCTTCTGCCAGACTGAGCATTTCCAGGTGGGAGTTTCATGGCCTTTTGTTGACATCAGAAGTCATGATAGTATCACTTCCTTTCTACTCTATAGATCGAAGCATCCATAAGCTTGCCCAAATTCTGAGGGTGGGGATAAAGACCTCCACCTCTTAATTGGAGTATCAGAGAATTTGTATCTTTTAAAAATTGCTATGTATATATTATTTTTTATTGGCTAAATATGCTGGCTGTCATTTCCAGATGACTAAACTTAAATAGTAGTATCATAGTGAACATTCTTGCTTACTTTTGGCTTTAATGGGGATATTCTTTTTTTAATTGCCAAACATGATTTTCTTTTTGTATTTTTTTTTGTTGCTTTCTTCTCTTTCCATCCGGATTCTAGAGCAGATTTTTGTTTTTAAATGCAGGTTTTAGAAAATCATATTAAGGAAGAATCCATACATTCCTATTTTATTAAATTTAAAAAAGTAAATCGACAATGGAGTTAAATTTCATCATGATATTTTATGGATGTACTTATATTCATCATACAATAATAGAATTTAAGGTGATAATTTCTGATTATATTGAATAACATTATGGTAGCAGAGGGATATGAGCAAAGCTTCTATTTTCATAGTGATGTTTATAGAGAAAGATTTTGTTTTTGTTATTTTAAGTATGATTCAGACTTCTTACCAACTTTTCACTAGCTGTGCTAATTCTTTTAGGTAATTTTGGAATTTACTAAACAACAGAAAGAAGAAGTTACAATTCTAGTATTTAATGTTACTCAGTTGGGAACAGAGGCTACAATGAGAACATTCGACTTAACTGCAGTATCTTATTTAAAGAAAATCAGCTTGGATTACCATGAAATTCAAGGTAACAGCCAGGGAAAAATAGCAATAATAGCCAATAATAAAATAGCACTTTTGACTGTCTGAGACACTTTAATTTATAATAAATAATAGTTAGCACTGTTCTAAGCACTTTATAAGTAACAACTCATTTAATCCTTATAACAATGCTATGGGGTAGGCAATGTTGTTATCTCCAATTTACATGTTAGTAAACTGAGGCATAGATTGGTTATATAATTTACTCATAGTCACACTAGTAATGTGACTGAACTAGTTGTTAGGGGCTGAACCATGGTTTTAATGCTAGAAATCTGGCCCTAGGGCCTATGGTCTATTATCTGTTAACTCAGAGTTTATAGAAATCCCCTTAATATAGGGAGTAGTATTCCCGTTTTACAAACAAAGAAAGGCTAAGTAAAGAAAGATTAAGTGGCTTACTCAATATCGTTCATCTGTTGAATGGCAAAACCTAGGATTCATCTCTGTTCTTATGATATTGAAGGCCTTGTTCTATTAGTTTGTAGATCACAAGAAGCACCAGGTTATGAAAATAAGCGTGGTAGGATGTAAAGTCAGCTCTTTTAGAAGCTTTTATAGTTTATTCATTTCAATGTGTATCTTGTGTGCTCAGATATTTGGGGTGTGAAGGAATGGATGAATCTACAGTAATTAAAATTCCCTAATATTCGCTTAATGCTTTAGTCAAATATAGTCACCCCTCGGTATCTGTGTGAGAATGGTTTCCGGATCCCCACAGGTACCAAAATCTGCAGATGCTCAAATTCTTTATGTAAAATGGCATAGTATTTGCATAGAACCTACACACATCTTTCCGTATACTTTAGATCATCTCTGGATTACTTATAATACATAAAACAATGTAAATCCTATTAAATAGTTGTTATGCTGTGTTGAGTTTTGAAATTTGTACTATTTTTAATTGTTTATTATTTTTGCAAATACTTTGATCTGAGATTGGTTTATTCCATGGACGTGGAAGTCACAGATTTGGAGGAGTGACTACAATAAAGACCTGAGTTTTGTAATTTATTTTATTTTATTTATTTATTTATTTTTATTTTTATTTTTTTGAAACAGACTCTTCGATTTGTTGCTCAGGCTCTAGTGAGTGCCATGGCATCAGCCTAGCTCACAGCAACCTCAAACTCCTGGGCTCAAGCAATCCTGCTGCCTCAGCCTCCTGAGTAGCTGGGACTAAAGGCATGCACCACCATGCCCGGCTAATTTTTCCTCTATATATATTAGTTGGCCAATTAACTTCTTTCTATTTGTAGTACAGACGGGGTCTCACTCATGGTCAGGCTGGTTTCGAACTCCTGATCTCGAGCAGTCCTCCCGCCTAAGCTTCCCAGAGTGCTAGGATTACAGGCGTAAGCCACCACGCCCGGCCTGTAATTTTTTTAATTGCTGAAAAATTCAGTTTAGAGGAAAAATGTTTTGTCTTAGTAATTTTCTGTGGGCACTGTAAGAGTTTACTGTATGGAGGGAAAAAATATAAATAATAAATTTTCTAGGCTATTTTGTCCTGGGAAAGGTTATGACCCTGGAAGTCAAGGAAAATTTTTAAGATATCTGTGGAGCAAGAGTTAATAATAAAAGATGTATAAAATGGTGGGCAAATAATTTCTCCCTCCACAGCTTTTGGAGGAGATAGTTTCTTGGTACATCTACATAAGGTTATAGAGAACATCTGGTAGTCCTTTGTTGTTTTTAAGTTAAAAAGAAGTTTAACAGTTTTCCCTTAGAAGAAAGACTTTCTTCTTCTATATAAGTCATCTCTCTCAGTATAAACAAAGGAAAATTATTTAAATTTCTCCAATATAAATACAGTATTTACTCTAGAATGTTAGAGCTCAACAGGATATAAGAGATTTTTGTAGTCCAAACTCCTTGTTATATAGTTGAGGAAACTGATGTTCAATAACTTCTGGTAAGGGTAGAGATGGACTGGAATTCATAGTTCCTGATTTTTATACCTTTGGTCTTTCTACCACCGTACGAATATATATATATATCCTTAAAAATATCTAGAGAAATTTTGTTTATTTTTGAACATAGATGTGAAGTCAAGTGAAAATAAATTTACATGTTTTTAAGTAAGTTGAATGCCAAAAGTAAGATAAGGATTTGGATGGGTTTATTTTTTAAATAGTGATGGCTTTAATATTTAATAATCATAACAATATGAACAGATATTTTTTTAAAGCTTAATTAACAAATTAAAAAAAAGACATCCAGAAAGTTTGAAAATTAAAAAGGCCAATTTATTTGAAACAATTTTTTTCCTTTTTCTTTAATCTAGGATTCAAAAGGAAACCCCTTCACTTGATTAGCTCTTCTGATAAACCTGGATTAGATCTTTTAAAAGTGGAATATATTAAGGTAAGGGCTGTAGAATGATTATATATTTATTGCATACTCCAAATTATACCCTTGGAAGGAAAAAGATAATAGTACATGACTAATGGTTCTGGATGTGTATCACAGTTTTTAATTATAGGGATATCTACTGTTTCTTTTTTTATCTATACACCTTCTTTCACCTTCACTTAATTTCAGGGCTGTTACAAAAGTACTAAGCTGCTTGTCCCTAAAGCCTGGGGACAAAGTAGGTGCTATTTCTATCTTCTAGGGCATATTTGCTTACGTACACTCATTATAGGTCATATATAGGTGACATTTGGCTGAGTATCCTGCATCAAAAAGGATAAAGTCAAATTAGATTGGGTTCAGAAGAGAACTGCTAGGATCGGGAAGGGACTCCAAAATATATGAGAAATACTGAAGGAACGTACAGTATTTAGCTTCACTGAAGACTTGTTGATTTGTTTCATCATTTAACAACTATTTATTGAATATCTGTATGTGTCATTGAATGTCTGTACTTTCAGGCCCTTGGGATATAGAGATGAAAAACATTCTCTGTTCTCAAGGAAATTACAGAGAGACAAGTATACCACACTTAAAATATTAATATAATGTGATTAAAATATTAATATAATGTGATTGATTTTCTGATAAAGAAAAGCTCAAAGCATTATGGGAGGAGAGAAGCAGGGAAACTGGCCAGGCCAGAAAGCTTCTAACAGGAGCAGGAGGTAAATCCTTGAGTTTGAATTTACTACATTTATTCCCAAGGGACAGAACTTGGACCAGTGGGTAGTTATGATGGGAGATAAGATTTTTGACTCAGTAGAAAAACCTCACTAAGTCAAAGTTCTCTAAAGATTGGATTTGTAAGGAAACAAGATTTCTTTCACTGGAGATTTTTTTAAAAAAATAGACTTGCTAAAGACTTTATGGAAGGATTTAAGCATTAGGCGATGGACAGACTAGATGACCTTCATACCTTTCAGCCTTTGGAGTTTATCATTCTGATCCTAGCTGCAGTTTTCCAGAAGTGAATGTTCTCCCATGTTTAAAGAGGATGACACAGTTACAAACACATTTATAACTAAATATAAATAAATTCACCAGAGAACATAAGTGATTTATTTATTTTGATCTTTTTTTTTTTTTTTTTTTTTGAGACAGAGTCTCACTTTGTTGCCCAGGCTAGAGTGAGTGCCATGGCATCAGCCTCGCTCACAGCAACCTCAATCTCCTGGGCTCAAGCGATCCTCCTGCCTCAGCCTCCCAAGTAGCTGGGACTACAGGCATGTGCCACCATGCCCGGCTAATTTTTTGTATATATATTTTTTAGCTGGTCAATTAATTTCTTTCTATTTTTAGTAGAGACAGGGTCTTTCTCAGGCTGGTTTCGAACTCCTGACCTCGAGCAATCTGCCTGCCTCGGCCTCCCAGAGTGCTAGGATTACAGGCAGGCGTGAGCCACCACGCCTGGCCTATTTACTTTGATCTTAATTCATTGTTTAGAACTCTTGTTTGTTTTTTTAGGCTGATAAGAATGGACCTAGTTTTCAAACTACTTTTGGAAAAACTGAACAAACAGTCAAGGTAAGAAATTCTGTTAAGGAATATATTCTATTTGCAAATCACCTACTCTGGAAATCTCAATCCTTTGAGAGTAATTTGATGACATAATCAAGGACCAGTAAAAGTTATATGTAACCTTATAGATACTTACCATGCTCTGTGTTTATGATTCACCTTACTAAAGCCATTGTTTTGGCTTACTGTGTCACACCCTGATATCCTTAAATGTTTCAATATTATTTCTAAATAAGGAAGTACTATAGACAAAGGAACTTTGATTTACAAAGAGCTAACAGGATTCTAAACAAATCAAATTAGATTAAACCATTTTTTAATGCAGGGCCAAAAAAGTGAATCCAGCTGAGTCAAGGAGAGATGTTGAATACTTTTGAAGTTATGTTACATAGGTAGTAGCTTAGAGGAAGAAGAGGCATAATGTGCTTGAGAGTTACGTTAAAAGGAAAATAAGAGAGAGGAGTTCTAAAGGAGATCACAATTTTGAGAAATTGGAGAATCTGTTGTAATATTGTGAACCTTTTTATAGTTTTTATATTCATTTAGTGATTTGATGAAATGAAAATAAATTCTTTTCTATAACAGATTTTTATTTTAATTTGCTATTAGAAAACCACCCATTCTTGAAAACAATATGCTATTTTCTTAGCTTTCTAGAGTTTTGTTTTAAAAAATGTAGTACTTTACCCCTAAGTTACATATTCTATGTTTCTTTTTAAATGATTTGATAGTTACTATAGTTTTAGATCGTTGAGTAACTGAGAACTCACTCATATTGTCCTTTTTATATTTAAATCTCATGGAATACCACATTTGAAATAATTTCTAGAAATAATAGTTCCAGAATTTTATCTTTGACTTGGGCATCTTACATAATCATAATAGTCCATTGGAGATCCAAGAAATCATATATATATGTTGAATATTACGATGGCCGTGAGAAGATTACAGACTCCATGAGCATTATGCTTGGGAAATGGAGTAATTAGGTTATTGTGATACTCTAATGTAACCCTGAAGTGTGTAATTTACTCTCTGTATATTCCCTAAGGGAGTTGTGAATCTTCATCTCTTTTCTCTTCTTCCCAGCAGTGGAAAGCAGTGATGCAAGCCCAGCTATGGTAGCCTTTTGGGTCCATTGTGGAAACAGGTTATAATTGGCTGAAGAAAACTAATTTTCTCTTTAAAACATTTTTAGGTGGCCTTTTCATCTTTAAATCTGTTGCTACAAACACAAGCTCTTCTCTCTTCTATTAATTACCTGACAACCATTATTCCGTCGGATAATCAAGACACAGGTGTTGCCAAGGAGGTACAAATTCCAGCTGAAAAACAACAAAAAAATTCAACTCTACAGAAAGGTATGAAAACACATTTTAATTTCTTGTCAGAAAGGTTTTTAGAATTCTAGAGCTAAATGAGGAATATTAGAGATCATCTAATTCAGTCATTTAAATGCCATTTACCCCCCTCCTTCTATCCCTTTCTTCAAATTAAATTGTATGCAGGTGCCTGGTATATAAGGCAAATCTAATCAGTATTATTGTTTTAAAAAATGTTTGTATTTGTTCCTATTTTGGTGGTGGTAGGGGATGCATTTAGGTAGATAATAGAGGAAGAAGACCTGTATATATACTGAGCTCTTCCCACCTTCTTGGTGGCTCCAGAGGGGCTTCATGAAGGGTTAATCTTTTCTTCCATTTTACACATGAAGGAATAAAACCCAGAGACACAAAGGTAGGCATTCAGGGATAGCATCTAATCGGCCAAGAGCCTGGATTTTGGATCAGAAAGAACTCAGTTCACATCCTGATTATGCTACTTGAACTGTGTGGCCTTAGGCACATTATTTAACTTATCTGAGTTTCAATGTACTTATTTATTTACTTACTGTAGATTTTTTTTTGCTGTTAAATCACAAAAGTAACATGTCTCACTATTAAAAATGTAAACTCTACAGAATATGTAAAGCAAAAAAAAAAGTATTTGAAATTTTTAAGAGTTTTATATATTTTTTTAACAGAATAGTGGTTCATTTAATATAGGTAAGAAACCTGAATAGAATTTAGATTACTAGAATCTCACTGTGATGGAATACTTTGTTTTATTTTTAGTGATTGTATCCTCTAAAGATAGTGACATTATTGGCTTCAGCTTATTTGCCAAGTTGAATGCTTTCTCTGTCATCGTTTGTGATGAAAAGAGCAATATTGCCGAAATCAAGATTCAAGGTAAAAGTTCTCAATGGTATTAAAAATTGGTGAAAATATAAGCTCCTGTGTTCACTCCCCCCACCCGCTAGCCCCCCCAATTTTTTTTTGAGACAGAGCCTCACTCTGTTGCCCAGGCTAGAATGCCATGGCGTCAGCCTAGCTCACAGCAACCTCAAACTCTTGGGCTCAAGGGATCCTTCTGTCTCAGCTTTGCAAGTAGCTGGGATTACAGGCATGTGCAACCATGCCCGGCTAATTTTTTCTACATATTTTTAGTTGGCCAATTAGCTTCTTTTCTATTTTTGGTGGAGACAGGGTCCCACTCTTGCTCAGGCTGGTTTTGAACTCCTGACCTTGAGCGATTCACCCACCTCGGCCTCCCGGAGTGCTTGGATTACAAAGGTGAGCCTTCTTAATGCTAAAGCGTATACAAATAGGACGGCTGTGAGCTATGAAAGCTGAAAGGACCTGGTTGCACTGCTTGCTTGCTTCTCTGTGGGGTGTAGATGTTGGTCAGAATCCGACCATCCAGTTGAAGCCCATACACATTCCGGTGTTTGGGACCTTCCTGAGAGTTGTCTGAGAGGTAGAAAGGGATACTGATGGCAGAGCAGGAATGTGGTTGTTGGACTGGGAGAAGTGTCAGTTCAGAATTTAGGCGAAGGTTTGTGGATATGCTTTATCTTTATAATACTTTATTTTTTAAATTTATTTATGTTTTTGACTTTTGTATTATCTTTTTATTTTTTTATTTTAAAAAACTTTTTAGATATACCCTTGACTATAGATTTTTTTTATTTTTTACAATTTCTTAGGTATACCCTTATATTATCTTCATATGTATTATTTTTATATGTAATTATATTTATATAGTACATAATTATATATTATGTTTATCTTTAATTATGCTTTATCTTTATGCAAAATAACCTTATATTGAAGAACAAAATCTATAAGCCCATTAAGGTTTTTTAGGCAAAATCTGCTAAATCTCAGCTAGCTTTTCCTCTGGCCTTATCTTTACATGATCTGGTAAAGGTAAAGAATATGTTTAATGAAATTATTTAAGAACTTAAAAACCAGAATACTGTATCCTTTTTTTTTTTTAACTTGTCCTTTCCAAACTGGCATTGCATCTAGTAGCCTAAATTTGATTTGTGAAAGTTTTATAGTTGCCATGTAAATGACTAGATAAAAGGTATAAAGGACTTACTTAAATCCTGAGATAATCTATTTGCACTAGATGTGGTTTTTTTCAGATTGAAAATTCAGATAATTGTTTTTAATGAACTTATAGGTTTCAGTGTTTATAAAACTGAAAATACCTAATATTGTCATGTGTTTATCAATTGAGAGTTCAAACATTGCTAAATTTTAAAAAATACCACTCCAAAATAAAATCATGCAGTGGAAGGGAAGCTCTTATTTATGGTAGTTCTATAGAAATTATAATAATACAATTTTTTTTTCAGGCCTTGATTCTTCCCTTTCTCTTCAGTCAAGAAAGCAGTCACTTTATGCCAGATTGGAAAATATTATTGTCACAGATGTCGATCCTAAAACAGTTCATAAAAAAGTAGGTGATAGTAAACAGTTAATATTTTTTGATGATTGAATAAGAGATTCTGTTGTAAAATATATTAAAAACATTAATGAAATACACTTCATAGAATGTTTTTATATACATAAGCCCTTTTCCAAATGGTATTTTATTTTGTCATTAACTTTCTGAATAGAGTACATTCACATCTCTGTTTTTCAGGCTGTGTCCATAATGGGAAATGAAGTTTTTCGTTTTAACCTGGATTTGTATCCAGATGCAACTGAGGGGGATTCGTATACTGACATGTCCAAAGTGGATGGTGCACTCTCACTGAATGTTGGCTGTATTCAGATTGTCTACCTTCACAAATTCCTTATGTCACTTCTGGTAAAGTCACTATTTATATATTTTTTCAACTGAGAACTAATTAACTCTGATAATTATGATGGCAAATATTATAAACTTTGGATTTTAGGGTGGACATTGTTTTGATGATATCGTAAGTGGTGTTATGTATGAATGTAGAGGTCCAAACTCCTGTCTAACAGTTAAAATCTGAATCATTTAATATTTTTGCCTAGAACAATTTATTTTTGCTATAACATAATGAAGCTAAATTCTTGAATATAAAAATTATTGAAAATAGTTTTTTTCCCCCTGTTCCTTAGCCATAAAACATTAGCCCTGGTCAGGCAGCTCATAACTATAGATGGATTATCAGTAGTTTCTTCCTACCTCTAGAAAAATAGGACACAACTGAAAGTTATCTTTTGGAAAAAATTAACATATATAAAAAAAAGATGATGGTATTATTATTGATATGCCTGTGTTCTGTTTGAATTTCTCCTTTTAACTCTGTGTCCGTAGAACTTCCTGAACAATTTCCAGACTGCCAAAGAGTCTCTGAGTGCTGCCACTGCCCAGGCTGCAGAAAAGGCTGCCACAAGTGTGAAAGGTCTTGCCCAGAGGAGTTTTCGTGTTTCCCTCAATATTGATTTGAAAGCGCCAGTTATAATCATCCCACAGTCTTCCATTTCCACTAGTGCGGTAGTGGTAGATCTTGGGTTAATCAGAGTGCAAAATCAGTTCAGTCTGGTGTCTGGTGAAGACTACATCAATCCTCCAGTAATTGATACAATGGATGTTCAGCTAACAAAGCTCACACTTTCTAGGTATGCTCTTTCAGTAATTATGGGTTTAAGTATTAATGTTTTCCTTGAAATTTTATGACCATTGAAATTCATACCCAACATACTTCTTCTATTGTACAGAACAGTTTATTTTTTATGAACTTTTTATTTTGAAAATTTTCAAACCTACTGAAGAATTGCAAAAATAGTATCATAAGTGCATCTGTATATACTTGTAGATTCACCAACTGTTTACATTTGCCTTTTTCTATGTATATACATGTTAATATTATTTAAAGCATTTTTTGCTAGATTACTGGAGAATAGACACTGTGACCCTTTGCCCCCACTTAAATACTTTCGCATGTGTCTCCTAAAAACAAGGACATTCTTAAATTAACCACGATGTAATTATCAAAATTGGACATTTCCTTTTGATAAATACTGCTGTTAATATCTAAAATATAGTCATCATTTGGATTTTACTCTTATCTGAACAATGTCCATTGTAGTAATCTCCCCCACCGCTGATCCAGGATCACCCGTGGCATTTAATTGTATTTTGTAATACTGAGGGGAATTTCTGTACCCATGGAAACTTATTCTGGAATAGTTCTTCAGCCTTTCTTTGTCTTTTATGTTTATGTAATTATGTTTATTCAACATAATTACTATGTTGAATTTTGAAGAGTAAAGTCTAATTGCATAGAATACCTCTCAATTTGATTTTGTCTGAGTGATTCTTCATGGTTTGAGCTTGCACATTTTGTCAGGAATACTGTGTAAGTAATATTACATCCTCACTGGTCACACTAGGTGACACATGAAGTCTGTACATAATTCATTTAAAAATCATTTTGTACTCCATCCGAGGAGATTTAATTATCCAGAATAAAAAATAATGGTTATAAGGCAAGTCCAGAAAATAATCTTGGAGAAGGGCTTTATGAAATGCCTGAGAAAATGCTGACTGTCCACCTTACCATTGTTTTCTTCAGTCTCTGCACCAATACATCTGTTAGTCCTTAAAGAAACTGTATTTGATGATTTCTTCTCTCTTCAGCAGTGTGAATTTCTTTTAAAATTTTTATTACATTTTTACCTATCTACTGTTCAAATAAAAAGTTTTCTTAATGGTTCATTGTATATCACATATCTTAATCTGTCTTTCCTAGTGGATTATAGATTAATTATAAATTCAGTTTTGAAAACCCTTAGTAGCCCTGTTTCAAATAAGTATTTAAACCAGCAAATAACTGCTTGACTCTGTTTTTTAAAATATGTCATATTTATTTATGCATATGCATCATTTCCATTTTTCATTAGGACAGTGATCCAGCCAGGCATCTCCCATCCTGATATTCAGATGTTGCACCCAATTAACCTGGAATTTTTTGTAAATCGGAATCTAGCTGCATCTTGGTACCACAAGGTGCCTGTGGTAGAAATTAAAGGACACCTTGATTCAATGAATGTAAGTATATGAGTGAGGAAAACTTCGTTACTGAAATTTTAAACTCTGAAGATTTTCTCAGTATGAATCCATATGAAATGTAGAATTTTATACTGAATGGTGTAAGAAAAATTTAAGTGAGACACTGTCCAACAAGGTCCTTATTATTTTCAGTAGAATTTAATCTTCAGCTAAGCGTTACTTATCTTTTAAATTTGCTATACGTACACAATGGTAGAGGTTGGTATGCAAATTACTTTTTAGTATATTATAGTTCATCTCATACTCTATATTTATACATACATCTTTATTGTTAGGGATATCTGAGTACTCCTGCGATAATTATGGCATTGAGGGAAATGCCTGTTTTTTTTATATTGAAGACAAATCTATTTCATTGGGATTATTATTCTTATAAAAGAATTTATGCATTGTCTGAATTTGTCACTTTTTAAAATTGATCAGATTTTTTTGATCATAATTTTCAGTAAAGATAATATGTTAAGTCATTGGGGCTAATATTGCATCATAAATTACATTGTTTTTCTATAAATGTTTTATCTTTGAAAATAAAAATTTTAACATGAAATAAGTGGTAAAATACTTGAGTGGGTAGTTATTACTAACTTTTCAGTCAATGTTAGTTGTTATCCTGTCCTTTGTGTTTTGTTACTGTGAATTTATTTTCTGTATTAAAATTGTTTGATTTTATAATGTAATATATTTATTTTTTCTTTTAACATAATATTTCACAGGTTACTCTAAACCAGGAAGATCTCAATCTTTTACTTAGGATACTAGCAGAAAATCTTGGTGAGGCTGTTGAAGACATGGATAAAGTGAAACCAAGGGTGCAAGAGACAGGTAAGAGGCTGACAGTAGGTGGCATAATACACGTGTCATTTTACAATTTAGTAAGGACAAAGACAATAGAAATGAAATAAACAAATACATATTCACAAATTGTGATTTGTATTAACAAGCAAACAGGATACTATTGAATGAAATCATAGTTGGAGATGATTGACTTTTTTTAGTTAAGCAAACAGTCAGTTATAGTTTCAGACTTTTTTTCCTAAATTGCATGAGTTGAGAGGAGGCCATAAAAAATTAAAGAAGGGTTTCAAATCAGTTGTGGATTCCTGGAATAATCATTGAATTCACACATATAGAAAAAACATTTTGAGTTGGCATGATGCTATGGTAGTATACACTATCTGATTTTAAAATAAGTCTTAGCAAAATACCTGTAACAATTGAAATGGTTGAGAAATTACCACTTCCCAAAGATACTGAAAAAATTGTACTATAGTAAAAATGCAAAGAGAATTTAATTAATTACAGTGGCCCTTTTGGCCTAATGACAAAGTAAGTACCAGACTTATTTTTTAAGCTGTAGTATATGTATATTTATACATAATGTACATGTACACATACATATATAATCTTAAATTTTTTTGGAACAAATGATATTATGCTATATATATCTGCATTTATGTTTGTGTGTTTATGCACATTGCTGTTTCTAAAAAATTAACAACCTATTTTGGTGTCTGTTCCATATCTGTAGGTATACTGTATATTCATTCTTTTAATAGCTGCCTAGTATTAATTTCTGTTGAAGTGTCATAATTTATTTATCTACTGATAGGCATCTCAGGTTGTTTTCAGTCATTCACCATTACCGTGTTGTGTCAAATATCCTTGTATATCTATTTTTACAAGTGCATGTATATCTGTAGGAAAGCGACAGCTAAAGGAGATGCAGTCTCTATTAATCCAGTCAAACTTAATCAATAATTAAATCAACAAATAAATTCAGTGGGATTAATTTAATTTACAATTTTGACAGATCATGCTGAATTTGTACTCATTTTGCACTCCCACCAGGGTTGTTTTCTGTACCTTTCTAATGTAGTATAGTATCAGATTCTAATACTTTTGTCCATGTGCTAAATAAGAAATGAGATCCCACTGTATTTTTTATTGAAAATCTTTATTATATGTTAATACGTACAGTAAAGTACACAAATATTAAGTGTACAGTTTAATGAATTTTACATATGAGTACACCTGTGTAATCACCACGATCAAGATATAGCACATATCTAGCACCCCAGAAGGCCTCCCTCTTGCCCCTTCCCAGTCCGTACCAAACACCCTGTCTGCAAATTTACCCAGAGGTAATTATCATTTTAACACATTGACTGCCACACTAGAAAAAAATTTTTTTCCCCGGGGCCACAGTGTTTTATTAAAACAAAATGATCCTTTCTAATTTGTTATTTTTTGTGTGTTTTCTGTGTGTGAGTTATATGTAGCGCAATCCCCATTTTTAGAATCGTCAATATTTATTGTAACAATAGGAAGATCAGCGAGTAAGATTTTCATGAACCAACTGCAGGGTTTTACGAGGCCCCAGGCTAAAAACTAGCCTGAGTTAAATACAACTCACATGGCAGTCAATGTGTTAACTTGTAGTAGATAGATTAGTTTGCCTTTTTGAATTTCATATAAATAGAATTATACAGAATTTACTCTATGGTGTTTGGCTTCTTTCATTCAACATTTTGTTTGTGAGATTCATCCATGTTGTTGTATGTAGCAGTAGTTATTTCTTTTTGTTCCTGTGTGGTATTCAGTTACATGCATGTATCATGAATTTATTTTACCCGTTTTACCTTTGATGGACATTTGGGTTGTTCCCAATTAGCTATCACAAATAAAATTGCTATAAATGCTGTTGTACATGCCTTTCGATGTACTTCTATACTCTTTTTTTGTATGTATAGGTAGGAGTAGAATTATTGGATCATATGTTAGATTTACATTTAGCTTCAGTAACTTATACTAAATTATACTAATCAGTTTTCCAAGTGGTTGTACTAACTCACTTTCCTCCCAGCAGCGTATGAGAGTTCCAGTTGTTTCACATTCTCATCAGTACTTGAAATTGTGAATTTTTAAAAATTTAGCCATTCTGGTGCATATATAGTAGTATCTTACTATGGTTTTTATTTATGCAACTTACTAATGAAGTTATATGAACATCTTTTCATATACTTATTGACCATTTGGATATCCTTTTTTGTGATGTAACTGTTCAAGTCTATTGACAATAATGTTTATTGAGTTTTTTCGATATATAGGAGTTTTAAAATTGATTCTGGATATGAGCCTTTTGCTGATTATATGTGTTGGTATATATGTAGAAATATCTTTTCCCTGTCTGTGGTTTGCTTTTTCACTCGTACGGGTCTTTTGATGACTAGAATTTATTAATTTTAATAAACTTTAATTTACTATCTTTTTCAATGATCAGTACTTTTTATTTCCTATTTAAGAAATCTTTGCCTATTCCAGGCATTGTTTTTTAAAAGCAAAATATTTGCTAGAATTATTTCCCCTGGTTTACATTATGTTTGGAGTAGTGCTAGAACAAGATGATAGTTAAGAAACCTTAACTACCTCAAAGGTAATTACTTTTCAAAGGTCATAATTAACAGCAGTGGTTTTCCATATGGATTTCTGGTATAGTTTACACTGCATGGTTCATGTGTGTTGTATTATTGGTCACTATAATCTCTAATGATAATAATTAATGATATTAAGGCATAGCAGAGAGTGAAGGCTATAAAATCAGAATACAAATTTGAACTCCATCACTTGTGTGACACTGGGCAAACTACTGAATCTGTCTCAACCTCAATTTTCTCATCAGTAAAATTAAGAATAAAGGACAATAAAGTTCCTAACCTCAAAAGGATGTTATAAGAATTAAATAGAATAATCCACATATAGCCATAGAGCAGTGTCTGGCACACAGGTAAGCACTTAGCAAGTGACAGGTGTTACTTTTGTGTATTCCAGTTTAGAAAGAAATTTTATAGCATTTCAGTGTGTGAATTCAGAAAAACAGCATAGTATTTACATAGCTTTACTTTTGTTTCTTGGTATGGCAGAAGAGGGCCTAACCTCCCACCCTTTTTTTTTTTCTTTTCTAGTCTTACCTCTTATTATCTTCTCATTATTTAACCATATCAAATTCCATTCTGTTTGCAAAATGTGTTATTGTTCTTTGGTTTTCCACACTTTATCTTTTTCTTGGAATGTCTCCTCTGGGTGAGGAGGTCCTTCCACTTTCTTTGAGTGATGCTTCCTCTATTAGCCTTTCTTGACCTCCCCATAACAGTGCTATGCCTTGTTCTATGCTTTCAGTGCATTTTATACAGAGTCTGTTAACACTTGTCCACTTAATGTGCCTGGGTGAGGCGCTTATTTTGTTTATTTGTATTTTAAATGTGTAAGTTTCTTCTACTAAACCATGAGTTTTCTTAGGGTCAGAGCTATGTCTCATTTGCAGATTTTCAGTGCCTGAACGAGGTCTAGAGTATTCATATAAGTCCACAATAAGTATTTGTGGAAGAAATAAATGTGTGAATAAAAGTGAATGAATTTCTTTTAAACATTTTTAGGTGAAATTAAAGAGCCCCTTGAAATCTCTATATCACAGCAAGATGTACATGCTTCAAAAGATAATTTAACAACTGGAGTGGAAGAAATTAGATCTGTAGACATCATTAATATGCTGCTGAATTTTGAAATTAAAGAGGTGTGTAATTTTCATCTATTTTTGTATAGTGAAGTGAATAAATAATGGATATTTAGAATTACCTCTACTAAAGTAAACTTGTAGATAATTGATACAGATGAAATATATCTTACATAGGCCATTTATGTGTGACAATGATGTTTCAAATTTGAAAGTTTATTCAGGGTGAATTATATTTGGGAGATACAATATTTCATAGAGAAAATGGTAGCATGTCCTATAACATGCTTTCTAATGATTTTAGGACAGTTGGAATATACCTTTCTTTGGATTTCATATAAGAAAGCCGGGAAAGGGTAATAGTGACAGAGAAATCCTTTGCAAATTTTAGAAACCCATAATAGAATAAAACACAATATGTCTACATTTTTTAAAAAAGTTACGTACTATATGTTTTTCATCTGCAGATTCTTGAGGAAAGATTAAATGAATTTTCCTCTTTATTCACACATTTAACAAATATTTATTGTATGTGCTAGGTGCTAAGTATATAGAGAGGTACAAGGCAGAGACTCTGAACTCAAACAAGAAAACGAGCAATTAAAATTTTTATATGCTCCCTTTAAAAATACACTCAGTGTATTGTTGGAGCTTGTGGTGTTGTTGGTAGGCAGGGGCATCTAAGCAGACTGAGAGGGTCAGAGAAGATTTCTTGGAGGAGGTGACATTTTAGTCAAGTTTTGAAAGAAAAATAAATCATATTGGAAAAGGGGATCAGGAAAGGCTCTGCATCAGGGTAGAAAGGGAAACAGGCATAAAGATATGTGTGTGTGAGAAAGCATAGTAGATATAGGGACTTGCAAGAATTTCATTCAAAATCCCCTTATCATAAATAGTTGTATGGAGGTGGTGGTCTTTTCCAAGTTAAAAATAAATAAACTTGTTTAAACAAATGAGGGGGTTCTCCTTTTTTTGATCTGAAATACATGCTTTGAAACTAACTTCTTTCATCTTAAACCTGTGAGTTTTTTTGGTTAATATCAGAGTTACTGAAGATTCTTAAGCTTGGGTAATTGAAACATTGATAGATGAATCATTCTATTTGTAATAGTACTTATTAACTTACTTAAATTAAATTAAGTACATAGAAAACTCAAGTCCTTTTTAATATTATTTGTAATACATATTATGATAATTCCCTTTCTTTAAGACAGTAGTTGGAGTAAAGGGGGAGCAATTTGCAGCCCCCAGGTGGATATTTACCATTGTCTGAAAACATTTTTGGTTGACTACCTGTGGGGGGGGGGATTGCTAATGGCAACTAGTAGGTAGAGGCCAGGGATGCTGCTAAATGTTCCACAGTGCACTGGCCAGCCCCCACTGCAATGAATTATCAGCTCAACATGTTAATAGTGCCAAGATTGAAAACTTGCCTTTAGAGTAGTATAAAACTTGGCTGCTTGTCTCAGGTTTTCAGATGGAAGGTCATCCATCAGACTAGGGCTTCAGGGAATTAGGCTGAACTGCCTTTTTTTCTTTTTTGGTACTTTACTTTTGAAACTATCAGAATATTGTGGTGATACCTCAAAGTCTGAACAAGTAAATGTGCCTTCTGGTTATTACCTTTTTGACTTACCTTCATTGTGTATTAGTGGCATAGTTTGTGTTAATACTGATACCTTCTTTTAGGTTGTGGTACTTTGATGAAAAAAGCAGAAAAGAAAGGAAGGCCTTTACAGGAATAAATATCCTGCACCTTGGAATGAAGCTAGAGTTAAACATATGACATGACTGCTGAAGCTTATCTTAAAAAAATTAGTATGCGATGCTTGATTTCACTGGTAAGTGTGCAGTATCGTCTGTGTAAATTATTCCTTAGGCAGAAGCTCCCTATCTTTTTGGCAACATCAGACACTTATTTGTGTCACCATAATTATTTGGTTAGGTTAAATTATTACTCTGAAAATTAGCTATGTGTGGTGGCGCATGCCTATAGTCCTAGCTACTCAGGAGACTGAAGTGGGAGGATTGCTTGTGCCCAGGAGTTTGAGGTTACAGTGAACTACGATCAGGCAAGTGTACTCCAGCCGGGGTGACAGAGGAAGACTCTGTCTCTTAAAAAAAAAAAGTAAAAAATTAAAAAATATTATAGTGATATAGAGGAATTGTTATTTAAAAAATTTACTAATTTAGGTAGTTATTTATCATAAACTAAGAATTTATCTCAATATCTATATTTAACATGAAGGAGAATATATCTTAAAATGAAACACATGTCTTTAGTGTATACATATAATACATAATACTTCAGTACTTGTATAAAGCACCATTCATTCTGACTCTGCAATGAGAACTAATATATTAGGAATCAGAAGCAGGTATAACACCCAAGTACAGAGTCCAGCCTACTTGAACAGTCGAGTTAATTTACTAGGAAATATAGTTTATTTTTTTATTTATTTAATTACATACATTTTAAGTTGTTTTCATTATATTAATACATGCTGTGAAAAATAAAAATTAAATAAGGAGTATATAGAGGGAAAAATTTAACATTCACTTTGTAGTTTTACTTCCCTCCAATAAATGCTAAATTATTATTAGTGGACATCTTTGACACTATTTAAATTCACTTTTCTAAATTGCAACAAGCCAACTTTTAAACTTATTATGAGTGTGAAAGTTTATAAGAATGCTATGGGATATCTTTAAGTAAAGTAAACTTGTATTGAGAATAATCCTATTTATGTATTATCGATAGTTTTTTATATATTATGATTTGTTTAAATGAAAGTAATACAGTAGTACCAAATGTTACACTAGTTGTAATTGGCTGGTATGAGGTTTTTTGTTTTTATGAAGTATATTTCTTTTTTTTCAAAGCCAGGTTTATCAAGGTATGGTTATATACAGTGCACTTTCCTATTTTTAGTGTACAATTATATGAATTTTGACAAACATACATTTTTTGTAACTGGCTAGTCCTGTTTGAAAACATGTTTAAAATATTTAAGAGACTTGATGGATCACCCTTATCTTTTTCTCTTTTAGACTCTAAAGGAGAACCTCTTCACATTATTAACTCTTCTAATGTGACTGATGAACCTCTTCTGAAAATGTTACTGACAAAGGTACCCAGTTTAATTTCTAGGATTCTTTAATGTTCGAATATATGAAGTTACATATATTACTCTCATATTTAATATTCCAATTTTCTCTCGTAATATTTTTTATGCTAAACCATTGGTTGTGGTGAAGTATGCAAGCACTTGAAAATCCTGTATATTTTCATTAACCTTCTGAGTTACCCTATGTTGTTGAATAAATGGGGATAGTACAAAGTTCTGTTGTAATTTCAAGTGAAGTGTGTCATAATCTAGATATATTAGCATTTTGTCCTACATTTTAGATTAGTGTAGCTAATCTAGATATACTAGCATTTCTTCCAGTGTAGGATAAGGAATTTGAATTTTTGCTTGTATAGAATGTGAGAAATACTTATGTGGTCAGTTCATTTTGGCATGTTCTTCTTTGCCTTTAGGAAATATGTTTATACTGTTTTATTAACATACTTTGAAAAGTATTAAGAATATGTATATTTTTAATGTGTGAATTTTTAGTGTTTATAACCCAGTGTTTTAATTTTCTACTATTTGTAGGCAGACAGTGATGGACCAGAGTTTAAAACTATTCATGATAATACCAAACAGAGACTGAAGGTAAATTTTTTATAATTTATTATAAGCCTGGGTTTTGTTGATTAAATCTAGTTCCATAGCCATTTCAGTTATGAAAATGTGAGTTCTAAAATTAGAATGAGAGTAGGAATAATAATAGATCTAATAATAATCTAATTTATAGATAAAATACATAGATACAGAATTGAAATAAAGTTCTTACAAAAAGTTGATTTGATTTCCTAAAAGATTATTTATTTCCCAGGTATGAATTAATGATTACTTGTTAATTATAAAAATAACACATTTAAAGAGAATTTTGTTTATTTTTGTTCATTGTGGTTATTTGGCCTAGTGTTGGAAGCATTGAACATTTGAATTACATATTGGCATTAGGATTAGAGTAAGATTAAGGACAAAGAAAACATGATCTAGTATAGACAATGCCCAGGGTCCATGTGAGCATATCGTAGTCAGTCTTGGAACCATCTGAAATGTGGCATAAGGCCTGATAACACTTCCTGTATCTTTACTTAAAACTCATCAAATTCTGTTGAGGTTAGAATTGTGGTCACACTTGCAAGTGGGCAGAGTCTTGGTGTATTGTCTGGTGAGGGTTAACATTGTAATAGTGACTTATTTCTTAATAAAGTAAAATTTTTAAAAAGGCTCTTAATTGAACTATTCTTGTGCTATATGTATCTGTTGAAGTGTAACATAAAAATGTTACTGTAGCTGAAATCTGCCTCTCTAATTGTTCATTATCTTAGGTTTCATTTTCATCTTTAGACTTAGTACTTCATTTGGAAGCTTTACTTTCCTTTATGGATTTTTTATCATCTGCTGTTCCATCTTCTGGACCATCCTCTTCTGAGAAGGAATCTGAGCTGAAACCACTCATGAGGGAGTCCAGAAGTATCACTGGCAAAGCTGGTATTAATTTTTGAGTCATGGTCTAATATTTTCTTTCCGAACTTTAATAATCATATAATAACTTGTTTTTTCAAGCTAAGATAAATATTTAGCACCTTGACGTTACTGCTGCTCTGATAGACCAGGTTAGTTTCAAAAGAAAGCAAATGTTATCTCTATAGATAACTGTATAACTATTATAGAGCAGTTTATGGGGGATTTTAAATAAATTTTGTTTAATATTTTGTATTTATATTTCATTTCACTGTCTAGCTTTTATATAAATAGAAGCTGAATATACTCTGGGCTGAGGTCTCTTTGCAGTCTTCAGTCCAATGAAAGTGATAAAAAGTTAAATTATGGATATAATCATACATAGTAACAAAGGCCCATTTCTATTAGTCAAGTATAGTGCTCAACAATTTTAAGTGCTTCGTGAGACACCGAAGGGAGGGAATCTCATAGAAGAGACAGATTCACTTTCATTTCTTTCCAGAACTTTTACTTAGATCACACAGATACGGGCACATGTTCCTCAGGCTTGTGCTATGAAATATACTTGTGCTATGAAATATTAAGTATGAAGTATCCTGAGTGAATAAAGAACATCTGCCTGTTTTTAAGTCAAATATCATTTTAATTATTTTTCTTTCATATTATGTGATGTAAATATTCAACATCTAGTAATTTAATTTTCAGACCATTACCACTTTGAGTTATATCTATATTACTGGCATTTTCAGTGTAAAACTGGCAGTAGTCTTAGCTCTGATGCAAGGATCTGATTTTATAAACAGTGGAACAGAGCACTAATTTTGTTATATACTAAAGGAGTTTTACATTCTTTGCCTTTAATGTACTTGTCTTATTAGTATCTTTTACAGATAATATCTTTAGAAACACCTCTTCTTTATATAATATATATATAATACATATACAATACAGTTGATAAATGAAAAAGCCATGTTTAAACTCACTATAAACTATAAGTAATATTAATCCAAAGACACAGTATTCCAGTTTTGCTATATAGTTGGTCTTAGTGGTTTGATTATGCTACAATAAATAGTAAGGGAAAAAACAGCCTGTCATCATATTGGTGATTAAGGACTGACACTCTTCATGCATTTGCAGTATTATCAGAAGGGTCTGTTTGTTTCAGGCAAGACAGATTTCTAGGAAAATATACTCTAAATTTATGAATCAGGACCTGGACTACAGTAGATTTAGGGAATCCATTTGATTATGATTCTTACACACATACATGCACATTACAAAATAATTTTTTTATTTTTTAAACTGTTCATTTTTCATAGAATTTGTTTTAGGCGCAACAGGATATAATCTAGAAAAATTGGTTTTGTAGTTAATAACATGTACTGTAAGTGCTATAGGAAATAATATGTATTTTATTAATCATTCATCAAAGTCTTTTAGTTTTTATGGATTATTTATCTTTAATTTATGAAAAGGAGTTCAGAATCAAAATTTTACACAAATAGATTTCTAGTATTCTAATAGAGAGGGTTTTCTTTTTTCACAAAAGAAAAATTACAACAGTTTCCATGTAGTAAATTGTACTTTCAATGTGCTATTAATAGTAGTTGCCTTTGTTCTTAATTTGAAGGATTACATGCTAGTTTTTGTGTAATTGGCATTTGAAAATTGATTCAAAATCTATATTAATTACATGATATCTTAATGGAGGCCTTTTCATTCCTCATGGTATATTCTGTACTTTTGTTTTAGTGGATTTGAGGTTATTGTGAGTGTTATATCATCTTTGCCGTTTGCTAATCACAGGGTTTCTATTACTTTTCAGTATCTAGCAACACCTCTCAAAAGGATGTGTTTGATTTAAAGATCACAGCTGAATTAAATGCATTTAATATCTTTGTCTGTGATCAGAAATGTAACATTGCAGACATTAAAATACATGGTAAGTTATTCCTTGTAGATATTTCTGTGTCTTTACATAAATACCCAGGAAAAATGAGTCATCTTTTGGTTTACTTATATTGAAGACTTACGCAAACTTTTCAAAGGTGTACCTTAAAATGCTAGAAGCAAATTTGTTATGATTCATTGCTGGCTTGAGACATTCTTTATGTATGTAAAAAATTGCAGATTTAAATCTAAGTCTTTTTGTTCTGGCTGCATTTTTCAGAATAATATAACTTTAAATTGAGAAATGGATACATGGTAACATCTTACTGAGTAAAACAAAGTCATTATCCTTATTTCCGTGAACTTCTGTACATATATCACATCAGGAAGGGAAGTTTCTAAAATAAATCTTGTAAGCTTTTTCCATCATTAGCTTGACATAAGAACAAAATATTATACATGGTATAATGATTTAGATTATACGAAGGGTTCTGAAGTCATCTTGCCAGGGTTCAAGGTCTGACTCTAACATTGGGTGATCTTGAACAAAGTAATTTACCTTGCTATACCTTAGTTTCTTCTTCTGTAAAATGGAGATACTAATAATTATTCATGGGGTTGTTGTGAGGATTAAGTAAGATTTACACATTTATGTATGTTTAGCAAAGTTCCTGCTACATAGTAAGCAGTTTTTAAATAGGTTAAAGAATCACTTTCATTCAACACATATTACTGTGTATCTTTCATGGAAGGCATGGTAATGGTTTGGGCTTGTTACTGGGTCTCAGCTTCAGTTATTCTGTCTATACTGAGGAGCAGTTGTAGAAATCATTATCCCCTTAGAAATTATGAGAATGACAAATTTTTTTGGAGACCAATCTTAGAAGACTGTGTTCTAGATACAGTTTATTATAGAAATAGAAGTACTTATTTATCAAATGGTGTTCATTTACTTTTAGTTATTGGAGCATCAGTTTTAATAATATAATAAACTTTTGTGAGATAGATTTTTTAACAAGTATTATGTCTTCTTAAAGGACCACCTCTGGTCTTGTCAGTGGACAGGATATTTGTGTTTGGAGAAATACGATTAATTTTCTTTGGTGTGTGTATATTTTTGTTTGTTTGTTTTGTTTTGTTTTGTTTTAAAATTTCTACGACTTTTATGTAGATGCCTGTATCCCTTAGAGATATTATTACCTTTCTTAGTTATCTTAAACACTTAAGTTGATACTGTTAATATGTCTAGTAGTGGGTAATTTTATTTACTCTATATCTTGTCAGTAAATTATTTAACTTAAACATCATTGAATTGGTTCACTTGGATTGGGTGAACAGTTTGTAAATGTTATGTTCCCCTAGGATTGGATGCCTCTATTTCTGTGAGGCCGAAGCAGACTGATGTGTTTGCCAGACTTAAGGATATCATAGTTACAAATGTAGATTTGCTGTCCATTCACAAAAAGGTAATTGAAAATACATTTCTATGTTGAAATTTATTTTGTTGCTCGGATTTGAGATGCCGTTATTTGTTCAGAATACATTTTTTAGTTGTGTGTCATGTGGCGGGTAATTTGTTAGGGATTAGAAATGAAAATGGTAATGGTCTGCTTTCACATTGTTTATAGGTTAGGTCTCCTGGTACACAGTGATTTGTAAAAGTTATTTCTGAACAGTTAATTTATTGATATTTCTATTGCTCAAATGATTTTTATAGAAATACGAAAAAGTTACGGTCAAGTAGAATATTTTAAATAATTTTTAAGGTTGAATTTATATATTGCTTCTTTATATATCAAGGATTTTGTAATACGGGAACTTATTTATAATACATTGATGAGGGCTATACATCAATAACAATTGATATTTTGATACAATAACAAGGTAATCTAATACTTTTAGGCTGTCTCTATTTTGGGAGATGAAGTCTTTAGGTTCCAGCTGACCCTTTATCCTGACGCCACAGAAGGAGCGGCCTATGCTGATATGTCTAAAGTGGATGGCAAACTTAGTTTCAAAGTGGGCTGTATTCAGATTGTTTATGTTCATAAATTCTTCATGTCTCTTTTGGTAAGTTTATTGTTTAAATGTATTTATTTCTTATTGAGGCTGAAATATTTTTGCCTATACAACTGAACCTAGATAGTATAAATTGTCTTTGATATGGCTGTGTGATAAATTCCCAGATACTGAACAGAATATTATAGTTAAGGAAATCCTTTATATGATGGATAACCAAATGAGTTTTTAAAATTATTGTCTTGAATATATAAACTGTCATTCTCTAACATTTCCGTAGTTATGTATTTTGAAAGAACTTTTTGACATTTTAATTTAGGCTTTTTAGTGTTAATTGTTTGATGAAATACTCTTAAGAGTATTTAGCTAAAAGAATTTTTTAAGGAAGCTAACAGGCATTCAAAGGACTAAAACTGGAACTTGCAGCTTATAGTTGTGTTCAATAAGGTCATGAAATTCTTTTCTTCTAATGTTATTTATTTCCATTTAAGTGTCATAGGCTGAAGAGGTAAATCTGCTTATATCTCTTATCAGGAATGCTAGTTAAAACCTACAAGTCAAGAATTTCTAGTTAAACCATCATGTTCACTTTTCTAGAGAGTAATTTATTTGGAGCAGAATGGGGGAGGTTAAGTTACTTTTGTATTATTAATAGATGAACATCAAGAATATCGCTTCTAAGAATGTTCTTTACCTTATTGGGAAACATCTTTCAGTTTTTTGAGATGAAGTGCATCTAACTATAAATAAAGAACCTTTGATTCTTACTAATGATTACAGTGTGATAGACAATTAACCATCTTCCTCATGTGTGAGTACATTTAAAAAAAAATCTTTAGAAATAAGCTGGCAGAACCTTAGTTTCTAAGAGTAAACATTATTCCTGTGATCTAGCAGTACAGAATTGAACCTGCTTTTGGAGAGGTACAGTGCTCCCTCTCTTCCATTCCTTTCATTTGAATCTGAATTTAAAATGACTAACATTCATTAATAATAAGAATATTAAAAAATAATTGTTTTGAAAATTTGCCATAAAAATAAAATAATTCTGAGATATAAAAAATGAAATTTAAAGAACTTTTTCTTCCTAGAGGTAATTGTTACCTCTAGGTAGCTATTGTTAATAGCTATGGTTACTAGCTATTGTTAGTAGCTATTTTTAGCTATTGTTATCTAGTTATTGTTAGTAGCTCAGAGTGTGTATTTCTAGACTTTACTCTCTCCATATAATCATAAATAAATAAGATCTCTTTTATATTACATCTTTTATTTAGTTTTTCTTTTTCAAATAAATGCTTTTTAAAGTTTTTCCTTTTAAAAATAAATACCTTTTTGGGAAACTCTCTAAATAATCATTTCTTCCAACAGAACTTCCTCAACAATTTCCAAACTACTAAAGAAGCTTTGAGTGCAGCCACAGTCCAGGCTGCAGAAAGAGCTGCTTCCAGCATGAAAGATTTGGCTCAGAAAAGTTTCCGCCTTTTGATGGATATCAATTTGAAAGCACCAGTTATTGTTATTCCTCAGTCTTCAGTATCACCTAATGCTATTATAGCAGATTTGGGTTTAATCAGAGTTGAAAATAAATTTAGCTTGGTTTCTAAAGAACAGTTTTCTCTTCCTCCAGTCATTGATAAAATGAACATTGAGCTCACTCAGTTGAAGCTGTCCAGGTATAAATATATAATTTAATTGTGTATTGCTTATTAGAAATAGGGTTTGCATTTTTACCTGAGGTGAAATACTCTAGTAATTTGTGGTTCTCATTCTTTATTTCTTCTAATTATGAAACCTTGACCGGTGTTTTTTTGGTCAGTGGTTAATAGCAGTGTGCTTCATAGAATCTGTATTTTGTCTTATTAAATTTATAATGTGATTATTTTCCATTTTATAAAAATTACCTATTAACAAAATTATAGTTCACTCAGTACTGAATTTAAATTTTTTCCACTTTGCATATAGCTATTTCCTTTTCTGTAGATGACAGAAAACTTCCTAAAATATAATAAATTATAAGATTTATTTCTCATTTTCAGACCTTGTCACATTTGGGAATTCTCAGTGAGGTATCTAAAGGATTATTGAATCCAAATGGGAAAAATGTTGGCTTTATTGAATAGCAAGAGTACCTATTTGATTGTGGAAATGGTTGTTGGTAGGCAAGCTATAATGACTATTACCATATGTTCATTTAACTTTGAGATTTGGTTACTTTTTTTCTCCCTTGAGTTTGGAGAAGTACCAATAACATATTAAGGGCTAATTATATGATCACTTTCTTTATTGTCCAGTTTTAGGAGAATGTAATGTTTGTATGACGTTATACTAGTTGCTTTATCAAACAGTCTGTGAAAAATAAAAAATAATTCAGTGGTAATACTGTATGAAAATTATGTCTTTGAAATCAGTGTTATATAGGCTTTTTTTTAGATAGTTCTACATATAAGCTTGATTTCTGATTCGTATTGATTTGTGAAAAGAAGTATCTTCTAAAAGAATTCTGATAGCAGCTTTTAGTGTTTATGGAAATGCTGTGTGGGAATTGTTACACAATATGATAGTCCTCATTTAAAAATGTAAATTTCAAATAAATAAATAAATTCTTCTTTTTCTTTTAGAACTATTTTGCAAGCTGGTTCTCAACAACATGATATTGAAATTTTAAAACCAGTCAACATGCTTTTGTCCATACAGAGAAATTTATCGGCAACATGGTATGTGCAAATTCCTGGGATGGAGATAAAAGGAAAATTAAAACCTATGCAGGTAAATATCTGGTATAAAATATATAATTGTTTGATAGGCTTTTATCATGATGATAGTGCAGTTCTAGTGTATATCAGAAGTGATGCTACATTGAAAGAGAAAACTTCATTAACTGCAAATGAGATCATCCTTGTTTCCCACACTTTTCTTTATTTCATTTTAGTTAGATATTTAAAATGAAGAAGTCTAAGGTAAAACCTATTGGAGTCTACTGAAAATATTCTTAATTTTGGAAAATTAAAGTTTTAACACAGTTAAATTGTAAAACAATACAAAGTGATGTTCAGATACCAACTATTCAAAGCTCCTTAGTTTTTTAATATGTAAAAGCATTCTTTTAAGTAGAAAAGTGAAAATAATTTTGAATAGGCAAATATATTTGTTTGGTAGGCATATAAATACAGCAGTCAGTATTTTTAATAATGTAGTTAGCAGGTTACATGTCAGCTCACAGGGAAGGTGAAACTGGTTAAAGAAATTTAGGAGTCCTGTGATTCTTGTGTGCCTGTGTGTGAAACTGTTGAAGCCAAACAGCAGGAGATGGGGTAGGGGAGGATATACTAAACAAATAGAGTGTTTGAAGGACAAATAAAAATTGAGTTTAGTGGTTTTTGATATTTGTGATTATTTCACAGTTGGTTCTAAGATAAATAGGAAGGGCCAAAGGAGCAGAGTTCTGCTAGGGGAGAAGTTAAAATTGATGCTTATTGTGGAAATGAAGGTTTCTATTTGTATATACTAGTGAATATATTACATGAGGAAGAATTATTGAATTATGTCTATTTGGGGTATTCATGGAGTAGGCTGTTTTCCAGAGTATGGATACTTAATTTCTCCCTTGCTGCCAAGAGATTAGATTCCAGGTCTAATATTTGACTCTTTCTTTTAAAGATTATGTGGTTATCGATTTTCTAAAAGTAACAGTAAAACCTAAATGCCTGTCAATAGCAGAGTGTAGATAAAATTATGGTATATTTATATAGTGAACATTGTAAAGCAGATAAAGTGAATGGACTAAAACTATATGAAATAAAATGGATATATCCTAAAAATGAAACAAGTGAGTTGCAAAATAATAGTACAGTTCTATATTACTTCAAATTTTATAACAGGCAACACAATGCTATGTATATTCTTTAGAGATGCAATAGTAGTAAATGTAAGAAAGTAGTCATGGGAATAATAATTCTCTAAGATAGTGTCTTTCTCTCGGGATGAAAGGAGAAGGAAATGGGGTCTCAGGTACACACCGGGCTTCAGCCATATCTATAATGGAGAAATTAGATCTGAAGGAATATAGCAACTTGTTTAGACTTGACAAAGCTAGGTGGTAGATTCACAGGGGAAGATTGTGGTATTCTTTATCCTTTTTCTTTATGCTTGAAGTATTTCAAAAGAAACAAGAAAAAAAAATAACAGATCTGATAGTTTAGCATCAAAATGTGATCTTTACTTTCACCATAACGACCCTTGTTAGCTCAAGAATGTAGCCACAGGGGATAAGGTATCCACTGCCTAACTTGTCAGCAATCCTGGCCTCTGTAAACACCCCATCTTTGGTCATAGTCTGTATAGTTGTCCTGGGTTTGGGGTGCAGCTAAGAAAAGGTATCAGGAAGGTGACACCAACAAGTTGTTTTGGGTAAATCAGTTTGACAGTGGGGGCCACCTTTCAAAATTGTCCTTCAGACTTATGGAGGGTCTATCTAATATATGACAGAGTTGCTCTTTTTACCCACAGTAAACTGAAAGAGGTCGTGAAGTTCGCTGCTCTTCAGGCAGCTGTGGTATCTTGGTTGGTATTACCAGTGAGAATGGACATACAAGGAAGTTACAAAGAGTTAAAGTTACCTGTTATTTGAGGACTAGGGCTTGGGACAAACAGGAAATCCCTGGTCCCTATCTTATGCCAAAGTATCTTTCTATTTTCATTTAGGCTGGGAACCAGGCAGTTTCCCTGGTGATAGGGACCTAATTTGGGAGGCACAGGGTACTATAGCATTCACAGGTGATTTGCTGTACATGCATGCTTGTGTGAATTTGTGTGTAAGTGCTTGAGACAGGCCTTCTGGACCACTGTAAATGTAGGGGAAATTTACAAAAGGTAGAACAATAAGAACCTTCAAAGAAAGTACTGATTTAATGGATCTTAGCAACCAGTAACAACTTCGTTCGTTCTAGTTGCTTCTTGTTCTGTAGCTACCTGTGAGGAAGATGGTATTATTCTTATTTTAAAGATTAAGAAATTTGAGTTAAGGAGACTAAGAAACTTGTCCAACAACACAACTTGAAAGTGGTAGAGTTAATACAGATCTTCCTGATGCAAAATCCCTAGCTTTCTTTTCTTTTTGCTATACATACTCTATTGTAAAAATAGAGATGGAGAAGATACTGCCTTCCTGCTTAGTTTTTTTGGTTTCTAAAAATTCTTTGTAGATGAATTTGTTACTGTTCTAAGAGGTGTTATTCTTGATAAGTTTAACAAATGTTTTATGTATGTCCAGATGCGTATATACTGAGATGAGGAGCTACATAGCAGTAGAGAGTCTTTTTACTTTTTTGGTAGATACCAGAAACTGAACAGCATTCTTCCTGTATTCAGTTTGGAGGGAAGTAAATAATGTAGAAGAAGGAACCAGTACTGGGTGAGGAGAGAGAGAGGCAGAATGGAGATGGGAAAATGGGGAAAGGGGAAGAGGCACAGGTCCAGGAACAGGATGGCATAGTAACAGATAAGGCAGGGACAGTGTCAGAGTGCCAGAGGGGGCTTGGGTATGGGTGGAAGTAGAAGTGTGCTTACACACATTAGACAGGGTGAAATGCTTCTAGCCTGGTATTTGTGGTTCTCTCTCTTATTCTCTTTCTTTCTCCGTCTCTCTTTAAAATAGGCGAACAATTAATGTGAGAAACCATAAATTGACACAAAGATACTATAGTCTGCATTTTTTATTACTTTACGTTAACAGATTATTGGTGGTTTCTTTTAATAGGTTGCTCTCAGTCAAGATGACTTGACAACTTTAATGAAAATTTTGCTAGAAAATCTTGGAGAAGCTTCTTCACAGCCAAGCCCTACACAGTCTGTGCAGGAAGCTATGAGAGTGAGAAAAGTAGATGTCCCTAGTGGACTTGACCTCCTCAAAGGTATACATCGATGAAGATGTTTTGCTTTTATTATGGAAAAAACCTAGTATTAATGTCATATTTATATTTAGTGATGTTTTTCTTTTTTTGTCAGATGTAATGTGGTTTGAACTGATTCAGTATTGTACTGTTTACTGTGGAAAATCTTCTGGGGCTGGGGCTGCTTCTTGAAGGTCCCGGGGAAAGAGGTAGCTGGTGGTATGAGAGCATTAAAAAAGCACAGCAGCCTGAGCCTATGTATTATAAGGATATCATCTCTTTTTAGCCATGAAAATATTAACCTGTTTACAGTCTAATAACAGACATGATATGCATATCTATGACTAAATGATGAAAAACAAGTGAAATAATATTTCACATCATCTGTTTGAGAAAGTAACAAGAAACCTTATATTTTAAAATGACTGACTTCAAAAGTTTCAACGCTTTTTAATAGTTCAATTTTAATGATCTGAAAATTTGTTTTATGTATCTGACTGAATAATTTTCCAGTACAGCCAGGTAAGTAAAGCTGTTACTATGCAATAGTAACTATGCATTTGCTACAGCGGGAAGGGTCACTTTGTTGCCTGTGTGATACATATTTATTCTTTACTTGTGCAAACTAAATTTGCTGAATTCACTAGGCAGTGAGGTGGTATAATTTAAGAGAAAAGTCAAACTAAGCATGCAGTGCAGCAAGGTCCTAAGATAAGAGAGAAAAGGACCTTCGTATCACATATCATACTCAGATGAGTGAACCATGAGAAAGGTATTCTTGCATAGTAACAGCTTTACTTAAAATCTCATACGTACTTAAAAGTTTTTTAATTTTCATATTTGTGTTTTAATCATCAGAACAGGAAGACTTGACAGACTCAAACCTTTCTGTGGACCAGAATGTCACTCTCCAGTTTGACTTTCACTTTGAATCTCTTTCCATTATTCTTTATAACAATGATGTCAACCAGGTATGTAGTAAATTTCTATAGTTAAAAATAAATCTTTAGTTCTTTACATTCAGCTTTAGAATATTGACTTTTTTTGATGTGACTATTAAGTAAAAATTTTAATATCTGTAAAATTCTATTTGGCCTGTAGAATATGCACTGTTCCTGCACTCTGTCTTTACTTTGTTAGTGTTTTTAATCTTAACAAGGCTAAGGAAAAGCGTTTTATTCCTTTCCAAGTAGCATAAGCACCAAAACACATTTTGATTGATCACTAATACAAGGATTTTATATATGAGTGGTTAATTAAATGTACATTTTATTACATGGCTAGGTATATATAACTATTTAAGAAGAATAATTTAGTAGTGGCTTTGGAGCCTTAGATGATTATTTTTAAATTCATGATTATCCATGATATATAAGCATTAATTATGTATCCACTGAATAAATGTTACATGTAGTAATTATGTATTTAGGATGCCAGTTAAAGAATTGAATAAAAGTCTTGTGTCATAGTGACTTTGTATTGATCATTTGTTATTATAGTCCATTTGTATATGTTTATTTATGTTTTGTATTGTTTTCTAAAATATATACAATAGTTACTGTTGAGTTTTGGTCTAGTATATGTCATTTGTGCAATGAACTACCTTAATTTCTAATGTTTAATATTCATGAAAACATCATAAAATGACCTTATAGGAAGTGAACAGTTAAAGGTATTCTTCATTTCACTTAAAGTGCCATCATTTTCCTCGTTCCTCAGCCTTAGAATTTTGCTATCTTCGTTTACTTCTTTCTTTGTTCACCTTCTTTCTTTATTTAGATACTGAGTACTGTCAGTTTTTTCTTTGAATGACATTGTGTTCTTTTCTGTCAATTCTCACTGCTGCTTTATTTGAGACTCTTCTTAGCTCATGCTTGTAATCCTGCAATGGCTTCCTTGTTTGTGGCTCTTTTTCCTTTCATCCATGCTAGATATTGGCACAAGTTCAGTTTACTAAATGAATCTCCTATAGCCATTTCCAACTTCTCAATCTACTTAAAAACATTCAGTGTTATATTATTTGAATTTCATCTCATGGAAAAAAAAATCAGTTGCTCCAAATTGTCTATATGGGGATACCATATCAGTAACCTCATCAGGAAAACATTAGTTTGTTGTGATCAGTAGATGTGTCTGAGATCATTTCTATTAATGGCTACAGAAGAGAAGTTTGTGAATTACTTCTGTTTTTTAGAAATTAAAGGCATTCAAAGTTTGTCAGTATTAATGTCATTCTGACCCTACTGTCTTGAGGGAGAAGAGGTACAGAGTTCTGACCAGTGTCCTAGGGATTGCACATCACGAGCACCCCTTTTAAACACGTCGTGCTCTCTGATGAGCAGCTGTGATTGGTATTTTTTTCTTCCTCGAAGGTTGTTTGTTGATTGGTTGGAGCTGGGCATACTTGGAGAATTTGAAATTATATGTTACAGTAGAATGAAGATTGAGCTTCTTTTTCCTATAAATAAAAGTTTAAATATTTAGTTTGGGATTTGGGACCTTGATTAGACCTCTGTGTTTCTTTCCAGCCTTATTCCCTACCATTCTTTAATTGCAGTATTCAAGCCTACTCACCCTGTACCCTGTGCCCTCAGACCATCTTGAGCTGTTTGTTGATGTTTTTTCCCCCATATAGTTTGTCTTCTTTTACCCTCTTAGCCTATGTGATCCCCCTCAGCTTCCAAGGCTCAATGAAGTTCTCATCTTCTTCTTCTTCTTCTTTTTTAGAGACAGAGTCTCACTCTGTTGCCTAGGCTAAAGTGCTGTGGCATCAACCTAGTTTATAGCAACCTCAAACTCCTGGGCTCAAGCAATCCTCCTGCCTCAGCTCCCTGACCCCCGCCCCCCACTCCCAGAATAGATGGGACTACAGGCACTCACCACTACACCTAGCTAATTTTTTTCTATTTTTAGTTGAAATGAGGGTCTCGCTTTTGCTCAGGTTGGTGTCAAACTCTTGAGCTCAAGAGATCCTCCTGCCTTGGCCTCCCAGAGTGCTAGGATTATAGGCGTGAGCCACCAGGCCCAGCCTCTCATCTTCATGAGTTTTTCCCAGCCCACCGTGATCTATTTGACGTCTCTGTGATTCTGCTATTTCTACTCTTTACCTAACCACTTAATATCCATCTTGGAATGTGAGAAGATATAAAAATTACTATATGTCACAAAGTATTTGATCATTTACAACTTACAGAATTTCCTTGTGCATATATTTCTATTTTATTGTCCTGAATTAGGGTATATGCTCACTGACATCACTTCCTATGTCCTGTCCTTTCTCATAAACCTCATCATTACATCACGGTGGTTTTGCAGAAGAGCTCATTAAATATTTTAGTTTGATCGATTGACAAAAATATTACCTGACTATTTTTATTTGCATAAACTGTAAATCAGATAAATCTTTATATAATTAACCGTTGTTGAATACCTGCACACGTATATATGTATTTGTTTGTTTGTACCTATATACTCATAAATATGCATATTATCCTTCATCCCATTTATGTCTTTTAGCACCCATACTTTTAAAATTTGTGAGATTGATTTGCCTTTGAGCTCTGAATTAAGTAATATGTTTAAAAGTAATTACATAATATTTAAAGATAACTGATTCTTTTGCTTGAAAAATATCCCACAGGAGTCCAAACTTTCATTACATAATGACACTTTCCGGCTTGGTGAACTCAGACTACATTTTATGGCCTCCGCAGGGAAGATGTTTAAGGACGGCTCAATGAATGTCAGCATTAAACTTAAGACGTGCACCCTTGATGATCTCAGAGAAGGCATTGAGAGAGCAACATCGAGGTTTGTCAGCTCTGAATTTGCAATACATTATTTAAGGTTGACAGGGCATTTGGCATTGCTACCAGGCATTGCTAGGCTAGGGATCATCAAAAGAGATTTCTGTCTTTTGGTCTTACTTTCTTATTTGAATGGCATCAAAAAGTAGTGATAATTAGATTCAGCTGCTTTAAAGTTTACATTAAAGAGAACTTTAATAAAAGGGAGTACTGTCTTAAAAATGGGAACTAAGAGAATGTAACAGTTTTAATAGTTAAATCTACATGGGAGAATATGTTGGTAATATATTTTTCTAAATTCTCCCCAGTAGAATCATTTTTTTAAAAAGCCTTCAAGTTATAGCCTTTCCTTTGTCTTATTATTTTGTTCATGTCTTTTAAAAATAGTTCTGCAGAATTTCTTTCAAAGTTTTGATAGAAATAGAATCCCTAGCATATTCACATTATCAACCCATTTTTGAAACTTATGTTAGTCCCCTATAAAGTGGGAAATTAATTATATTTTTACTTCTTTGTCAAATAATGAGATACATGATATTTTCTACTTGATTTTTTGGGGGAGAAACTGTGTTGCTTCTTAAATTTGGACTCCATTAAATACATACTAGATATTTCTGAGCCCTTTGTTTTTCTGAAAGATCAATAAATGAGGAAAGAGTGCCATCATGCAACTAGCTTTTCCAGTTTGCAAATTTCATGTCTGGGGTAGCTGTCATAGCTCTTTAAGCAAGGGTGATAAGTGCTATCCTCTCTTTGGTAGCAGGCTCTCTCCAGCACATGTGAGGATAATATAGGGGGAATTATCATTGGGGACACTTGAAAAATACTTGCTGATTTGAGTTACATTGAATACTTTTGGATTCAAATTTTATAGAATAATATTTGGAGATAAATTCCTTCAGGGGAGGTTTTATTTCATAAAGTAATATGAAAAGGTTGTCTTATATTTTGTGTGACCACATTGATGTGTTCTCTTAATTGCTCAAATTCCTTTACAACATCATTGATTTGTTTCTGTAGTGTTGCACTATAATTATAAAATATTCTGTGATTGCTTAATAACATGGGGCTTGCTTTGGAGATTAGGAGACCGTGTCTTGGTTGCTAATGGGTAATGAGATCCAGTTAACACTGACTTGTTTTCTATTTAAACTAGAAACTGAAAGGCAAAAGAAAGATTATTGAGTTATATAGAAAATTTTTAATCTTTTTAATTGTTTTAGCAGAAATAAAATAATGAATGGTATATATATTTTTTCAGAATGATTGACAAAAAGAATGACCAAGATGACAACAGTTCTATGATTGATATAAGTTACAAACAAGACAAAAACGGAAGTCACATTGATGCTGTCCTTTACAAGCTGTATGTATGTGCCAGTGTGGAATTCCTGATGATTGTGGCAGATTTCTTTATCAAAGCGGTGCCTCAGAGTCCAGAAAATATGGCAAAAGAAACACAGATTCCAAGGCAGACTGTCACAGGGAAAGTTAAGACGGAGAAAGGTTAGCAGAATTTATCTGTTGTAGATGACAACTTGAATATTTTAACAAAAGTTACAAAAGGGAAAAAAATAAAGAATTTAAGAATGTAAAATGAGTTTTTCTTTCAGATTTAAACATGTTACATATAAAAACTGTAGTACACAAACTTTTTAAAGAGAGATATGCAGTAGAAATTGGATTAAGGGCCAGGAAACTCTGCTCTTGTTCCAATTGTGTGAGTAACATTTCTTTACTCATCCAGAAATAGAGGTAGTTAATCTGGGTCAGTGGTTGGCAGGCTGTTTTACAGGAAGGGAAACTTTTTTTTAAAGAAAACATTTTGAAAATTCTAGCACATTGAAGAGCAATTGAAATAAAAAAAGCAGAAGGTGGGGACATTGGAGAACCCAGCAGTACTCCCCTGGATATCACCTTAGCTGCCTAAACTATGTGGAATAGTTTGAAAATGTCTGGTCTTAGATGTACCCTGAAGTCACTTCAGTTCTATATTTCTTTTATTCCAGCATTACCAAGTAGATCAGTGATTTTCTTTAGGCATTAAATTAGGCATTTTTCTAATATATAACCCAGCAAAATTGCAAAGCTAACATTTACTTGCAAAGTAAGAATGTTGTATATTTATTACTTTTAGTGTTTCTTAAACAGTGATCATATCTGATATCTCTGTATTCATACATGCCTTGAATGTATTTATACTATAGGTTACATGACATTGACTGTGGGCTTTGGATAAAATGGAAGTAAACACGTAACAATAGTCTATTTACTTATCAAGGTCTCTTTTCCTCTTCCTGATATTCCCCCATCCAGTTTTCTCCTCCTAGCCCCTGCAACATAGCATTGCATATTTGCATGTGTGTATGTATATACACACACACCGTAATTCTGACAAAAAGAACTTCAAAATAAGACTATTCTTGCTAGGTCAAAGTGGTAATGATCTTCTTGGGACAGGGATCAGATTGCATTATCTTGCACAGTCAACATTTGTTAATAATTGTTTTCCTCAGTATTATTAATATTAATAACTAATAATTATATCATTAATTTCACCATACTCATTAAGCAGAATATTTAAAACAACTAAGCAACTTGTAGATAACATATAGTCAAGTGATAAGATTTATTTGAAACTCATTTGGTTCCTGTTGTGTTTCTTCAGATGACTCTGTAAGACCAAACATGACTTTAAAGGCCACAATTACAGACCCAGAAGTGGTATTTGTCGCCAACCTGACCAAGGCTGATGCTCCTGCTCTGACGGCCTCATTCCAGTGTAACCTCTCTCTATCAACATCTAAACTCGAGCAGATGATGGAAGCTTCTGTGAGAGATCTGAAAGTGCTTGCTTGCCCTTTTCTCAGAGAAAAGAGAGGGAAAAACATTACCACAGTAAGAGTTATTACCTTGTATTCTAATCTTAGATTGAAGAATAGCAGAGATGGTTGATTCCTAGAATCCTAGAATATGAAACCTCTACAGAACCTTAGCGATTATTTATTACAAACTTGGGGTTTTACAGATATGGATGTTGAGTTCCAAACATATTAAATGACTTAGCCATGGCACCTAGTGACGGAACTGGGGACTACCTCTAGATTGGTTTTGTTTTCTTATACTATCTTCTGTTGAAAAGTATTTGAATTTTAGTACCAATCAATACTCTTTATCGGCTGTTTCTTTTGTTCACCTTAGTATATCCAATGAATGAATAGAATGAAAAAATTAGATTAGAATCATGTGACCAAAAGAGATATAGTTTGCTATTATTAAAAGTTAATTTCAATTATGTTTTTATATTATTATTGAAAAGTGATTTTAATCAATTAACTTAATTACTGTAGCAATTTTTTAATGTCAATAATTTTACTATATAAGAGGCTCATTATATTATGTGACTCATTTACAGTGGTACAGATTTGTGGGCAAAGTGACTTGCATAAAGAAATATAGTGCTAGGCTTCATCTATACTTTATTGTGAAATATTCTTTGATAGGACCATCTTTTGACATGTCACAGAAAGCTTATATTAATTATTCCATTAAAAGCTCATCCTAATTTTTAAAAAGTGACAGTTGTCAAACTAATTACCCTATTCAGTTAAGCTGCAAGGTTATTTAATTTGTATCTTTAATGATATATCTATCTACTTTGAAGATTTGAAATTTATTCTAATAAGGACCTTATATGATATTCAGAACTGACCTGTTAATCATCTAGAAACTGTTCATTACCTACCTTACTGTAGTCTTTAGATCATTTTTATAGATATTTCAAAAACATATTTTACAGAGGGCATCATTTAAAAATATCTTAGCAAAAGGAAACATTTTAAACTTCTGATAGTAAATGCTTATCATTAGTTAAGGATTTGGCAAGAAGAGATTCATCAGAACTGCTTAAATTCCTTTAACAGTGTTTGCAGATTTATCACAGTTCAGAAGAGCCCTCACAAGAGATCTTCAGCTAACTTAATGTCTTTTTGCTTTTAGTAGTAGACTGTATAGTTAATAAGATCCCAATTTAAGACATGGTTCTTGTGTGTATTACATATATAATGGATCTATTACTTAAGGAAATGTGAATTTCATTTATTTGTTTCTAGGTCTTGCAGCCCTGCTCTTTATTTATGGAAAAATGTACATGGGCTTCAGGAAAACAAAATATAAATATTGTGGTTAAAGAATTTATAATTAAGGTTAGTGCCTATCATATTCTTTAATTCTTATTCTTCTAACAATATTGTATATTTGCAGTTACTTGACACAATATCTTTTGGCCTCTCTCAGAAGACAGGCTGAAATCAATTTCTCTCTGTCTAAAGGACACAAAAATGAGATGGTTAATGTCAATAATGGTAGTAGTTTTACTTATATAGGTCATTACCAGTGGTGACTGAACTATGGCTTAAACTCATTTCTTTTGAAGTACCATGTAAGCTAGGCACAGTGGCTCATACCTGTAATCCTAGCACTCTGGCAGGCTAAGGCAGGAGGATTGCTTGAACTCAGGAGTTTGAGACCAGCCTGAGCAAGAGTGAAACCCCTTCTCTACTAAAAATAGAAAAATTAGTCAGGCATCATGGCACGTGCCTGTAGTCCCACCTATTCAGGAGGCTGAGGCAGGCGGATCACTTGAGCCACGGAGTTGGGGGCTGCAGTGAGCTGTGATGACACCACTTTGAAACCCAGGGCAAAAGAGTGAGACTCTGTCTCAAAAAAAAAAAAGGAAATTGAAGTACCTTGTAAATAGCAATGTAGTTTTTTCTCAGTATTTTAAAATAGTGGAAGTGTTAGATTATATTTTATGAATGGATTTATTTTTTAAAGATACAGAGTAGTAAATAGAGAGAAAATTTGAATGTTCATGTATTTTCTCTAAGGCATTAGGTTGGATGCTGGGAGGACTTTCCATTTCTTTGTACATAAATTGATTTATTGATTCAACAAACATTTTTTGAACTTTTACTATGTATAAAAATGTCCTGTACAAGACATTGGGTATAGATGGTCCTTGCCTTCAAAAAACTTGACCTATATTGGAGAAAGAAGTAAATCAGTGATTACAGCTTTCAGTGCTGGAGGCATGCACAACGGTACAGTTGTAGCATATGCAAGGCACCTTTAATTCAGACCAGGCCATCAGGGAAAGCTGTCTGGAAGCAGGACTACTTGAACTTTATTTTGACAGTTCAGTGAAGGTATATGGAGAGGGAGGGGACAAAAATGAATAATAGACCAAAGGCAGAGGTGTAGAAAAATTCTTTAAGGACTTAGAGGGGTGGTCCCATGTAGTTGGGGAGAATGGTGTGTAGAGTTGTAGGAGTGGGGATTAATTATCAGTGACATTAATAAGTCAAGGAAAAAAATGTATTTAGTTGACAAGTAAGTGATATAATTTTACCTCTTAGCTATTAGTGAGTAAGAATTATGAGAAGTAGACAATAGGAAACACTTTGACTTTTAACCCAGGATGCTCAAACTTTGGGGAATTCTGGTAGCTGATTAAATAGGCACTAGGCCATAAAGAGCTCTTACACTAAGCTACAGAGATTTGAATTTTATCCCGAAGTTATGAAGTTGCTAAAGATTGTAAACATAGGAATGCCATGCCAGATTTAGGTTTTAGAAAATTATGCTGCTAGCAGTTTGAGGGTAGGCTGAGAGGTGCTGACTAGACTGAGAGATATCATAATGTATAACTAAGGTATAGTGATAGGAATGAGGAGAGGGAGCAAAGCTATAACCAAAGATAATAAGAGGTAAAACTTGTGATCTTGAGGAACGTCAAGGAGATCCATTGTATTTACAGCCTTCCTGTTTCAATAAACAAATGAAAGCCCATCTGTGTAATATCTTGATAAGGAGCAAACACTTTGGTTACTTAATGCAGTTGATGTGTAATTGATGTGTAATGAGATTGATGTTACTGAAGTTTTCATTTTTTAGCCTACATTTGTCTATTCACCTAACACTACTTTGCTCTGATATTGGTTTAATTTTGGTTTTGACTGTTGACATATAACCTTAGTTACTTAATTTAGTAACCTTAGCAGAATAGTTAATTTACGTTGTTTAGTTACTTTACACATGATTTTGTGGTTTTCTCTTGTTTTTCTAGTATGAATTATATATACTTAAATTTTAATGAGTACTTTTTAACTTTTTTGTCATGTATATATTTTTCTTTCATCAGGGAAATAATTTATTTTGAATATTTTTGCTGTTTTTTTTTAAAGTTTCACCCATAATTCTTAATACTGTGATGACAATCATGGCTGCTATGCGCCAAAGGCAAAAAGAAGATGATCCAAAGATCATCTAAGGAAATGGAAAATCTCTGGGCGTCAAATCTATTTATGATTATAACTCTTGGTTCTTGGTTGACACGGCAACAGAAATAACAGAAAATTTCCAAGACGTACAACATTGATAGAGGAAAATTGTGCAGTTTTGTGAGTCAATTCAAGTTACCTTGGAATGTGGCCTTGGGCATCGAACTGTCCCCCTTATTATTGGCAGAACTAGGTTTTCAGGAAATATTAAAAATTGACTTCCCTAATGGTTGCTGCTACTGATATGACACTGGAGGTATGACCACATCATTAATACCTTCAGAGCCAACTTTTTGATAGTATGATTACAAAAATTAAGATATGAACTCTTCTTGTTTGTTCATGGCCACTGCAAGTATATATGTAAATAGATAATGTATTCTAACATTGATTGTTTGATGTATGGTGTTATTTTTTGGTTGTTATTTTTTAAAGTTCTTTTGCAGAATAATTTGTTCATGGTAGTAAAGTTAGAGAATAAAGGAAATACACTTTATATATATTTGGTGTGGTTGGGGTTTTTAAATGGTTATGACATATAACATTAATTACTTAATATTTTTCCTACTGGTTACATGATAAAGATGAAAGACTTGCTTGTCTTTCTGTTGCTTTCCAGGTTCACTATTACAATGAGATCCATGCTGTCTGGAGCCACTGATGAGAGGTAGAGGGAAGAGACAATGGAATTTAAGGCTTGATGTAAGAAATCTTAACATATCTTTGTATTAGAGTGATACTGTACATATCCATCAACATTTTTGTTCACTGATCTCAAGATGTGAGCCAAGATCCTTGAAGGGAATCTATGAGGTCAAAAAACTCTTTCATATAATACTCAGACTTTATATTTCTCTCATGAGCATACAGTGGAGTTTCCAGAGACTATGTGAATGCAATATTGAAACATATTGAATGCAGAGCAGAAATGAGAATTTATCTGTCTTCTCTTAGGGCAGGCCATAAAGAGATTTTCTCATGACCTCCTTTCACTATATTTTAAATAGAATTTTTTATAACATGTGTATTTATATTAATGCATACTTTTACTTTAAAATGAATATTAAAATGTTCTCAATTTTAATTTCTAATGGAGAGTGTATTGGTAGATTCAACACATTAATGAAAGTCTTTAGGTTACTCAGTGATTTTTAAGTGTGAGACCAGAATATTTTGAGAACTGCTCTTAGTTCATGAAAATCTTTATGTTATCTCTTTATGTTATTTTGAGAATACTTCAGAATTCTAGATACTGAAGCACATTTTTTCAGATTAAACAGGAAGTGTTATAAATTGTCACAGCACACCTTTCTGGGCAGCCAGACTGAGGAGTCAGGCACTGAAATTGACTCCACAGATTTTCTGTTAAAGAGGAGTCACTTAACCTGTGTTCCAAGTAAAGTAGAAGTAATATTCTGACCTATTCTTTCTGACATAAGAGGCTAACAAGAATGTTTTACAAAGCTTTTGAAATGCTATTAGAACAAAACTGATGGAATCTGATGGCTAGTTGAAGCTTATTATATTACTTGTTTGAGGTGTTTATTGGTAAAAAGTAGAAGAAGAAAACTTATTTCCAGATGACTACCAATAAGGATCAATTAATTTTATATATTTTTCAGTTTTTAAAAATTTTAGTTATTAGGATACATATAGTTGTATATATGTACAAATTGTATATATATTGTAGAGTAATTTTTATTTTTGATGCAATGTGGCATACACGTGTGAATCAGTGAAAACAGGGTAATGGGTTTTCCATTGCCTCAGGTATTTAACATTTGTGTTAGGAACACTCCCATTCTATCTTTTAGTTATTTTAAAATATCGCAATTATTGTTGATTGTAGTCTCTTTGTTGTGCTATGAAATGTGGTTCATTCTACTATCTGACTATATATTTGCACTGCTAACCGTCCAATTATCCTCCGGGGTCTCTCCTTCAGCCTTCTGGTAACCGTCATTCCACTCACTATCTCCATGAGCTCAATTGTTTTTAATATTTAGCTCCCACATATGAGTGAGAACATGCAAGATTTGTCTTTCTGTGCTTGGTTTATTTCACTTAAAATAATGTTCTCCAGTTCCGTCCATGTTGTTGCAAATGGCAGGATTCATTTCTTGTGGCCATATAATATTCTGTGGTGTATATGTACCACAATTTCTTTTTCCATTCCTCCATTGATGGGATATTTACAACATCTTGGCTATTGTGAATAGTGCTGCAGTAAACATGGGAGTGCAGATATCTTTTTAATATATTGATTTCCCCTCCTTAGGATATATACCCAACAGTGGGATTGCTGGTTCATATGGTAGTTCTATTTTTCGTTTTTTGAGGAGCCTCCCTACCCTTCTCCATAGTGGTTGCGCTTATTTACATTCCCAACAACAGTGTACGAGCGTTCCTCTTTCTCCACATCCTTGCCAGCATTTGTTAGTGCCTGTCTTTTTGATAAAAAGCCATTTGAATTGGGGTGAGATGATACCTCATTATAGTTTTGATTTGCATTTCTCTGATGACTAATGATGTTGAACATTTTTTCATATACCTGTTGGCCATTTGTATTGTTTTCTTTTGAGAAATGTCTATTCAGATCTCAATAAGGATCAATTTAGACTTCAGAGTCATCTTAAGATTGCTCATCAATACATAATCACCAGTTAGGCAATGGTGAATAAATATAGCTATGCTTTGGGCAGTGCACAGGAGACAGCTATTATAGCTAAGTTTGAGTACTTTCATGGCACAATTCTGAACCCGTGCATAGACTATGCACTGAAAGAAAGAATGCTGATCTGTATGATATCGAAGTGAAGCATTGAATAGTTTTGAAAATGAGACTTTTGAGATTATAAAGTGACCAGTTTAGGAGAACATAAATAAAGTATTTTAATTTTATTATTAATTAGCTTATAACTTAAGCTTGTTATATTTTTTATCTTCATAGGTAAAGAAGAACCCAGTCCAGGATAAAAGTCTGATGCCAGGAGATGATTTTATTCCTGAGCCACAAATGGCAATTCGTATTTCTTCAAGAGATACAATGAATATAACAATATCCAAAAGTTGTCTTAATGTTTTCAACAATTTAGCAAAAGTATGTTTGATTCTTGCTTGGAATATTTCAAGTGGAATTTAAAAATGAGACATATATGTATTTTTTTTTTGTCATCAGAATTAGTTTCTAAAAAATACGTGGTCATGGTATATTTTGGGAAGAATGTACCTTTTGCAGAAATTTTATTATGATGCTGTGTTCCTTTTCAGGGTTTTTCAGAGGGCACTGCTTCTACTTTTGACTACTCTTTAAAAGACAAGGCTCCTTTTACGGTAAAAAATGCTGTGGGTATTCCCATTAAAGTTCGGCCCAATTGTAATCTCAGAGTAATGGGCTCTCCTGAGAAAACTGATATTTTTGATGTTGATGTTGGCCAGAATTTGGAATTGGAATATGCCAGCATGGCACCTTCACATCAAGGGAAACTATCTATATTGAGCCGTCAAGAAAGCTCCTTCTTTACTCTGACCTTTGGTAGGCTATATTTATTTATTTTAAGGGCATCTTAGGAATTGTTTGTGTGGGCTTATTTTTGATAAAATATGAAGAAAAAGTTTTGTTGCAGGTATCTTAGGATACCACGTTTCTAAAGGCGTTAGACATGTAATTGAAAAATGTCTCTTGTTTTCTTTTAAACTTGAGAAAATTAAACTTTACTGATTTAATTAAGTTCCTAACAAGCTAGGCTATTTCTATACCTCTAAACAATACAATATATGGTGTGCCTCAGAAAGGATGAGAGTTCAATGAGGAGAGAAAATAACTATATTCAGAAGTCCTGAAATATTGACAGTAATTACTACTATTAGAGGGAAAAGGAGATGGTTACTATATAGTTAGTTGAGAGAATAAGAAATAAGTTGAATTTTGTTTTAATATATTCAAAACCCTAAGAAAAATCATTTGGGTCAAAAATTTTATGTCAGTAACTCGTCTTCTTTTTTTTATTAGTTCCTTTGCCTTAGAAAAGCATTTTGTAGTTATGAGTTCTAGTCATGAGAAAAAAATACTCTCGGCGTTATTTTGAGGTATTGATGATTCTGTCATTGAGAAATATCAGTAAGTTAATATTTGGAATTCTTTTCACTTGTGCTCTGCCTTAGTGCCTCATGGATATACAGAAGTCGGGAATATCCCTGTTGCCAGACCTGGACGGCGGTTGTATAACGTTCGGAATCCCAACGCCAGTCATTCCGACTCCGTTGTGGTACAGATTGATGCAACTGAAGGGAATAAAGTAGTCACCCTTCGCTCACCTCTCCAGGTGATACTAGGAATTCTGCCCCTATGAGTACATCAAGAAAAGTAAATCATTTAGCTGAACATAGCAACATAGTAAAGCTTCCTTGTGTTTTTTTTTTTGTTATTTTTTAAAGATTCTTTTGCAGAATAATTTGTTCATGGTAGTAAAGTTAAGAGAATAAAGGAAAATACACTTTATATATTATTTGTGTGGTTAGGTGGGTTTTTAAATGGTTATGACATATAACATTAATTACTTAATATTTTTCCTACTGGTTACATGATTAAAGATGAAAGACTTGCTTGTTATCATTTTGTGCCTTTCCAGGTTCACTATTACAATGAGATCCATGCTGTCTGGGAGCCACTGATTGAGAGAGTAGAGGGGAAGAGACAATGGAATTTAAGGCTTGATGTAAGGAAATCTTAACATATCTTTGTATAGAGTGATACTGTACATATCCATCAACATTTTTAGTTCACTGATTCTCAAGATGTGAGCCAAGATCCTTGAAGGGAATCTATGAGGTCAAAAAACTCTTTTCATAGTAATACTCAGACTTTATATTTCTCTCATGAGCATACAGTGGAGTTTTCCAGAGACTATGTGAATGCAATATTGAAACATATTAAATGCAGAGCAGAAATGAGAATTTATCTGTCTTCTCTTAGGGCAGGCACTAAAGAGATTTTCATATGCCCCTCCTTTCACTATATTTTTAAATAGAATTTTTTATTAAACATGTTATTTATATTAATGCATACTTTTTACTTTAAAATGAATATTAAAAATGTTCTCAATTTTAATTTCTAATAGAGAGTGTATTGGTAGATTCAACACATTAATGAAGCTCTTTAGGTTACTCAGTGAGTTTTTAAGGTGAGACCAGAATATTTGAGAACTGCTCTTCTAGTTCATGAAACTCTTTTATGTTATCTCTTTATGGTATTCTTTGAGAATACTTCAGAATTCTAGATACTGAAGCACATTTTTTCAGATTAACAGGAAAGTGTTAGTAAATTGTCACAGCACACCTTTCTGGGCAGCCAGACTGAGGAGTCAGGCACTGAAATTGACTCCACAGATTTTCTGTTAAAGAGGAGTCACTTAACCTGTGTTCCAAGTAAAGTAGAAGTAATATTCTGACCGATCTCTTTCTGACATAAGGAGGCTAACAAAGAATGTTTTACAAAGCTTTTGAAATGCTATTAGAACAAAAACTGATGGAATCTGATGGCTAGTTGAAAGCTTATTATATTACTTGTTGAGGTGTTATGGTAAAAAGTAGAAGGAAGAAAACTTATTTTCCAGATGGTAACTCCAATAAGGATCAATTAATTTATATATTTTTCAGTTTTTTAAAAATTTTAGTTATTATGGATACATAATAGTTGTATATATTGTACATAATAGTTGTATATATATTGTAGAGTACATTTGATATTTTGATGCAATGTGGCATACAGTGTGAATCAGTGAAAACAGGGTAATTGGGTTTTCCATTGCCTCAGGTATTTAACATTTGTGTTAGGAACACTCCCATTCTACTCTTTTAGTTATTTTAAATATACGAACTTATTGTTGATTGTAGTCTCTTTTTGTGCTATGAAATGTGGTTCATTCTAACTATCTGACTATATATTGCACCTGCTAACCATCCCCACATATCCCTCCTTCTCCTTTTCTCTAAGGCATTAGGTTGGATGCTGGGAGGACTTTCCATTTCTTTGTACATAAATTGATTTATTGATTCAACAAACATTTTTTGAACTTTTACTATGTATAAAAAATGTCCTGTACAAGACATTGGGTATAGATGGTCCTTGCCTTCAAAAAACTTGACCTATGTTGGAGAAAGAAGTAAATCAGTGATTACAGCTTTCAGTGCTGGAGGCATGCACAAGGTAGAGTTGGTAGCATATGCAAGGCACCTTTAATTCAGACCAGGCCATCAAGGAAAGCTGTCTGGAAGCAGGACTACTTGAACTTTATTTTGACAGTTCAGTGAAGGTATATGGAGAGGGAGGGGACAGAAATGATAATATGCACAAAGGCAGAGGTGTGAAAAAATTCTTTAAGGACTTAGAGGGGTGGTCCCATGTAGTTGGGGAGAATGGTGTGGTAGAGTTGTAGGAGTGGGAGCATTAATTATCAGTGACATTAATAAGTCAAGGAAAAAAAAAGTATTTAGTTGACAAGTAAGTGATATAATTTTACCTCCTTAGCATATTAAGTGAGTAAGAATTATGAGAAGTAGACAATAAGGAAACACATTTGACTTATTTAACCCAGGATTGCTCAAACTTTGGGGAATTCTGGGTAGCTGATTAAATAGGCACTAGGCCATAAAGAGCTCTATACACTAAGCTACAGAGAGTTTGAATTTTATCCTCGAAGTTATGAGAAGTTGCTAAAGATTGTAAACATAGGAATGCCATGCCCAGATTTAGGTTTTAGAAAATTATGCTGCTAGCAGTTTGGAGGGTAGGCTGAGAGGGTGCTGACTAGACATGGAAGATATCATCAATGTAGAACTAAGGTATAGTGATAGGAATGAGGAGAGTGAGCAAAGCTACTAACCAAAGATAATAAGAGGTAGAACTTGCAGATCTTGAGGAAAGTCAAGGAGATCCATGATTTACAGCCTTCCTGTTTCAATAAGACAAATGAAAGCCCATCTGTGTATATCTTGATAAGGAGCAAACACTTTGGTTTACTTAATGCAGTTGATGTGTAACTGATGTGTAACTGAATTGATGTGTAACTGAATTTTTCATTTTTAGCCTACATTTGTCTATTCACCTAACACTACTTTGCTCTGAATTGATTGGTTTAATTTTGGGTTTTGACTGTTGACATATAACCTTAGTTACTTAATTTTAGGTAACCTTAGCAGAAATCAATGATACGTGGTTAGTTGACTTTACACATGATTTTGTGTGTTTTCTCTTGTTTTTCTTAGTTACGAATTTAATATACTTAAATTTTTAATGAGTTACTTTTTAACTTTTTTATCATGTATATATTATTTCTTCTCATCAGGGAAATAATTTATTTTGAATATTTTTCTGTTTTCTTTTTTAAAGATTTCACCCATAATTCTTAATACTGTGATGACAATCATGGCTGCTATGTCACCAAAGGCAAAAGAAGATGAATCCAAAGATACATCTAAGGAAATGGAAAATCTCTGGGGCGTCAAATCTATTAATGATTATAACTCTTGGTTTCTTGGTGTTGACACGGCAACAGAAATAACAGAAAATTTCCAAGACGTACAACATCCATTGATAGAGGAAAATTGTGCAGTTGTTGTGGAGTCAATTCAAGTTACCTTGGAATGTGGCCTTGGGCATCGAACTGTCCCCTTATTATTGGCAGAATCTAGGTTTTCAGGAAATATTAAAAATTGGACTTCCCTAATGGTTGCTGCTACTGATATGACACTGGAGGTATGACCACATCATTAATACCTTCAGAGCCAACTTTTTGATAGTATGATTACAAAATTAAGATATGAACTCTTCTTGTTTGTTCATGGCCACTGCAAGTATATATGTAAATAGATAATGTATTCTAACATTTGATTTGTTGATGTATGGTGTTATTTTTTGGTTGTTATTTTTTAAAGATTCTTTTGCAGAATAATTTGTTCATGGTAGTAAAGTTAAGAGAATAAAGGAAAATACACTTTATATATTATTTGTGTGGTTAGGTGGGTTTTTAAATGGTTATGACATATAACATTAATTACTTAATATTTTTTCCTACTGGTTACATGATTAAAGATGAAAGACTTGCTTGTTATCATTTTGTGCCTTTCCAGGTTCACTATTACAATGAGATCCATGCTGTCTGGGAGCCACTGATTGAGAGAGTAGAGGGGAAGAGACAATGGAATTTAAGGCTTGATGTAAGGAAATCTTAACATATCTTTGTATAGAGTGATACTGTACATATCCATCAACATTTTTTAGTTCACTGATTCTCAAGATGTGAGCCAAGATCCTTGAAGGGAATCTATGAGGTCAAAAAACTCTTTTCATAGTAATACTCAGACTTTATATTTCTCTCATGAGCATACAGTGGAGTTTTCCAGAGACTATGTGAATGCAATATTGAAACATATTGAATGCAGAGCAGAAATGAGAATTTATCTGTCTTCTCTTAGGGCAGGCACTAAAGAGATTTTCATATGCCCCTCCTTTCACTATATTTTTAAATAGAATTTTTTATTAAACATGTTATTTATATTAATGCATACTTTTTACTTTAAAATGAATATTAAAAATGTTCTCAATTTTAATTTCTAATAGAGAGTGTATTGGTAGATTCAACACATTAATGAAGCTCTTTAGGTTACTCAGTGAGTTTTTAAGGTGAGACCAGAATATTTGAGAACTGCTCTTCTAGTTCATGAAACTCTTTTATGTTATCTCTTTATGGTATTTCTTGAGAATACTTCAGAATTCTAGATACTGAAGCACATTTTTTCAGATTAACAGGAAAGTGTTAGTAAATTGTCACAGCACACCTTTCTGGGGCAGCCAGACTGAGGAGTCAGGCACTGAAATTGACTCCACAGATTTTTCTGTTAAAGAGGAGTCACTTAACCTGTGTTCCAAGTAAAGTAGAAGTAATATTCTGACCTATCTCTTTCTGACATAAGGAGGCTAACAAAGAATGTTTTACAAAGCTTTTGAAATGCTATTAGAACAAAAACTGATGGAATCTGATGGCTAGTTGAAAGCTTATTATATTACTTGTTTGAGGTGTTATTGGTAAAAAGTAGAAGGAAGAAAACTTATTTCCAGATGGTAACTCCAATAAGGATCAATTAATTTATATATTTTTCAGTTTTTTAAAATTTTTAGTTATTATGGATACATAATAGTTGTATATATTGTACATAATAGTTGTATATATATTGTAGAGTACATTTGATATTTTGATGCAATGTGGCATACAGTGTGAATCAGTGAAAACAGGGTAATTGGGTTTTCCATTGCCTCAGGTATTTAACATTTGTGTTAGGAACACTCCCATTCTACTCTTTTAGTTATTTTAAAATATACGAACTTATTGTTGATTGTAGTCTCTTTTTGTGCTATGAAATGTGGTTCATTCTAACTATCTGACTATATATTGCACCTGCTAACCATCCTCACATTATCCCCTCCTTCTCCTTCCTTCCCAGCCTCTGGTAACCGTCATTCCACTCACTATCTCCATGAGCTCAATTGTTTTTAATATTTAGCTCCCACATATGAGTGAGAACATGCAAGATTTGTCTTTCTGTGCTTGGTTTATTTCACTTAAAATAATGTTCTCCAGTTCCGTCCATGTTGTTGCAAATGGCAGGATTCATTTCTTGTGGCCATATAATATTCTGTGGTGTATATGTACCACAATTTCTTTTTCCATTCTCCATTGATGGGATATTTACAACATCTTGGCTATTGTGAATAGTGCTGCAGTAAACATTGGAGTGCAGATATCTTTTTAATATATTGATTTCCCCTCCTTAGGATATATACCCAACAGTGGGATTGCTGGTTCATATGGTAGTTCTATTTTTCATTTTTTGAGGAGCCTCCCTACCCTTCTCCATAGTGGTTGCGCTTATTTACATTCCCACCAACAGTGTACGAGCGTTCCTCTTTCTCCACATCCTTGCCAGCATTTGTTAGTGCCTGTCTTTTTGATAAAAAGCATTTGATTGGGGTGAGATGATACCTCATTATAGTTTTGATTTGCATTTCTCTGATGACTAATGATGTTGAACATTTTTTCATATACCTGTTGGCCATTGTATTGTTTTCTTTTGAGAAATGTCTATTCAGATCTCAATAAGGATCAATTTAGACTTCAGAGTCATCTTAAGATTGCTCATCAATACATAATCACCAGTTAGGCAATGGTGAATAAATATAGCTATGCTTTGGGCAGTGCACAGGAGACAGCTATTATAGCTAAGTTTGAGTACTTTCATGGCACAATTCTGAACCCGTACATAGACTATGCACTGAAAGAAAGAATGCTGATCTGTATGATATCGAAGTGAAGCATTGAATATTTTTGAAAATGAGACTTTTGAGATTATAAAGTGACCAGTTTAGGAGAACATAAAGTATTTTAATTTTATTATTAATTAGCTCATAACTTAAGCTTGTTATATTTTTTATCTTCATAGGTAAAGAAGAACCCAGTCCAGGATAAAAGTCTGATGCCAGGAGATGATTTTATTCCTGAGCCACAAATGGCAATTCGTATTTCTTCAAGAGATACAATGAATATAACAATATCCAAAAGTTGTCTTAATGTTTTCAACAATTTAGCAAAAGTATGTTTGATTCTTGCTTGGAATATTTCAAGTGGAATTTAAAAATGAGACATATATGTATTTTTTTTTGTCATCAGAATTAGTTTCTTAAAAAATACGTGGTCATGGTATATTTTGGAAGAATGTACCTTTGCAGAAATTTTATTATGATGCTGTGTTCCTTTTCAGGGTTTTTCAGAGGGCACTGCTTCTACTTTTACTACTCTTTAAAAGACAAGGCTCCTTTTACGGTAAAAAATGCTGTGGGTATTCCCATTAAAGTTCGGCCCAATTGTAATCTCAGAGTAATGGGCTCTCCTGAGAAAACTGATATTTTTGATGTTGATGCTGGCCAGAATTTGGAATTGGAATATGCCAGCATGGCACCTTCACATCAAGGGAAACTACTATATTGAGCCGTCAAGAAAGCTCCTTCTTTACTCTGACCTTTGGTAGGCTATATTTATTATTTTAAGCACTTAGGAATTGTTTGTGTGGGCTTATTTTGATAAAATATGAAGAAAAAGTTTGTTGCAGGTATCTTAGGATAGAAACCACGTTTCTAAAGGCGTTAGACATGTAATTGAAAAATGTCTCTTGTTTCTTTTAAACTTGAGAAAATTAAACTTTACTGATTAATTAAGTCCTAACAGCTAGGCTATTTCTATACCTCTAAACAATACAACATATGGTGTGCCTCAGAAAGGATGAGAGTTCAATGAGGAGAGAAAATAACTATATTCAGAAGTCCTGAAATATTGACAGTAATTACTACTGTTAGAGGGAAAAGGAGATGGTTACTATATAGTTATTTGAGAGAATAAGAAATAAGTTGAATTTTGTTTTAATATATTCAAAACCCTAAGAAAAATCATTTGGGTCAAAAATTTTATGTCAGTAACTCGTCTTCCTTTTTTTATTAGTTCCTTTGCCTTAGAAAAGCATTTTGTAGTTATGAGTTCTAGTCATGAGAAAAAATACTCTCGGCGTTTTTTTGGTATTGATGATTCTGTCATTGAGAAATATCAGTAAGTTAATATTTGGAATTCTTTTCACTTGTGCTCTGCCTTAGTGCCTCATGGATATACAGAAGTCGGGAATATCCCTGTTGCCAGACCTGGACGGCGGTTGTATAACGTACGGAATCCCAACGCCAGTCATTCCGACTCCGTTGTGGTACAGATTGATGCAACTGAAGGGAATAAAGTAGTCACCCTTCGCTCACCTCTCCAGGTGATACTAGGAATTCTGCCCCTATGAGTACATCAAGAAAAGTAAATCATTTAGCTGAACATAGCAACATAGTAAAGCTTCCTTGAGTCAATGCTGATTATTCAGAGATGAATAGTAAACTGAAGTGGCATCTATTCCCTATCCAATTTGCTTTTATAATATTTTTTATTTTAAATATCTATAGTTTTGTTCTTTAAAGCTCATTTTTATTGTCTTCTGGGTTTAAAATTGATGAAGCTTTTTCTTGTATATTTCTTTAAATATTCAGAAATGAAGAATATTGTAGTTATAGTTGGTTGTCAAATAGTATAACATTCTACTCTCTTTGCATATCACTTGGAATTGTATTTTTCAAGTATAAAGGAATATTGGAATGATCTACTCCACTGAAAAAAATTTAGCATCTTAATCTATGTACTTTCTTTTCTACCTTTATGGTTTTATCAATCATTTTCTTTTTCTGTGCATTGCTATAAGTTTCATTATATGGTCAGCAAAAGAACATTTTTTCCTGCTAATGACATAAGCTAAAAATGATTTCAAATTTTGACCATCGTCATCTCTTTGTTATTAGTTCTGGCATGTAACAGGCTGTAGTAAAAAAAAACAAACAAACTGGTATTACTCTTCTTGTATTTCTTTAGCTGTCCTTTTCTGTGTAGCAATGATGCATCAACAAAAGGTTGTAATTGAGAAAATATGGCTGAAATCTTCAAAGAATAACACATTTGAAAGATAATATTAACTAACAGTAAACATAAGCATATAAAGCATGTGAATATCTTATTAATAATTTTCAACTGCCACTTAAACATCAAATTTAATATATATATATAACACTTAACCTAAAAAATTTTCAGTTGCCAATAAAAATATCTTCCAATACTGAGTTTGAACCTTTTTAGATCTAAAGGTAATTGTATGCCTCTCACATTTTTCTGTTGAACTTATATGTTTTTAACAACTTGTATGTTCTTTTGTCCAACAGATTAAAAACCATTTCTCTATTGCATTTATAATCTATAAGTTTGTTAAGAATGTGAAGCTATTGGAGCGCATTGGAATAGCCAGACCTGAAGAGGAGTTCCATGTTCCTTTAGATTCATATAGGTAGATACTTCTTTGAATATACTAAGCTTTAAAAAATGTATAGTATATATCTTTAATTTTATGAATTGGGGATCTATATTCTGGATATAACCTCTGGATTTTATTATCTAAAGATCTATAAAAGCCATATTTAAAACATATATTGTTTATCCTTCTGTAGGGAAATACATTTATATTATCATAGAATTTACCAGATGAAAATTCCTTACTGTGTATGTAATATTTTAGAATTTTCTGAGATCTGTTTTTACTAGATTGCCTTTGTATTTGAAATGGGAAAAAAATTTTTTTGAGACATTGTCTTGCTCTGTCACCCTGGCCAGAGTACAGTAGTGTCGTCATAGTTCACTACAACCTCAAACTCCTGGTTTCAAGCAATCCTCTGGCCTCAATCTCCCAAGTAGCTGGGGTTACAGACATGCGCCATGACACCCAGCTCATTTTTTCTAATTTTAGTAGAGACAGGATCTCACTCTTGCTCAGGCTAGTCTCAAACTCCTTGACCTCATGAGATGCTCCTACCTTGCCCTCCCAGAGTTCTAGGATTATAGGTGTGAGCCACTGCAACTAAAATGGAAAACAAATTTTTCAGTCCTTATTTACAGAGGGCTTTTTCCCAGTAAGTTCCTCCACGAGTTAGCTATGTGACTTTGGGCAAGTTTCTTAAACCTTTTATAGCGATGGTTTCTTTATCTGTCAAAATAGGAATAATGGCACCCAACTTGTAGAATCAGCATGAAAATTTAATGAGATTCTTTTTCTTAAGTTCTTGATCAAAACTTTTTCCCACTGTTTTTTGTTTATTTGTTTTGGTTTTTGGTTTTTTGCAGATGTCAGTTGTTTATTCAGCCAGCTGGACTCTTAGAGCATCAGTACAAAGAATCCACTACTTACATTTCCTGGAAGGAAGAACTTCACAGGAGCAGGGAAGTCAGATGCATGTTGCAGTGTCCATCAGTAGAAGTCAGCTTCTTACCTCTCATAGTGAATACGGTTGCTCTGCCTGATGAATTAAGCTATATATGTACACATGGGGAAGACTGGGATCCAGCTTACATTATTCATCTTTATCCTTCTCTCACTTTGCGGAATCTTCTCCCGTATTCTCTAAGATATTTACTTGAGGTATATCTCTTGAATTTTGTTTGATTTTTTTTGTTGTTGGGCAGAGTGAATTCTGATTCTGTTTTATAGTATTTTTAGTTGAGGTCCATGTTATATAGCATATGTGTAATTCTTTAATAGTATTAATGATAGCAAAAACTAGTATATGATCTACTGTATGTTTGGAACTATACTATGTGCTTTACATGAATTAACATATTTAATTTTTACAGTGACTTCCTGAAGTAGATACTATTATTATACCCATTTTACATATGAGGAAACTGAGTCACAGTTTCTGTGACTGGCCCAAGGTCCCACAGCGAGTAAATGGTGCAGCTTGCATTGGAACCTAGGCGATTTGGCTCCTTGATCCCTACCACTTTTCTCTGCTTCATCTGTTGTAAATTAAAAACCATAACCATCTCTCTATTAAGTAAAATTTCATTAACTTAATGATAGAAAAAAACCAATGAAAAAATATTTCATCTTAAGTTGAAGTTTTTATGTTAATGTTAACATGATTATTTGGCCCAAGGTTCTATTTAAAATAAAAATAATTCCTGTCTTTGTTAAGAAATAGTAGGGAATATTTTCTAGTAATGAGGTATGATACATCTTTTTTTAAGTTCTACACACCATAATATTTTAAAACACAAAAATCTGAGAAGTGTTTGGAACCTAAATTATTTGTTTTCATTATCTGACAATGAGCCATTCCTGGGTTGTGGAGATAAAAAATTAATTAAATGAACTAAATAGTATTTATACAAGAGAATGAAATTAAGAAAGGAAGCCAGATTTATATGTCGCTGTTACTTATTTTTAAAATAATTCCACCTTACTTAGATAGCTTGGCAGAGGTTTTGACGTCACTTTCCTTATTCCATTCATATGGGAACCATCAGGCATGGTGTGTGAACAGAGAATGAAACTGAAGCCCAGACAGTTAAGTGGCTCATTTAATGATAGCTCGAATGTTCATTCATAAAGGCCAGGATTCATGAATATGGCCCTTGATTCTTTATAGAGATCTCTGGCAGAATTTGGAATTGGAATATGCCAGCATGGCACCTTCACATCAAGGGAACTACTTATATTGAGCCGTCAAGAAAGCTCCTTCTTTACTCTGACCTTTGGTAGGCTATATTTATTATTTTAAGGCACTTGAATTGTTTGTGTGGGCTTATTTTGATAAAATATGAAGAAAAAGTTTTGTTGCAGGTATCTTAGGATAGAAACCACGTTTCTAAAGGCGTTAGACATGTAATTGAAAAATGTCTCTTGTTTTCTTTTAAACTTGAGAAAATTAAACTTTACTGATTTAATTAAGTCCTAACAAGCTAGGCTATTTCTATACCTCTAAACAATACAACATATGGTGTGCCTCAGAAAGGATGAGAGTTCAATGAGGAGAAAAATAACTATATTCAGAAGTCCTGAAATATTGACAGTAATTACTACTGTTAGAGGAAAAGGAGATGGTTACTATATAGTTATTGAGAGAATAAGAAATAAGTTGAATTTTGTTTTAATATATTCAAAACCCTAAGAAAATCATTTGGTCAAAAATTTATGTCAGTAACTCGTCTTCCTTTTTTTATTAGTTCCTTTGCCTTAGAAAAGCATTTTGTTAGTTATGAGTTCTAGTCATGAGAAAAAATACTCTCGGCGTTATTTTTGAGGTATTGATGATTCTGTCATTGAGAAATATCAGTAAGTTAATATTTGGAATTCTTTTCACTTGTGCTCTGCTTAGTGCCTCATGGATATACAGAAGTCGGAATATCCCTGTTGCCAGACCTGGACGGCGGTTGTATAACGTACGGAATCCCAACGCCAGTCATTCGACTCCGTTGTGGTACAGATTGATGCAACTGAAGGGAATAAAGTAGTCACCTTCGCTCACCTCTCCAGGTGATACTAGGAATTCTGCGCCCTATGAGTACATCAAGAAAAGTAATCATTTAGCTGAACATAGCAACATAGTAAAGCTTCCTTGAGTCAATGCTGATTATTCAGAGATGAATAGTAAACTGAAGTGGCATCTATTCCCTATCCAATTTGCTTTTATAATATTTTTTATTTAAATATCTATAGTTTTGTTCTTTAAAGCTCATTTTTATTGTCTTCTGGGTTTAAAATTGATGAAGCTTTTTCTTGTATATTTCTTTAAATATTCAGAAATGAAGAATATTGTAGTTATAGTTGGTTGTCAAATAGTATAACATTCTACTCTCTTTGCATATCACTTGGAATTGTATTTTTAAGTATAAAGGAATATTGGAATGATCTACTCCACTGAAAAAATTTAGCATCTTAATCTATGTACTTCTTTTCTACCTTTATGGTTTTATCAATCATTTTCTTTTTCTGTGCATTGCTATAAGTTTCATTATATGGTCAGCAAAAGAACATTTTTCCTGCTAATGACATAAGCTAAAAATGATTTCAAATTTTACCATCGTCATCTCTTTGTTATTAGTTCTGGCATGTAACAGGCTGTAGTAAAAAAAAAAAAAAAAAAAAAAAAAAAAAAAAAAAAAAAAAACGAAAACCAAAAACAAATAAACCAATCAAACAGCAGAAAACATGGACAAAAAAACAAAAAAAGACAAAAAAAAAAAAAAAAAAACAACGCCAGGAGAAACAAAAAACAAAAAAAAAAAGACTAAAGAAAAAAAATAAACAAACCAGAACTGGTATTGACTCTTCTTGCTCTTCTTAGCTGTCTTTTACTCTCCGTACGCCAATGTGCAGTCAAGCGAGAAAGAGGGTGGTTGTAATTGAGCGAAAATATGGCTGAAGATCTTCAAAGAATAACACATTTGAAAGGATAATTATTAACTAACAGTAAACACTAATCATTCTGGGGCAGCCAGACTGAGGAGTCAGGCACTGAAATTGACTCCACAGATTTTTCTGTTAAAGAGGAGTCACTTAACCTGTGTTCCAAGTAAAGTAGAAGTAATATTCTGACCTATCTCTTTCTGACATAAGGAGGCTAACAAAGAATGTTTTACAAAGCTTTTGAAATGCTATTAGAACAAAAACTGATGGAATCTGATGGCTAGTTGAAAGCTTATTATATTACTTGTTTGAGGTGTTATTGGTAAAAAGTAGAAAGAAGAAAACTTATTTCTAGATGGTGACTCCAATAAGGATCAATTAATTTATATATTTTTCAGTTTTTTTAAAATTTTTAGTTATTATGGATACATAATAGTTGTATATATTGTGCATAATAGTTGTATATATATTGTAGAGTACATTTGATATTTTGATGCAATGTGGCATACAGTGTGAATCAGTGAAAACAGGGTAATTGGGTTTTCCATTGCCTCAGGTATTTAACATTTGTGTTAGGAACACTCCCATTCTACTCTTTTAGTTATTTTAAAATATACGAACTTATTGTTGATTGTAGTCTCTTTGTTGTGCTATGAAATGTGGTTCATTCTAACTATCTGACTATATATTTGCACCTGCTAACCATCCCCACATTATCCCCTCCTTCTCCATCCTTCCCAGCCTCTGGTAACCGTCATTCCACTCACTATCTCCATGAGCTCAATTGTTTTTAATATTTAGCTCCCACATATGAGTGAGAACATGCAAGATTTGTCTTTCTGTGCTTGGTTTATTTCACTTAAAATAATGTTCTCCAGTTCCGTCCATGTTGTTGCAAATGGCAGGATTCATTTCTTGTGGCCATATAATATTCTGTGGTGTATATGTACCACAATTTCTTTTTCCATTCCTCCATTGATGGGATATTTACAACATCTTGGCTATTGTGAATAGTGCTGCAGTAAACATGGGAGTGCAGATATCTTTTTAATATATTGATTTCCCCTCCTTAGGATATATACCCAACAGTGGGATTGCTGGTTCATATGGTAGTTCTATTTTTCATTTTTTGAGGAGCCTCCCTACCCTTCTCCATAGTGGTTGCGCTTATTTACATTCCCACCAACAGTGTACGAGCGTTCCTCTTTCTCCACATCCTTGCCAGCATTTGTTAGTGCCTGTCTTTTTGATAAAAAGCCATTTGAATTGGGGTGAGATGATACCTCATTATAGTTTTGATTTGCATTTCTCTGATGACTAATGATGTTGAACATTTTTTCATATACCTGTTGGCCATTTGTATTGTTTTCTTTTGAGAAATGTCTATTCAGATCTCAATAAGGATCAATTTAGACTTCAGAGTCATCTTAAGATTGCTCATCAATACATAATCACCAGTTAGGCAATGGTGAATAAATATAGCTATGCTTTGGGCAGTGCACAGGAGACAGCTATTATAGCTAAGTTTGAGTACTTTCATGGCACAATTCTGAACCCGTACATAGACTATGCACTGAAAGAAAGAATGCTGATCTGTATGATATCAAAGTGAAGCATTGAATAGTTTTGAAAATGAGACTTTTGAGATTATAAAGTGACCAGTTTAGGAGAACATAAATAAAGTATTTTAATTTTATTATTAATTAGCTTATAACTTAAGCTTGTTATATTTTTTATCTTCATAGGTAAAGAAGAACCCAGTCCAGGATAAAAGTCTGATGCCAGGAGATGATTTTATTCCTGAGCCACAAATGGCAATTCGTATTTCTTCAAGAGATACAATGAATATAACAATATCCAAAAGTTGTCTTAATGTTTTCAACAATTTAGCAAAAGTATGTTTGATTCTTGCTTGGAATATTTCAAGTGGAATTTAAAAATGAGACATATATGTATTTTTTTTTTGTCATCAGAATTAGTTTCTAAAAAATACGTGGTCATGGTATATTTTGGGAAGAATGTACCTTTTGCAGAAATTTTATTATGATGCTGTGTTCCTTTTCAGGGTTTTTCAGAGGGCACTGCTTCTACTTTTGACTACTCTTTAAAAGACAAGGCTCCTTTTACGGTAAAAAATGCTGTGGGTATTCCCATTAAAGTTCGGCCCAATTGTAATCTCAGAGTAATGGGCTCTCCTGAGAAAACTGATATTTTTGATGTTGATGCAATAAAATTTTCAGTTGCCAATAAAAATATCTTCCAATACTTGAAGTTTGAACCTTTTTAGATCTAAAGGTAATTGTCTGCCTCTCACATTTTTCTGTTGAACTTATATGTTTTAACAACTTGTATGTTCTTTTGTCCAACAGATTAAAACCTTTCTCTATTGCATTTATAATCTATAAGTTTGTTAAGAATGTGAAAGCTATTGGAGCGCATTGGAATAGCCAGACCTGAAGAGGAGTTCCATGTTCCTTTGATTCATATAGGTAGATACTTCTTTGAATATACTAAGCTTTAAAAATTTATGTATATATCTTTAATTTTATGAATTGGGATCTATATTCTGGATATAACCTTCTGGATTTTATTATCTAAAATCTATAAAAGCCATATTTATAAAACATATATTGTGTATCCTTCTGTAGGAAAATCATTATATTATCATAGAATTTACCAGATGAAAATTCCTTACTGTGTATGTAATATTTAGAATTTCTGAGATCTGTTTTTACTAGATTGCCTTTGTATTTGAATGGGAAAAAATTTTTTGAGACATTGTCTTGCTCTGTCACCCTGGCAGAGTACAGTAGTGTCGTCATAGTTCACTGCAACCTCAAACTCCTGGTTTCAGGCAATCCTCTGGCCCTCAATCTCCCAAGTAGCTGGGGTTAAAGACATGCGCCATGACACCCAGCTCATTTTTTCTAATTTTAGTAGAACAGGATCTCGCTCTTGCTCAGGCTAGTCTCAACTCCTTGACCTCATGAGATGCTCTACCTTGCCCTCCAGAGGTTCTAGTAAAATTATAGGGTGGTGAGCCACTGCAACTAAAATGGAAAACAATGTTTTGGCAGTCCTATTTACAGGAGGCTTGTTTCAGTAAGTTCTCCAGCGAGTTAGCTAATGTGACTTTGGCAGTCTTTAAACCTTTTATAGCGAGTGGTTTTTTATCTGTCAAAATAGGAAGTAATGGCACCCAACTTGAGAATCAGCGAATTATGAGATTCTTTTCTTAATTCTTGATCCAAAACTTTTTCCCACGTTTTTTGCTTTATTGTTTTGGTTTTGTGTTTTTGCAATGTCAGTTGTTTGAGTTCGCGCAGCTGGCTCTTAGAGGCAGTCAGTACAAAGAATTCAGCGTATCATTGGTCCTGGAAGAAGAACTTCACAGGAGCAGAAGTCAGGATGCATGTTGCAGTGTCCATCAGTAGAAGTCAGCTTCTTACCTGCTCATAGTGAGGTAGTTGCTCTGCCGTGATGAATTAAGCTATATATGTACACATGGGAAGACTGGGATCCAGCTTACATTATCTCTTATCTTTTCTTGGTATCCTTCTCTCACTTTGCGGAATCTTCTCCCGTATTCTCTAAAGATTTACTTGAGGGTATATCTCTGTGGAATTTGTTTGATTTTTTTTGTTGTTGGGCAGAGGTGAATTCTGATTCTGTTTTATAGTATTTATTGTTTTGAGGCCATGTGTAATAGCAAATGTGTAATTCTTTAATAGTATTAATGATAGCAAACTAGTATAATGATCTACTGTATGTTTGGAACTATACTATGTTGCTTTCATGGCATTAACATATTTAATTTTTACAGTGATTCCTGAAGTAGATAACTATTATTAATACCCATTTGTGACATATGAGGAAACTGAGTCACAGTTTCTGGACTGGTCCCAAGTGTCCACAGCGACAGAAATGTGCAGCATGCATTGAAACCTAGCGATTGCTCCTTGATTCCCTACACTTTTCTCTGCTTCATCTGTTTGTAAATTAAAAACAGAAGCCGATCCTCTTTTAAGTAAAATTCATTAACTAGAATGAATAGAAGATCAAAACCAATGAAAAATATGTGTCATTAAGTGAAGTTTTAGTGTTAATGTTAAACGCTCAGATTATTTGCCAAAAAGTTCTATTTAAGTGATAAATAATTTCCTGTCTTTGTTAAGAAAAATATAGAAATTTTTTAGTAAATGAGGTATAGTATTTTTTAAGTTCTACACACCATAATATTTAACACAAAAGTGCTGAAAGTGTTTGGAACCTAATTATTTTTATCATATGACAATGAGCAATTCTTGGTTGTGGAGATAAAAATTAATTTGAAACTAAATGTATTACAAGAGAATGAAATTAAAGAGCCCATTTATATGTCGCTGTACTTATTTAAAATATTCCACCTTACTAGATAGCTTGGCAGAAGTTTTGACGTCACTTTCCTTTTTCCTTCATATGGGAACCATCAGGCATGGTTGTGAACAGAGAATGAAACTGAAGCCCGACAGTTAAGTGGCTCTTTAATGATAGCTCGAATGTTCATTCATAAAGGCCAGGATTCATGAATATGGCCCTTGATTCTTTATAGAGATCTGATTTTTTTCCTCAGAACTTTTGGTTCCTTGCTCTGAATGGCCAAAGTCAATTTCTGCCTGTGGCTATGGTATATTTTTTTCTTTTTTTAGTTTTTAGCGATTACTGGACATTCATAATATGTAAACAAGGTAGTTCAGGTGAACTGGCTATTTACTGGCATTTGGTTAGTTACTTAGCATTGTGTAAAATATGGATTTTGTATTTTCAGAGAGGTTTTAAAAATACTAAGCAAACTTAGTTTTGTTTGTTTATTTTTTAGGGGACAGCAGAAACTCATGAGCTAGCAGAAGGCGTACTGCTGATGTTCTACATTCGAGAATCAGTGGGGAATAATGGATAGTCCTGGTGAAATACCAGGGCAAAACTGGAATGGACGTTTCCGATAAGTGATACACTTCCGAGTTCTTTCTTGTGTGTTTTCTTCTGACTCCACAGAAGTGATGACGGTTGACCTGTCAGTACACACCAGGCGAATTGGCAGCCGGATGGTGCTGTCTGTCTTTAGTCCCTACTGGCTTATTAACAAGACTTCTCGGGTTCTTCAGTATCGTTCAGAAGATATTCACGTGAAACATCCAGCTGATTTCAGGGATATTATTTATTCTCTTTCAAGAAGAAGAACATTTTTAGTAAAAATAAGTATGTTTTTGTTCACATAACAAGTTAAATAGATAATTCCTAATCTAAAAAGTTGGGAATTATTGCCTTGCCTACAACCTACTTACCTGTTTGCTAAGTGCCATTGGTATGAATTGGGTCCAATTCCTTTAAGAAATGCAATAATAACGTGGACTACAACAGTTAGAACTAACTTTAGGAACTAACAACAGTTTCCTAAGGCTTAGTTCCGTTTTCTCCAATTCTTGTAGAATTTCTTCTGTTCATGAAGTAGTGTCAGATAGAATGGGTTGATTTTACATACTTTGCCAATGATAAAATGGCAGTTCTAAAGATGCAACTATTGAATTTGGCTTATATTAATGAGCCTTCCTATGTATGAAGCACTAAGCCAGGCCTTTGGAGGAGAAACCTAATGCCTAAGACTGGTTCTTTGTGCTCTGGTTCCTTCTTTCCACCTTCAGACTCACGTTTCTTATTCTCACTACAGCTTTCCCAAGTGCTCACACCTAGGCTCTTGCACAGGCTGCACCTCTGCCTAGGATGCCTCTTCCTGTTTCTGCTATTCATCCTTTGGCATTCTGCTCAAGCTTGATATGTGTGAAGATTTAAAATGGTGCTAGATATCCATCCATGAGTAGTGGTTCTCAAATTTCAGCTGTATTAGAATTGCCTGAAGGCTTTTAAAGCTGATTGCTGGGTCCTTCCTGCCTCTAAAGTTTGATTCAGTTAGTCTGGGTTGAGTATATGACAGAATTTGCATTTCTAACAGATTCCCAGGTGATGCTGGTGTAGCTAGTTTGGGGATCATTTGAGAACCACTCTCTTAGAGTATTGATGAACGCATAGTATTGTAATTACTTGTTTATGTGTCTGACCTGTGGCTGTCCTCAGTTTTTAATAATCTAATTGGGCAGACGGGGGTGCAATTAATACGGGGCACAGTTAGATCTCTTCTGTAAGACTTTCTAAATCCCAGAGCCA